TAGTAATACCCGTTGTTACCGTATGGAACCGTGGTACAGAGTACTGTAACAGTAGTGGGGGCACCTCCCATGTCCCGGCGGAAAGGTACGCGAAGCTGCGTGGATGGGGATCCCCCTTTTTACCCAATGTTGACAGAACAATACGCATTACAGAGTTTGTACTCATACTTGTACAAGTATTTTTATACAGATGATACAAGTAGATTCCGATTGACTCTGGCTGTTTACCCTAGTTAGTTCCCTTTCCTTTGTCTACTCCGTTGGTTGGTCGTTGGCCGTTTATTCGGTTGTTTAGCATTCCGGGAACCTAATGGTACATGATTTATACATACCGTCCGATACTCCTGTAATACTTCTGGAATCACAGGTAGAAAATAAATAGAAAAGAAATAATCAAGCAGACTCCACTCCACCAAAGTTAGGAACCGCTTCGTCGGACACAACGGGAAATCCACTCTATTCCCAGCTGATGTGGAGCCCATTTCATTCCCCCGGCGCCAAAAAGGCGGAAGCAGGAACAGAACTCAAACCGGGGCCCTAGTCCAGGAACAGTCTAGTGGCCCCGCTAGGTTTGTCTCGACTCTCGCGTGGTTGACTAGTCGTTTACCCGTGTATGGTATGTATCGTATGGTAAAGAATAAGGGGCATCCTCTTGTCTTTCCACCGCATAGTGGTTGGTAGCGGTTGTATGCAGTAGAATAGTATACGGAGCACAGTGCTTTAGAATCTAAAATAAATCCAGATGTGACCACGCGAGATTCCAGATGCCAATACCCGTCCTGCAGTTCTTCACTTCCCAGTTCCCCGGCGAGTGCATGCATACATATGCAGTTCTCCACGCGATGGCTAATTACAGCATCCAGAAGTTTCGCGCGGTTGGAGATGTACATAATAGTCTCGGAAGACGGCTCCGTTCGATCAAATGGATTGGTTTGATGCGAGGATCCCCTTTCTCCTTGTTTTCTGATCTATCTTCAATGTCAAACCATAGAGAAACAGCACATCCGGAACATTGAAAACACGTCTTAGACGGTACTTTACATCGTACTTATCTTTGCTTTTCTTCTCCCTTTTTTCTATCATGTGCTGCTTCCGTATACGAAATACCAAAGATTAGGATCAGGGATGAGTGGACCTCCCTAATTCCAGCCTCATCCTACCCTAATTAGTATCATGATTTCAGACCTGAACGATCGCGGATCCCACTCCATGCCCTCCCAGCCCACTTTTTTGGATTCCCGCACCAGCCCGTCCGGTTACGTAGGACCAAATCCAGAGTTTTGTATGGCCCCGTTTTGTTCTTGCCGCCTTCTAGCGCCGTGCTGAGTTATATAGTCGACGGAGCAGTGTCCGATAGAGCCATCACCCAACATCATAGGTAATCCTTAGTCGGTGCACTATACACCTTCGGTTCTTTTTCTAGAACGATGCAGAAGTCAACACCCAGACCAGTACCTAGAATCGGTCCACCCCCGGAACCCGAAAATTACCCTTCAACTTGCCACTTTGTACAAGTACGACTCATCCCAGCCACATTAACTCTGTAGAAGCCTTTCTGGAAATGATTAAGGAGTCTGGGTCCCGTGGCTTGATCTATCCACTTCTCGCTGTCCTCCACTGCTTATGGGCCAATAATTGTCGCCTTGATTATGTACTCCGGACTCCGCTCAATAATCCTTCGTAGTCTTCTCCCAATCGGTTCTTTTGTCTTCTGACATAGCTGAAAGGGTAGAACCTAACGACGGAACAACGTCTTTGCCTGAGTAAGACACTCCAAACTGTATGTACGGGGTATGATTTACGTGTACAGATATACAGAACACAGTACCGAGTAGAGAGTGTAGAGTAACATGTTAATTGCAAAGTGATTGATAGAATCCATGGAATCCGACTTTCGGGTGATCGTTTACACTGCGATCGGAGAAGTTGACAAGTATCCTGTACATAGGACTCTGCTCTATATTATCATCACCCGGTCTATAGAGGGATTTATATAGATTGATCCTGATCGTTGACGCATTAGAATCCTTCTAGAAGAGCTAAATCGCTCCATCCGAAAGGTACCGTGAACTGGACCATGGTTGGGTCTGTTAGTGTGTACCTGTACCTGGTACCTGTAATTGTATCTGTATGTACTCTGTATTCTGTATATCATGTTCGCCTGAACATACAAGGACTACTCTGCACAGGAACTGTACAAGTAAACCAGTTCATAAGCTGTATGAGCATAATATCGGTCATTACCAATAATACCACTAGAACGGCGCTAGAAACAACCGAGGCCCAATGGAAACCGTTAGGAAACCTTCCAGAAGACTTTCCGCTTCCGCGAGCTTCCTAATCGTCTCTTATTCTCCATAGTCCAGCTCCCCAAGTGATAGCTTCAGTTTCCTAGTTGGGAATGAGCTTCAGACCCAATAATATGGCCGATTAAGATGGATAGATCCACTGCGGTTCGCCTTCGGATTCCAGAAATCCTCATTATTCATTGGTTTTCGTGGAATGCGCTCATACAGAGTGGTACAGAGCAGTACGGTATGGTAAATACTGTAAAGTACATCACATACCGAATAAAACCAGCTGCATCTCCAGACTTCGGCTCGATGCATTAGTCTGCACATCACAAATACTTGGGACACTGTACTCTGCACCTTTCTATGTACACACATATAGGACAAGGTCAATTTGAGACAGAACAAAAACTGTCTGGACTACCTTGCAGGACCAGCAGGGGATTGATTGATTGACAGCGCTTGGACGCTGATTACCGTGGAGCTATTTGCCACCACGCGACATTCCCATCGGACTATCAGGGGATACTGAATAAAAAGAAAAAACGCGTCGGGGATGATCCTGCACTTGTACCCGGTACTTTGTACGGAGTACTTGTATGCTAGATCATTTCTGGACATCTGAGTCTGGATTACTAGCATTGCAGCCCAAACACGTGCCCCCTCCTGATTCATACCTGTCATCCTATAATATCTTATAATATGGAGTTCGCTGTGATCAATCTTCTGTCAATAAATTAAAGGACAGATAAGCCGCGGAAGCAACCCAATACTCCGTGGCATCTAGTGCAGGAACCGGATCATTCTGGAAGTCGATCATTCCATTCCCGGGGTATAAGTACCATCGATATAGCCTGCCCCTGTTACGGAGTACGGATATATTAAGTACTTTTGTTATAGCATATGATGTTATGGTTTTGACAGCGAGCACTATGATTCAGCTCCAGCCACTCCATATGGAGTATTATTTTGGGCTCCCGGATTGCCTCCCGGGCCAATAGATCTACGAGTCGCGTTTCCATGGTATTGGACTATCCGATCAATTTATTTAGTGCTTCTAGAATACGGTGTATGGGTACTCGGGGATATTGGGCCATAGCTTATTGTGTTGAGCTGGATACAATGGATAACCTTCACGGTAAACGTTGAATAGGAGTCACCGCTCCATCTACTCACCGTTATTCTACTTTATTCTGCCAGATCGTCAAATTGAGTTTGTCACTGCCTTTACCCGTTGAGAGAAGCCCGATTCACATCGAGTCGAGTCTATCACGTTCTACAAGTGCATTGATGGTCATGTTCGATACGTATTCCCAATTCCGCGCCAATAATCACTCACCTCGCATCTCATGTACGTACCCCGTATATTACTCAACCGATTGCCAACCCCCCCCCCAATGATGCATCGATTCCATTCCATTCCACGCCGGAGAATACCAGCTATTGAAAGAAACCGGGCCCGCGGAACCAAATCCGGGTCATAGTGCCCAACGATTGGATCCTTCTGGAAGTCGATCATCTTCATCTAGTCTACGGGGTATGCGGGCTATTTTACTATCCATATAGTCGGTACGGAGTACACTTGTAGTCTGCATGCTAGCGACGCATGAATCGGATAGCATCCACTTGATTCTCGGCCCGGTGTGGATGGTGTGATCCACCGAATCGAATCGCATTTCCAGGTCGTCGGATCGGTTTGCAGAATTGTATCGAATTCAAATCTAGAATCTTTGACGAAAGTACTATTCGTACTTTGTACTGTACGGAGTACGGATCATGCAATTTCCACTTGTATGGAATACCACTTCAATTCTTGCCGACAGGATATCCCCAACCATGCAGTTCGAGTGTTGATATCACGCAAATACCTGCTGTGTGGCGAGTACAATGTTGTGCTATGTTCTACAGTCATGTATCACCACATCTGCAACATCCCTTGCCTGTCTGGGTATAGTTGCATTCCACTGTATCAAGCCGGCTGCAGAAACAGGGTATTAAACTCCGGCGTGGATCGGTATGGAGAAGCTCTTGCCTCGCACCATATGGACTTTATATGCTCTCATTCATTCTTTCACTGGCTGTGAGGGTTTTCCCTTTTTTCCTTTTTTTTTTTTTTTTTTTTTTTTAACACCCCGGTTGTGGTGGTTTCTTGGCTACCTTGGTAGCAAGTCCTGGAATGCGGTATACGCAATTACGTCTGTCGGGAAACTTGACAGCGAAGTGAAGGAGGATCCGCTTTGGCCTCTGGTAGTTATGTAGGCATGCGCTGGCTTGTCCCTTGGTCCTTGATAAAACACAACTGTATACAAAGTCACATGTGCATCACGTGCTGTCAATTGACCAACATCAATTTCCATCCAGCGATGAGGATTGGGTGAATATCAATAATCATCTGAATCATCTATTGCTCATGCTTCAAGTATCGTTACCTAAGAACTAACACTGTAGTGATAAGCGAAATAGGTTGGCAGAAATTCCAGCAATGTCAAATTCAGCAAGCAAAACCCACAAATGTATTTTACGAGGAACAATTGATGCCAGTGCCAGATGCATCTTCCGAAAAACACAGCCGGTCTCGGGTATCGGTCTTGAGCCGGTAGATCCCCGTGGGGGAAATCCGCGGGGAAAATAAGCTTGTATACCACATGTGGAATTTGGAGTGCACCTTGACCATGAACCTGCAACAATATAACAAAGGATTTCAAGATCATGCAATTGCAAATATTATGGGAGAATATATACCTTCGACTTCTGCAGTTTGACAATCCCTGGCTACTCCCGGGTGGAATATGTTCTTTGCTGGTCCTATCATATGGGATATATATGCAAGTTCTCCACCCATTGGCAAAATATCCAGGCCCGCTGCTTGCGTCTCTTACAAATGGATGGAAGGCATACTACGTGTACAGGCTGTTCTTCCATGAAAAGCTCATTGAGCTTCATCAGCAATATGGTCCGGTTGTACGGGTAGGCCCGAATCATCTTCACATATGGGATGGCAACGCCATTGCTCCTCTATACAAAGGAGGTCGCTCAATGGGAAAGTCCGAGTTTTATGATGCGTTTACGGCTTTCAACCCCAATCTGTTTGGGACTACGAATGACGACGTGAGTTGCTGTGGACTTCTATCGTTGTTGATATATAGTGACCGCAGATAGATCCACTCCCTCCGTCGACGACAGCTCGCTCATGGGTTCTCTCAAGCTTCTGTTGTGAACTTGGAGCCTTTGATTGAAGCTGAGTTGAAATTCCTTAAGAATAGACTACGCACATTTGCACAGACCGAGCAGACCTTTGACCTGAAACTACTGCTCTCGCTCTACGTTTTTGATATTCTGGGCTCCGTTGCATTTGGCAGACCATTTGGTGCTCAAGAGAGAGGCTATGAGGAAGTATTGCCCGCTATTAATGACCATCTACTCTTGGCTGGTATCGTGGGAGAGCTACCTCTGCAGAACGTCACCAAGACAATCAGCAGATGGTCACCAATTCCCTGGATGGGAAGATTAATGAAGAACCGTGATGCTCTTAAGAAAGTCTGTGCAGAATGCGTCAAGTATAAGATAAATAATCCGGCTGAGAGACAAGATCTTTTGAAGAGTCTGGTTAAAGCTGTAGACCCTGATACTGGATCCACCTTGACAGAACAGGAGATAAACTCTGAAGCCTTTGCAGTTCTGTGAGTGCACAGCTGCCTTTATATATTTCACGAGTTTCTAATAAGACAAGTGTTGCCGGATCGCATTCGACTTCAGGGACATTGACTCTCCTTTTCTGGCATCTTCTTCAGAATCCGGATACACTGGCTGCCGTGGTAGACGAAATTGAGTCTACTCTACCTCCTCTTGCCGATGATCAAATATCCTATCCTATCCAGGGTCTGGAATCATCGTTGAGTTATCTCATGGCCTGCGTTCGAGAGAACTTCCGGATAAACCCCGTGTTCACCATGCCCTTGTGGCGCCATGTTGGCCGTCCCGGTGGCATTGAAATAGGAACATACCATATTCCACACGGGGTATGTATTTCATCCTACTACCCAAAATAACAGTCTAACAAGCCCAGACCAACATCTGCATTTCAAACTACGTCCTCCACCACAACCCCGCCATCTGGGGCAACGACCACAACAAATTCAATCCATCCCGATGGCTCAATGAAAAGCAAAACAAAGAGCTATCCCGCTACCTAATCCCTTTCAGCATTGGCCATCGCATGTGCATCGGCCGCAACCTCGCCATGACAAATATCCTCAAGACCGTCACAACTCTGCTCTGGGAATTTGACATCAAACCGGTAACAAAGCGGCAAACGGTAAGAGTGCGTAGTCCTGGGATCGGGGAGATGGATGGGGAGTTTCTGTGTACGGTTTCGGTACGGGAATAGTTTGATTTTCATTGCGGTTCTTTGTTTTTATTCATGATACGGGTGTTGGTGCCCCGTATTGATAGTGCTATTGGCTCATCAACTTAGAATTAATCAAACCGATTCAGCCGTACCTGATCCGCGAAATCCCGCGTCTTGGTACACTTCCCGTGGTATATTACATGGAGAATATACAGTTAATATGATATTTATACATCGTACTTTGTCCATCACAACACATGACGATATGATCCATCACATGATATACCAACAGATTTGATACGTACAATCAACCATCGTTACTAGTCGTTTCTATTGATTATTAGAATTTCGGGTAAGAGAAAGGAATAATTAAATGGATCAATGATCTTCATGAGTATGGATCCCGGAGTGCTCCGGAAAACGCAGCTTGCGATATGCATTTCGTACATATTACTCACGATCGACCCGGTGTTTGCAGTTATCGATTATCGTTCGATATATTCATCTGACATACGGGTGGGAGAAGGGGCGCAGCCGGGAAGGAAGCGGACAGGAAGTCCGTGGGATTTTTCTTTTCTTTTTTTTTTCTCTTCTTTGATAAGTTGCTTTTGTTTTTGCTTATGTGCCTGTCAGCTGTCAATGTCGTCGCTTACATCCTTGTCCCGCGGCCCGCTGCCTGGAAGGATACGAGCTAAGGATGTCTCAGCTAGAGTCAGGTACGAAATCATCTTGGGCACTCAAACACGGGGAAATAATATTCCAACAAATAGCCCTAGCCCTATTTACATTGCTCTAACAAGCAAGTCGCAAAGCCAAAAAAAAAAAAAAAAAAAAAAAAACAACCATCTACCCAGTACCCTCATCATCATTCTTATCCTCGTCAACGTAATCCTCATTCTCATTCTCATCTCCATCATCGCCCTCACCATCGCCCTCACCATCGCCCTCACCCTCATCTTCATCCTCACTATCAACATCCTCGTCAATTTCAATCTCACTCTGACTACTTGGATGATACGTGTATCCATCACTCGAAAAATCAATGTCAACAAGCCTCTGCGTAAAGAACGGATGGTCACTCCGGAGCTGCCAACCCTGACATACGTATCCCATGGGTGTATGCGTGATATCCTGTCCCTGGCGGCGGAGAGAAAGCCACTCGCCAAGGAAGGCGAGGGTGTTTTTGGTGGTGGTCTGGGGATCGTCTTCGTAGTCGCTGTCGTCTTCTTCCGAGAAAGCTCCATTGTTCTGTGCTTCGAAGCATAGACTCTCTTTTATGTGATGATATTCCAGGAATTCAAAGTAGAGCCGTCCGCCCAGGATCCCGAGTTCGAAAGCTAACCATGACGGCGGTTCCCAGTCCTCTGGGAGAGTGGGAGTGGAGTAGAAGTCGAGGCGGTTGAAGTGTTGCATCTTTCTGGTCACGGGTGCGGCGTACACGAGGAGGTGTACGAGTGGTATCTCGGCTGTTCGAAGGAGGGGGATTAGGAGCTCGGCTTCTTCTGGTATGACGACTAGTGCCATGTCGGATACTGCACTCCAAAGGATCCAGTTCACCGGTCGCTAGGTCATTGTTAGCTTGGTTGCGTCAATAGAGTAGAAGGGTGCTTACGGTAAAGTCATCGAGTACTCCTGCATTGGTGGTTTTCACCGTTCTCATGAACTCATGCGAGATATACAGATGGCGCAGCAGCGAAGAGGTCCGGATTCTGTACTTCTGTCCCAAATGGGTCATATCCAGCGCCGTCGACGCTCTCGTGTATCCGCAATTCCCATTTAGCAAGCCAGTGATAACAAATTCACGTATAGCCTGATGCAAGCCTGGAAATTTGAAGGCCGGAAGACGACAAGGCCGCTGCACTTCTCTCTCCTCTTCGATCTCAAAAGCAACCTCCCGCTCTTGCTCGACTTCTTCGAGAGCCGAGCTTCGGGCCGAGCTGGTGGAATGCTGCGATTGGTGCTGAAGAGTTTTCTCGAAGCTATGGAGCTCGCCAGAGAGAGCCATGGAACTGGCGTCTACCGCCGAAGGCTTCTCCGGAGCGTACAGCTCTTCCAAACCTTGCCGTTCCGGTTGCTGCAGAACTGCCATGTATGCGTCTCGGTGCTTTGGTTGGGACATAAACTGGTCCCAAGTCGTTGCCGCTTGTGTACGCCGACAGAAGTCTCTGCCTTGTGAGAAATATAAAGGTTGAAGTTCCTGGTTATTAGTGCATGTTTGATCCAATAGCCAAGTCACAACATGAGAGGAGCTGAGTTTATCCAATGAGCTCTTCTTGCAGACGTCCAAAATGCTCTGATGGACTTCCGGGGGCGCGATGAACGCAACCGACTGCGTCCTTCCTAACTGACGCATTCGCATCGCAGCTGCTATGTATTAGTACATATCCTTTGCATCCTAAAGAAGGTTGACTTACCTTGAACAGTGTGATCCTTAGTCTGGTTCAAACCTAACGTTAGTGCGCCCCTAGCCTGAGCTGGCAGCTTTAAATCCGTGCCCCGAGTATGCGCCTCGTCCAAGTAAACCAAGCAATTATCCAAATTCTCAGCAAAAGGGGTGGCAATCAACGGAACAGTCTTACCAGCTCGGTACTGGACCCAAGCCTTGTTATCAGATCCAAAATAAACAGCCCCCTGAGCCTTAGGAAGCCGGTCCAACCATGCTTTAACCAAGGATCGATTATCCATTTCCAAAATGAAGGCGCCGGCGTCGATGAGAACACGCATGTTATTCGCGCTGAGATGGTCCAGCAGCTCAAACTCTGAGAAACGTCTCCCGTGCTTGTTGGCCGCTAAGATGTAACCCCGGTTTCTCTTCTGGAGGAGATATGTCAGTACCTCTGCATTAGTATGCGATAGGCCTGGCAGATCGTGCTGTTCAATTGTCATCGGAAGCAAACGTCTGTTGTCATTCGTGCCGCTGAAGCCAGTCGTGATCCCTGGCCTGTTACCTCTTTCCTCTGCCCATAGTTTATCAGCAGAAAACAAAGGAACGTCCCACCCCGATGCCTGAAGCTTGATGCTAAACTGCTTCGCATGAGCGGGGAAGACGAAGTAATTGAGGAAATGGTTGATCACAACAGTCGAAAAGCGCAAATGGCGCCAGATCTCTTCAACCTGTCCTTCATCGTCGACGTTGATGATGTTCCAATGGCGCAGAGCATCCGGGAGCGAGGTCGAGGTTTGCGTCCACCGGTCGTATTCAGTAGTAGGATCATCCGACTTTAGGATGACCTGTAGACTCTGTCGAAGTTGCTTCTGGTCCAGTCCCTGGTAGTAGAACGCAAGGCAGGTAAATAGGATGGCGACGTCAGGGTGGCCCCATTCAGCTTGCTCCGAAGGAACGCCTTTTGCATGGAACGGAACAGCCACGGGGTTTCGATCAGGGTGCAGGCCGTACTGCACATTCCAACGCCTCTTCAAACAGAGGAGGAGGATGCCGTGCACGAGGAGACCACGTAGGAGGTATACGATTTTTCGGGCGTTCGGCACATCAGGGAATAATTGCGAGACCACGTCAATGACACGTTGATCCACCATCTCTCGTGAAATGAAAACACGGATGGCCTGGCGCTGCTCCTTCGTACAGTTTCGAATGGGCAGCATGGATGTTCGTCCGGCGCATACATCATCAACAACTCTCTGAACAAGTGCATTCTCGACGTCACCTCGCAAGAAATACGCAACAGGGAACTCTGTGACTGCTCGCTCGGTCACGTCAATGCTTTGCGGGAACTCTTGGGCCAGATCTCGCAGGTGGTGTGCGACCAAACCAAGTATAACCTCAGCGACCTTCCATCGGTGTGGATGTCCATCAACTGCTAGCTGTTCACCGCTTGGGTAGATGAGTTGGGTCTTTGTGGCGAGGGTAAAGTCGCACTCATCTAAAATATCACGGCACACCTCATCCATCCACCTCTGAATGGCAATCATCTGATACGCTTCGGAAAACTTGCAATCAGACACCCGCTGCAAGCCGCACAGTTTGAAGGACAGGACATGCTCGGGTATAGCTAGCATAATACCGGCTGATCGCATCATGTCCCCGTGAAAGTTGCGATACTCCTGGATATGCTGCTGTGTTGTCGGAGTCCGACGAGAGAACGGAGCATGAGTGACTTCTCTGCCCAAAAGGCCTCCGAGCCGGGATTGGAGAATCTGTGCCGTCTGTGACAGCAGCGCTTTGGGGACCAACAGCCTGGTGAGCATCTTCCTGTCGGCAAGAACACAGGCCACCATTGGCATGATCACCGAGGTTTTCCCCTGTCCCATGTTCATCTGCAAGACGGAATTGGCGCCAGATGACGGTGAGATCATTTCCAGTGCGACTGTAACTTGATCCTTGCGAATTTGCATGTTGGCGTCAATTTCCAAGAGAAGCCAGTCTGTGTACACGGCTGGATCCCAGTTAACGTGACCGGGGTTGTCGTACTCTTGCCGGAACCTTCCTTCATCCTTCTTCAGTAAGGCGTCCTTCATCCGGAATAGATGCTGCACTTTGACGATCGACTTGGCATATTCAAGGATCTTGGTCTTCATAGCTATGCCAAACGCGCCGTCGGAATTGGACCGAAGGTACTCAAGTAACGAGGTCGGCGTCATAGAGGGCCAAAGGTTGGCTCGAAGAAGCCAAGAGCATCGCGGATCATCGATCACAAGTGCGTTGACTAGGGATTGGTAGCATCGTTCAAGAGCCGTATAAGCCTTGGCAATCTCGGAGTCAAGGTTCATTTCCACCACGGGCTTGGATGTGAGGTTTTTGTTCATCTTCTTCAGCGCATCGACACTCTGCCCCAGGTCGCTTCCGTAAATCGATCTCACAGGACAGTCCGAGTGGAGGAGTCGACCAATGATGCTGTCCAGCTCTGCAATCTCCTCAGTCGAGTCCGGCTTCGCCCCCGTAGGCAGCGCCTTCAACTGCGTGTTCAGTTTGTGCTTAACCCGCTGATTAACTTGCTCGAATTTGGGCTTCGCGATGCGAGGCAGATTGAAAGGCACCTTGCCAGCTTTATCGCCTGGCCTGCTGAGGAGATCTTGTCCTAGACGAGGGATAGCCTCAACATTCCTCTGCCGCGATCCGAATAACTTCACCTTTGGGCTACTTAATACCGGATAAACAGGGTTCTTAGCGACAAAGTACCGATCGAGAATCTTTTGCACCTTAGCGACGTGCTCCGAGAGCTGCAGACCAGCATGTATCCTCTGCCAGTAAGGCAGAACAGCTTCTAGTGTATCATCCAACTTGATATACTTTGCATCAAATCCTTCGGTAGAGGGTTTAGGAGTCGGCCATTGCTGTTGCAATAACCTTGTAAACTCCATGCATTCGATGGTGGATTTCCGCTCGTGTTCACGCTCGGCATCCTCGAAAGCAAGGGGCTCAGCTAGAGAAGCCATATGCCTTTCTCTCCTGGGGATTTGTGGTCTCTGATACGTCTTGCAACATGGCCTAATCAGGTTGAAGAGCTCTTGATACGTGACTTTTCCATCCATGTCAGACCCAGCGAATGAAGCGTATTCGGGGAGGTCAATCGTTTTGAGGTCGTCGAAAAGGAAAAAGGCAACAGCCGCCATTAGAACCTGCATGTTGACTCCTTCGCGGAAGGCCGCCACTCCCAATCGGAACATGAGATTGTACACATCGTCCTCTTTGCAATTTCGGCAAAGATTCACCAAACGGCCCCATTCCTGGCCTAAGTCTGCTTCGAGACAGTCGCTGATGAGATTTGGTGCGAACTCGCCGATGTAGCCACCGATAATGGGCCATTTCCGGACGACATCTTTCAGATTGGTGGTCGTGCAGAGTAGCCGAGGGCGTGAGCGGAGTATCGCCAGGATCTCTCGAGCTTTGGACGTCCGGACTGACTCAGTTATCGCCGCTCGAGACAGGTACGTCTTGTCAGCAGGAGCGCATAGCTGGGTAGACATTATCTCTGGACGTTCGTAGATAGATCGACGCCAGTGAGCCCGCTCACGGAGGTGTGGAACTGTCCATACTTTGTCGTCCTTGATCTCTGGGGCATTGGCTTGGAATAGCCAGAGCCGTTGCAACTTTGCAATGATCGAATCAACAACCAACTTGAACGCGTCGTGCTGGATAGTAAAGGTTAAATCTGAATCCCAAGTGACGATTTGCTGTCGCTTCAAGTTCTTGGGATAGTAATTCCTTCGGGGTGACAGGTTCGCAAGCGTCTGTAGGGTTGGTGTCAACTTGGGATTGAAAGGATTCCATGGCTGGCATGACCCAGATTGTAGGCACCGCAGCGCCTCTTCAGTACCAGTGCGGCCTGTGAGAGGATCTGGGATTACGAAGGAGGTAAACGCGTGCATCTGAGCCTTGTTGTAAAGAAGACGCGGTTCTGGTGGACAGTGCAATCGACCAAGCATGTCATCGATCATATATCTGGCATAACTTCCATCGTTATCCATCTTCACGTTGACATGTACTCCTTGGCGTCGATACCGCAGGGTTCCCAACGTTGTGATCACGCTGCGCTGCATTGGATTGGCAACATCCCTCAAAACGATCATGCTCTGGAGACCATATAATGCACCGACATCTTGATCAGGATCGATCTCAGACGCTAGCTGCTTGCAATGGAGATTACGCTGCCTGTTAACGAAGAAATCGAGATCCATGCTTTTCAGCTCAACCGACAGATTTCCACGAGGTTGGTAGACCGTTAACAAAAGCGGTTGCGCGAAGTCACGAAATATCTGAGCTACTAGCCCGAACGTCTTGCTTTGCGGGTCCACCAGATAGGATTCTCGTCTCCTTCCTTGTCTGGTACGAATGTTGATTCTCCAGTTCCCGGGTTTACTCTTCCAGATGTTTGGTTGGCGTCGGACTTCGAGATTGCCGGAATGCAAATCAACCCAGTGCACGCAGTCGTATATCAGAGATCTCGGAAGGTCGAAATTAGACTCATTGCCGAAGACGCTTTTCGGGACAAATTCAAGCAGGCTTGTCGTGCCTTGGGCTTGGATTATGAGCTTCTGGCCTCTGTATCCAATGTGAATGTGGTTACCATTCTTCGGTATTCCCAGCATGTAACTCACTCCAGGCAGGTTTGACGGAAATGCAACCAGTCGCTGATTTCCAAAGAGTTCTTTCAAAATCTCCGAATCTCTGATATCGGCAGGAAGTTTGCCAAGAGGCTTACCGTCCACCAGAAGGTGGCCCTCAAGAAGATGGTAATGCACTACTTGAGGCATGGTTTTCGTAGTTGCGCTTGCCGCCACTGTCGAAGTCATCCACCATTCGTACGGAGGCGAAAGCGAAGACCAACTGGTGTACGGGCGAGGGGTGTCGGTAGGGTTTGGCCAGACAGAATCAATTGCTGACTGCATGCTCGATGGATATCGCTTAGCCAAACGACAAATCATAGTCTTCATCCGATAGGTCATCTTGATATCGCGGATCAACATGTTTCGCGTGGTGGTCGAAAACCGGCTCAGGTCGACAACGAGATTTTCTTGCATGGCAAGCGTGGTTTCCACAAAAGATCTGAACGAGTCCCCATCAAGATCTGTATTGCTGTAGGCTTGGGGCGCAAACGTTCTGCGACATAGCAGGGCTGACATGAAGCCATATCTCGCAGTCCTTTCCGCGACGTCCGCTTCATGCGTGGTCCTGGTTTCGTTCCGAAGGCGAGCTATCCATGTGAGCGTGATGCGGCGGATTTTCAACAGAAGCTGAGTAGCCCGAGCTAAGGTTTCCTGGGCACCAAGAGTACACAGTCGAATGGTAAGCGTCAACATGGTCTCCATATAGTTAATTTCACGCCAGTTCGCGGAAATCGCCTCCGTATGCCGGTCAACCTGGCCGATGAGAGCCTGACAAAATGCAGCATCTCTGAACATGATATGGACAGCTCGCAAGTAATCATCACCCAGCCTGGGTCCCACTTGAAGGGCGAGATGGTGGAAAAGGATCTCGGTGTCCTGCAGACTGAAGTTGACATTTGACGACGCCAGTTCAGTGAGCATGGAAAGCCATCGTCTGTTTCTTCCTGCCATTAGGGTCTGATGAGAGGCGTACTCGTGAATCGTCAAATCTGATGGACACTCGGCGATGCTCGCAATCGTCTCATACGAGGTAGGACCGCTTCCGTTGGGCGCGAAACTTTCCGAGGAGTAAAGACTTGAGAAGGCAAGCTCCTTAGGAAGGTCCAAGGCAAAATGGTGAGCGAACGCCAATGGTTGTGGGAGACGATTTGCCCAGATACCACGTTTCGAGTCGTAATACGTGAGCTTCAACCCCAACGGTAACAGTACTGTTGAGGCGTCAGCGGGTAGCTTTTTGAAGTTATAGTGTGTTCCCAAACAAGACTTCGTCTTTGACGCGAGGGAAAAAGCCTCGCTGTTTCGATAGTAAGTCTTAAGCTGAGAATAGCCACCCAAGAGCATCTGCGGTGCTTCTTCCAGGTTTGGCGGAATCTTAGGAGAGAAGCAGTTGATGATTTCCCAAGTAGCACTGCGATATGCTGCAAACGCTGCAGGGGGCGAGAGCTCGAATAAAACGGCGCGCTTTTGACTAATGCTCTTTGGTAAAAAATCCTCATGGACTTTAATCTTGAGACGTCGACGAGAACGAACGTGCCAGCAATGGGTGCAGCCATGGATATCGTGTGTGCCATCCGGATTGCGCCGCTGCGTACAGAAGGTTTGTGTCATTTTCTCCGTACGGTCTCTGTAGTCGCGGTTCACTTCCTGTAGCTCCATCTTTTTAGCGTGTCTAGATTTTATCGATACAGTATCGACACATTTCTCAAGATCATGCAGTTTCTCCATATCCTCAAAGCATTTAGCGGCAAAGCAGCCGTCCTGCGGATCAGCGAAGATAGTTATGCGCTTCTTAGCCTGAGTGCATCTGCTGTGGAGATACTGCTGAATAGCCTGAAGACGCCGCATATCGTCAAGACGTGATAGTAGCAAAACATCGAGCATCTCCGGTTCGAAACATGGGTGGTATTCAAGCAGCAACGGATACACGACAGTGGCGCATCTGTCCATGTGTACCCATTGTTCGAATACGTTGAGAATGAAAGTACCCATCTGCTCTGGATTTCCTTCATAGGCGTCTCCCACGGCCTCCAAATAACCACGAATCTGGGTAGAAATCTCCTTGCAACGTTGAGAACAGTCATCCGGAGAGCTAGGGACATCACGAGCCGCAGATTCAATGGACATCTCCGATGCCTCCAGTGCAAAATAACGCGAAGTCAGGGATCCGAAGAATTTTGTCGTGGCCTTGCTGGAATTGGGACCCAGAACGGCCGGATCAACAACCAAAAGTTTCGACCTCTGATGACGATGGTTAAGGACGTCTTGAAGGTAAGAACCGCTATTGGGAAGAGTCAACTGAAGCTCACTGTCCTGAGCACGAAGCGGGAGGGAAGGAACTTTGCGTCGATAGTCCGCCTTGAATGCGTTCCACTGGGCTTCAATTGCGGATGTGCTAGCTTCGATTGCGCCCCGACAGAGAGAACCAATGTCTTCAAAGAGGTCGTTATAGACAGGAACAACAGAGGTACTTGCAGCTGCCTTCTCGTTCTCCAGCTTAGCCAGACGACGGCACAACTTGGCTCTGAGGACACTGCACAGCTCGACACCCAGGTTGCTGATGGAGTCCGTCAGCAACTGCGCGAGAACGCCACACATCAAGAACTTGTAATGCGCTTGTCCCTTCTCCTCGCCCATTGCCAGGCAAAGCAAGCGTTGCACCGAAACACGCAGTGTAAGCCAGAACGGACTTCGTCGCCATGGCAGTTCCGAGTTATCCCAGGTGACATCATCTTTGATGCGCTTTCGAAGGAGAGGAGGGTATGCACGGCTGCCGTTGACCTCTATCAGGGTCATGAGGAAGTGTGTGATGAGCGCAGGGTCAACTGTATCACGAGCTTCGAAAACCTTTACGCCAGCCTTGGAGGTTTTGGCCGCAAATTCGTCCAGTGGCTCAAGACTGGCCTTTTCAAGGAACGACACCAGATTCTCCTGGAAGATAGGCTTTTCGAATTCGGAACGAGGGAGGGATACGGCGACGCTGGGGAAATCCCACTGCAAGGCGCCCTGGGAAGCCAGAGTTTCTTCAGCCGTGGGTGAAACCTCAAAGGCTTCGAAGATAACTTCCTCACTGAATACAGTTAGTTAAGACAAGATCGAACACCATAATTATCTTCACTTACCTAGCGAAACGAATAAGGAGACCAGCGTTTTGCTCTGTGATGCGAAGAATGACAGCATGCTGAGACTCCAGGTCACGGAAAACGTTCATCAGCGCCACTTTATTCACATATCTGTCCTCATTCACGGGTCCGCAAGTATGCAGTGTCTTCGCGATGTTCTGCCATATGGGAAGGTCGTCGTCTCGAGCACAGGATTCCATGGTCTTGGTCGCGCGCAGGATACGCGTCAACAGTTCCCTTTCGATATCTTCAACCTTGCTGTCCTGCTCTCCAGGGAGTCTTGGAGGCAGGACGACATGATTGAAGGTCAGTTCCAGGGCACAGTCAATTGTCATGACGGGGGCCCTGTCAGATCGTGGGAGATTTGTTAGAACGATGAAGATGTGGAATAATTTTTTGGGGAGATGGATATTATTATACGTGTGGACATAAAGAATCAAATTCAAACATATGGATGTTTGAGCGGTTTGTATTCATTTCTTTCACCACTTTCAGGCCCTAAGACATTTTGACAATGGACAGACACCAGCTCGCTGCCGTTGATGCTGTAGGCTTCAACCACTTTGACGGATCCCAATTTAACAGTGATGATGACATTGTGAGTAGGGAGTAGGTAGGCTGCGTTGACATAGAAATTTTAGAAGATTTGTATTTGGCTTGACTTTCATATTTGAGATCCTGATAAGTCGTATTATCTTCCCTAACATGCATAATGTGCTAATAAAATAAAAGTCTTTCAAGCCAGGAATCATTGTTTCTTTGTCAAAATGCAATTGTACGCCATATCAAACTGTTTACGATTAGCAACATCATCTTGAAGAAGGTAACGCAAAGACGAAGGAACATACCTGCTCATTTGTCTGGCAAACCAGCACCCTCCGTCCACTGCCAGACTCCTTCGAAATATCCAGCACAGTCTGATCATCCTTCGGCCCCTGGTCATTCTTAGACTCGTCAATAGCAAATCCCAAACTCCGACTTTTCTCAACAAGCGTCTTCCGCAACAACGCGCTCTTCTCGCCAATTCCACCTGCAAAAACTAACCCATCGACCTGGCCATCAAGCTTAACAAAGTAGTTTCCGATGAAGCCGAGCATGCGGTCCACGATGATGTCGAAGGCGAGTTTGTGCTCGTGGGAGGGTGGGTTCTCGACTGCGATCTTGGAGAAGTCAGTTGTGCCTGTGAGGGCTTTCCAGCCGGATTGCTTGTTGAGGATGTCTTCGGCCTGTTATGTTTGGTTAGTGGTGATTTTTTTTTCTTTCGGGTGGTTCTTGGATGGCTACTCACCATGCTAATGTGCATCTCCTTAGTACTAGCGGGACTTAGTTTGCCTGCTTCATTGGTGTAGTGAAAGACGAGTCTGAAGTTAAGGTTAGAGGGTTGTCGCGTGCTGAATTGGTTCAGGAAACTCACGATGGGTCAATCGAGCCACTTCGCGTCGCACCTGGTAACCCAGCTAACGGGGTGAGGCCCATTCTAACGCTCTGTTAGCGATGATCGCGATCTCAACATACGTCACAGCCTCAGCTTACGATGTATCAACCGATTTCCCATTCTTAATAGCGCAAATCGAAGCACCACTTCCGATGTGCATCACAATCAGATTAGTCTTCTCCTGTGGCTTGTTGAGGAATTCAGAAACGGAGCGAAGAATAAACGAGTAACTGATTCCGTGAAATCCATATTTCCGCAGTCCATGCGACTTGGCTACTTGCTGGTTGATTGGATATGTCTTCACGTGTTCGGGGAGCGATTGATGGAATGCGCTATCGAAGTAGGTGATGTTCTTGAGGTTGGGAAAATCCTCTCGACATGCCCGGACGATCTCGAGGGCGGAAAAGTTGTGTCTGGATTGTCAGAAAGAAACACCTTGCTTATTTCAATACCGCACTTACAATGGCGCCAGATCCTCAATTCCCTTCAATGTGTGGTAGGTCTCGTCATTAATCTCCACGGCCTCGGGATAATCCCCTCCATGTACAATCCGGTGGCAGATATATGACAAGTCATCACTGCTAGCGACTTCTGAAAGCTCCGGATCCGAGAAGCATCGTTTAAGCAGGGCCTTGAACGCATCCTGCGGCGTGCTCAGCTTGTCCTTCAGCTCTTCCTTGTGTGTCTGATCGCCTTTTGTATATTTGAGAGTCGGTGGGGGCGCTGTGATTCCGGAGATTTGCGCATTGGCGAGTTCCCGTGGTGGGAGTTCGAATGTATAGAAGGTGATTTTGATAGAGGATGAGCCGGCGTTGACGGAGAGGATTGATTTCGGCATTTTGAATTGAAATTGAATTGTCGCGTTCACACGGCGAAATGAAGCTAGGAATATTAATCTAGATTCAAGAGAAGAACACGAATATACCGAGATCCGATATTTGACTAATGAGTGGACTTGATCGCAGATTGACCTGTTCTTGTATGTATGACATCACAACCTCCATTCATTGTGACGTTAGCGGACATTGGAACGCCCGGAAGTATTTCAATAGAATCACTTCGCTAATAGTATCCGATGTCAGCTATATCTGCAATTGACCATCAATTCCTCAATATTCTTTTCATCCTTCTACCAATTGATCAACTGTCGGAACCGCTATCACAATGCCGGGCGAGAACATCGATCGACCTAATCCGCAGCCACTGCCATCGCATATCCCGGATTCGATCAATGAGCTTCAGGTCAGGCTCCAGAATACATGTTTAGACCAGTCGGCATGTGATTCTTTGTATAAATTCCGGAGAGCAGCGGCTTATATCGCTGCAGGTGCGCAACCTTTCAGATATTGAATTGAAGTGGATAACTGACCATGATTAGCGATGATCTTTCTCCAGGATAACACACTCTTGAAGCGGGATATAAAACATGAAGACATCAAGCCTAGACTATTGGGTAAGCAGTTGACTTTCAGTAGGATAGGTCTCTTGCTAACTTGTCTCAGGCCACTGGGGAACATGTCCCGGGCTGATTCTCGTCTATTCTCACCTGAACTATTTGATCAAGCAACTTGACCTTGATATACTCTACGTTGTTGGTCCCGGACATGGTGCACCAGGTATCTTGTCTTGTCTCTGGTTAGAAGGCTCCCTGGGGCGATTCTATCCACACTACGCGAGAGATAAGGATGGTTTGCATAACCTTATCTCGACCTTTAGTACAACTGCTGGTTTACCAAGGTAAGTCTTAGCAGTGGTGCACTTAACAATGAGATTTCAATTGACGTCCATAGTCACATAAACGCGGAGACCCCCGGCGCCATCCACGAAGGGGGTGAACTAGGATACGCCTTGTCAGTCTCCTTCGGTGCAGTTATGGATAACCCGAACCTCATCGTTACCTGTGTCGTCGGTGACGGCGAAGCAGAGACTGGGCCAACTGCTACGTTAGTTCCACTCAAATGACATAACTGAACACCGCTAACTGAATACAGTTCATGGCACGGAATCAAGTACATCGACCCCGCAGAATCAGGAGCCGTGCTCCCAATCCTGCACCTAAACGGCTTCAAAATTAGCGAGCGGACTATCTTCGGTTGTATGGACGACAAAGAAATAACCGCTCTCTTCACCGGATACGGGTACCAGGTACGCATTGTCGAGGATTTAGAGGACATCGACACGGACCTCCACTGCTCCATGCGCTGGGCGGTCGAGGAGATCCGCCAGATTCAGAATGCTGCACGCTCGGGACAGCCGATTATGAAGCCAAGATGGCCGATCATCATCCTGCGGACGCCAAAGGGCTGGTCAGGACCTAAGGAGTTGCATGGGAAGTTTATCGAGGGGTCGTTCCATTCGCATCAAGTTCCTCTGCCCAATGTCCGTAAAGATAAGGAGGAGCTCAATGCTCTGCAAGTCTGGCTCCAGAACTACAAGCCTGAAGAATTGTTCACAGAGAACGGCGATGTGATTGACGAGATTAAATCCGTCATCCCAACTAGTGACTCGAAGAAGCTCGGGCAGCGCTTCGAAGCTTACAAGGGCTATGTGACTCCAGACCTCCCAGACTGGAGACAGTTCGGTGTACAGAAGGGCACGCAGGAAAGTGCCATGAAGACCATCGGAAAGTTGATCGACAAGGTGTTCGTGCAGAACCCTCACAGCGTCCGGCTCTTCTCCCCAGACGAACTGGAAAGCAACAAGTTGGATGCTGCTTTGGCACACTCAGGCCGGAATTTCCAATGGGACGAGTTCTCGAATGCCAAGGGTGGTCGTGTCATTGAAGTTCTGAGTGAACATATGTGCCAGGGTTTCATGCAAGGGTACACTTTGACTGGACGCATTGGTATCTTCCCTTCGTATGAGAGTTTCCTTGGTATTGTTCATACGATGATGGTGCAATATGCCAAGTTCATGAAGATGGTATGCTTGCTTCCCCTCCTAAAACCCAGGTGACTAACAAGCAACAGGCCCAAGAGACAAAATGGCACCAAGGCGTGGCTAGCATCAACTACATTGAAACCAGTACCTGGACTCGACAGGAGCACAATGGATTCTCCCACCAGAACCCCTCTTTCATCGGCGCGGTGCTCAAGTTGAAGCCCATTGCCGCTCGTGTTTACCTGCCACCTGACGCCAACACCTTCCTCTCGACACTTCATCATTGTCTGAAATCCAAGAACTACGTCAACCTCATGGTCGGTGCGAAGCAGCCGACTCCTGTGTATTTGACACCCGAGGAGGCAGAGAATCATTGCCGTGCTGGTGCATCGATCTGGAAATTCTGCAGCACGGACAGTGGTCTCCGACCAGACGTTGTCCTTGTGGGAATTGGCGTCGAAGTGATGTTCGAGGTGATCTACGCAGCAGCGATCCTCCGCAAGAGAATCCCCGAACTGCGCATCCGGGTAATTAATGTGACAGACCTGATGGTCCTGGACAATGAAGGCGCCCACCCTCACGCCCTCTCAAACGAAGCATTCGCGAACATGTTCACAGAGGATAAGAACATCCACTTCAACTACCATGGCTATCCGTCAGAGCTGGAGGGTCTCCTCTTCGGACGACCGCACTTTGACCGGGCAACTATCGACGGCTACATGGAGGAAGGAAGCACCACGACGCCGTTCGACATGATGCTTGCGAACCACGTGTCTCGGTTCCATGTGGCGAAGGCTGCTCTTCGCGGCGCTGCGAAGTGGAATGAGCATGCTCAACTTATGCACCATGAACTGGCTACCCAGTTGGATCAGGAGATCACTGATACCAAGAAGTATATTCTTGCAAACCGACAAGGTACGTCGTTTCCATCTCGTTTTATTGGATGTAAGGCTGACAAGTATGTGCAGATCCCGAGGAGTTGTATGACATTCCGTCTTTCGATTAGATTTGTCTCAGTGCCTATGTATAATTTAACAGTATTATAATAATAAAGATCTAATGGCAGCAACTTCCATTTGTGACATCATCAATACCTACGTCCATTTTGTTTTTACCCGCCTCGACTGTCATCTTCTCAGCTCATTTCATCATGTCTAAACTGTCCTTTAAAGGGCGAACCTTCCAGACAATCTCAAGCACCGCTGGATAGATAACATCGAATACACAGCCTGGGCACCATTCCTCGAAGCCAATGTAGTCTACAAACGCCCCATCGAAGAAGACCCCGAAGTGCAAAAGTTATACCAGGGTATGCCCCCACTACATACAGTTAAGAAAGCATTTATAATCTTATTCTTATCTATAAAGACGCCATAGCAAGCGGCCTGGACTGGCCCATACGACCCCTTCCATAGCCCGAATGGCCCGCAACTCACTGCGAGAGAATCGAGTATCTCAAGGACATTCTCGACCATCTGAATGTACAGCATAATTTGCAGAACATTCAAGCGGCAATTCAATGACATGAGACTATTCCTCCTCCTGTGTTTTCGGATACGCTTGTTTAATTTCAGAATGGCCGGAAGATGGATGAGAGGGATCCGGATGTTGCTGCACTTTGAACTGAGGTAAGTGATTGAATAAATCTATGATATTGCCTCTTCGTTATTTGACGGTTATCTAGGGGTTCTAATGCTTTTTATCTTCATTAGACTAGCAATTCATCTGTCAATAGAAGACCGAGTCGGCCGTCCCGAAAAAAATCCGAAAGAACCGCAGCAAAAAGGACCGACCAGAAGAAAATGCAACCCTAACTCTCTTACGCAACATGCTCCTCTGGGGCACCATGATTTTCGATGCGATATTCGTAACCTTCTGTCCTTGGCACCAAATAAGGACTCCGGAGCCATTCCGGAAGAGCTGGACATCCCCGTCCCTTGTCCGGTGTTATTATGAGGTACTCACGCCTGTGGCTTTCAAAGTAGTAATATTCGAAGTTTTCATACCTAGACCAACATCAATATGGACCTGCGTTTGCCTGTGCGGCACTTACCCTAGTTTTCGCAGAGCCCTTCCCAAGTCGCTCCAGAACCTTTGTTCCATCGCACTTTTCCTGTGATCTTCTGTGGGCCATTCTAGATCCCAAAAGCCAGACGTATACCAGACTATCTATCACTTTTTTTTTTTTTTTTTTTTTTTTTTTTCGATATAGGACCAACCCAGACCCCTGAATCGTAGATTGCAAGTGCCTTTGCCAAGGAAAATTTTGAGAATTTTGCATTGTCCACTTGGTACTTCACCCTTCGGTACAATTGGCGTCGTGTTTCTTCATCTAAGTCTGCCGGATTAAGTTTATCACAGGCATGGTGATGTAGAATTCTTGATGGTGTGCAGATTCTGAGTGTAGAGATTTATTTGAGGCGAGGAAAGTCATTGTGTAATCGGAGAGGCTAACTACTTGCTACGTAACCCCGACTTCTATCGCGGAAGCCTGCAATCTTTGCCTCTGACTTACGTCTTCGAAGGGCAAGAAAATCACACTGATATCGTCCGTGTTCGAGTTCATTGGCTTCGGCGGAGGATCCACACCCTGCGTCTTCAACCAACAATGCTGGTTTGTATAATCCAGAGCATTGCACTGGGGCTCATTGACACAGCTATAAAAGCACGATTGATAAGAAGGAGAGCTAAAGTCCCGGAGAGTCGCGGTTGCAACATCTGAATCGCTATTAGCAACTGAGAAGAAACTATGTAAAAGGATTTCCGCAAGGAAAACTCACGAACGCCACATAACTGTTTGTACTTTCGGCCGTTGCATTGAAAGATTTTTGCGTGGGCAGAGGGGCCTTGAGAGTACATGGTCAGTACTATTCTTTATTTTCAAGGGGTTGAAACCATACACTGGGGATTGCACTCGACGTCCGGCCCTGGGTCATCACAGCAACAGCAACCGCATTTGTATCTCTTGGTCCCTTTCCGAGCCTGGCCCTGACACATGCGAGTAGACCCGGGTTGTCCAGAAAGCGCTAGTCCCTGGGCTTGCGCGGTGGGGATCCCATTGAGGAGAGAGGTGGCGAGGACAAAGATGCCGAGGGGTTCAAATAGTTTGACCATTTTGAAAAGAGAGTGAGTACAACTAATGCTCACGGTTTTGGCAAAGGAGCAGGAGAAAGAGGAGGGAAGGGAAGCTGCCGTTTTATTGCCTCACGATGTGGTGGAAACGGGACCCAGTCGAAATGAGGCAAGTGTGCGAAGTTTCTTAACCGACTCCATCAGCTGAGTGTTGCATTTTCAGCCGAGGGGCTGCATCGTGGAATAGTTAATGATCAGCTTGTGGACCTGTGCTTCAGCAGTACCATGCATGCATATGGGCTATCGAAGGATGACATTCATCCGGGATACGCGAGAAGCTAATCCATTTCAGCGCATAAGTAGGCAACGCAGTATATGGTATGAGTGGTTGACTTCATTTAGTAGAATTTGTACCCGGGGAATCGATCAGTTTGAAGTCCCGTTCACTGAGCAAGGCTGTGTTGCAATCTCTACTCCGTACTCCTTGATACTACGAGATCATAAAGACCTGTCATCCGATACAGAAACATACAGAAACGATAACAATTTTACATGTAAAGCTATCAGCTATTGATAATCATCACCTTCTGTTCTCGCTCTCAAAGCAATGGCAGCAACAATCATAAAGCAACATGTGAATCAATGTGAAATAACGAGGGGTTCCAAGCATTCGAGCTTGGAATAACGAGGATCGCTCCCAGCTTGACAGCACTAGACAGAACACAGCACTGCGACCTTTTCGACCTTACTTCCACAGCGGGAAGAATGTGGCGGGGCATCCTGTATTTGGGTCGATGGAAGAGATTGGCTCGGGTTTCAAATAGCAACCTTGGCCAGTGACCCAATCGGCAGCATCGTATTGGCTCTCTTCGGCCACAAAGGCCTCCATGCACTCATCATGGGTTTTGATATTGGTTCGTAAGTCGCCAGACTGGCTCATGTTGCAGTGGTTGCATCTGACTCTGAAAGGCATTCCACCACGGTAGACGACGGCGTTGTCATTGATGCACTGGTTCGGATCATCGACCTGCTGTTGCGCTGGTTTGGAGCATCCATTGCCGCAGCCCTCGCAGGCGCCGGAGCATCCCACGGCGTGGGCACTGGCGAATGTGGGTGCGTTGAGAGCTGGTGGTCCGTCGTTGATGCTCTGGTAGCAGATACCCCTCTTCTCATCGAAGTCGACGCTGCTGCAGGAAGGAGCGGCCGAGCACAATTCCATGCATTCTTCCAGCGACAAAAGCACGTCCTTGGAGAGGACCTGTGTTCCATGGCGCTTCTTGCAGTCCATACGGAATGTCTGTATGTATTGTGAGCCAACATTCACACTACATCCAGAGATGTGAGATGACTTACCTGACCGTGCGAACTAACGTAGATTTGGCCATTTGCTCCGGGACAGCTCGTAGAGCAAAGGCGGGATGTCAAGCTAGGCGTCTGCGTTACAGGAGGGTCGGTGGCGAAGGCATAAAGCTGGACACTATGCGCCGTCTGCGAAAACACGCCAAAGTCGTAGAGCACGCATTGGTCAATCGAGGGATCAAAGGTAGCACTATCGGTCTTTAGCAGAGATACATTTGTTAACAGGGTTTATGACTCACGCCTGGCAGTTTGGCACACCCGAACATTGATCAATACAGTCCTCATAAGTGTGAACCTGAGGAAGGTCAAGGGAGAGAGCCTGCGCATTGGCAGCTGTGCAACATTGTAAATAGTACCATGTGCCATCGTATGACTCCCATACAGACCCGTCACCTGTCAAGCGTTAGTTACTTGAGCAAAGCCAATTTGTGAGTACATACTGGTAGGACACGAGACCTGCGTTGTCGGTGGAGGCGAGAGATTCAGTCCGGGTCTCGGGACAGGACAGTTACCGGGTGCACCACCTCCACCGCCTCCTGGAGGACCAGTTCCGGGAGCCGGCGGCGGGTTGCCAGGGCTGATAGAGCTCCGGGTGCACCACTGCCTGGCGGAGGGCTGACAGGATTGATGGGAGCACCTCCGCCTCCGCCTCCAGCACCACCACTACCGCTGCCTGGTGGCGGGTTTGCAGGGTTGATGGGTCGCTGCTGCTGAGCCGCAACACCCGCAGCCCCCAGTAAGGCCGTGAAGACCAAGGAGGCGTACTTTTCAGGCTTCATGGGAACGGAATTGACAAAGACCCGTTGAGAAAAGGAAGAGAATAGTTGCAGGGATGGGAAAAGAAAGAGAACAACAGAAGCGAAGGAAAAAGGATATCAGGAAGCGGGGGGAATACTTATAAGAAGCAGCTACTGTGGCTATCTCAAATAAGCGGAGATGCGCCAGACTCTTCCGGAAGAGGACAGATGTACGACGAAGGTGGATGGGACATGTCCATCTCTGCCAGCGTCAATCATTGTCCGGTTTTGCAAAGTTCAGCTGGCTGGTCTTGCTCCGAGTACGAGGGTGACATTGTAGCGCTTGGTCCAGACGCAATGTGACGAAGTTGCATATGCAATAACAAAAAGCATTTGGAAGAAAAGGAAAAGAGGGGCATCGGGGCGCCCTCATGACCAGTGATTTCTCGATCTGAGCCAGCTGAAGTACAGGATTTTCTTTCGGCTCATCCATCAAGTTTCACTCGAGGCATTTAGTTGGGGAGTAGGGCAATCTTTCACCGGAATGCATATCGAGAGCTGAGAGCGGCTCACTCATCCGGTGCGATCAGTTTAACTTCGTTTATCAGTTGCGTAATGGATGCAGCCAACACATTCGGGGAATGGATCGCGAGGAAGATGAGAAGCCAACGTGCATACGTCGGTCAAGGGAGGGGAGAGGGGTCGGGAATTTCCTGGAGGCAAAGGAAATGACAAAGGCAAGTCTTGCACTTCCCATCCATATCGAGTATAAAGAGGGGGTGCCGATGCTCGCAGCTGTTCAGTTTTCGGCCAATTTCCAATTACCTTTGTCGTCTTACACAGTCATTCTACGAAGTCAAAAAGGTATTTCTCTTATCGATACAGCACCTTGACTTGTGCAATACTAATCAGGCCATGGTCTCAGGATACGAAGCCTCCATTCGTCTACCATGAACATCACGTCCCTCAGCCTGCTTTTCCTGGCCATGTTGGTTGGTCAGTCCTACGCGGCAGGCTGGCAGAGAATCCCCAACTCCAACCCTCTTGTTGGTTGAACATCTTCCGCTGGTGGCCTGAAGCTGGATGTCCCGGAGGTCCAGCAATCCCGCAGCCGCAGCCTCCCCTGGCTCCTCAGCCAAACCCCAAGCAACAGGCGCAAGCATTCTGCAACGGCAAAAATGCTGGCTCGATATCCCTGTTCAAAGCTGACGGAACCCACTATGGCTGTTTCAACCCGACATGTTCTGAGAGCAGCGGGTGGATTCCTGGTCACTGCAAGTAAGCCATGAGACCGGCTGGACTTACGGCATGACCGACTACGACTTCCGTTCTTCCAATGGTGAGATGGAGACGGAGGGGAGGTATCGGATTGATTTGACGATTTGGGGGGATGGGGAGGGGAGTTGGCTGAGGGGTTGCAAATTTGATCAAGTTGATTTGTTTTTGTGGACGATTCGATGCATATTCATGTATTTAGTATCGCATTAGCTCAATTTAGCCTGATGCGGGCGTGTGGATTTGTACAAGTTGTCCTTGACTTAGGGCGGAGCGGCCCGTGGCCCGGTAGATATTTCCAATCCATAATACTTGTAAGAGAAGCTAAGAATCTACAAGTAGTTTAGTGCGCTTCATTTTGACGACTATAAAGTTCACACATAGGCCAACCGGTTATCTACACTTGTTGATCGGCTAGTGAACTAGTATCATCTTCAGCTCTTTCAGCTGTTCAGTTTCCCCACATGCCTGTATATCGACAGAACATCTCAGACCTGATCCACCAACATCATCCTGCATGCATTAGCAATGGGTCTGTCCACCCGGCAGTCGATTCTTTGCGATCCCAAATGAAAATACGATTGCCGAATCCAAGTTTGCAGAAGGAATCACACCGCTCCCCACCAGCCCTACATACATAGTAGTATACAACTGTAGATCTTGTTGGGTATTCTCCCCTCCCCTCTCAATTGACTCGAATGACTACTACATAGACCACGCAGGAATTCTTTCTCGCTGCGACGGTCAATCTGCCTCTTCATCATCACCATGTCTTCCGATACCATTGCAAACTTCCAAGTCACCGTTCCCCTTACTCTCCAGTTCAATGCCTCCTTCGAAGGCGTCCAGGTGGTGGGTGCGTCGATGGACGGCGGGCCCGTCCCAATCAATCTCCTAGGAGACAAACCCCCCGCGGCTCAGACGGAATTCCAAGAACCAGATACGAAAGTATGGCCGGATGGGTTGGAGAACTTGAGTCTGGTGTCGGCCAACGAAGAGCTTCAGTGTCCGGATTCTTCGAAGATGCAGTATTACATCGTCCACGAAGATCCTCAGATCCTGTATATCCCCGAGTTTGTCTCTGCGGCAGAGATCACGCATCTGCTTGACGCGACGTGAGTTATTCCCCTACCCTGGAGCAAGTTTGTGCAGGCTGGGAAACTAATGGTTATCGAACAATAGCAAAGGCAGCTTCTCCTTCGCATGGGTCTATCGCGAAGGCGTCAGCAGTACCGACGACAGCTTCCGCAAGTCCGAAAACGCCTGGCCACCCCGCGACGAGGTCGTTCAATGCATCGAGAAGAGGGCCGTCTGTTTCCAACCCGACCATCCCAACCTTCTACTAGAAGAAATCTCCGTGTAGCGGTACCACGAAAACGGCTTCTTCTCCTACCATCATGATAACTTCGCATCGCCCCCGAACCGCATGAATCGCCTGTCTACCTTCAATGTCTTCCTCCAAGGCGATTGTACCGGAGGTGGCACGCACTTTCCTTGGATTCCCAGGCCCGAGCATCCCAACTGGTGCCAGTATATCGACTACGAGTCGACTGAGACTGGGACTATCTTCAAGCCCATTGTGGGAGCTGCTGTGTTTTGGGTGAATACAAGGGAGGATGGCACTGGGTTTGTGGAGATGTTGCATGCTGGAATGCCCGTTAAGTCGGGGACAAAGGTTGGGATGAACATTTGGTCATGGGAGAATAAGACCGAACAAGCGCTTTCGGAAGAGGATGTTTTAGTTACGCAGTGAGGGGTTCAGTTGCTACAATTAGGGGTGTATCACTTAGCAAGATGTAAATTTTCAATAAACTTTCTTAGAGAAATCTGGTTCTCAATTCTACGAAACTTGGACACTGTAGCCACACTTCAGCTATGAGATCATGCTGTAGCAGTCACAGCTGGCTAACTCAATTCCGCAGAAGACCACCGGGTCCAAATTGGCATGGGCATGTATGTGCGTGTCGGGGTACGCACAGATCTCAACAGGACAGCTGAGAACCCACGCGCAGCACCGGAACCTATCCAGGCCCCATGGTTGCCAACACTCACCTGCAAGACGTCGAGGCCATTTCCTCAACCACATCACGGCCCAATAAGTCATGCAGGGACCTAGGGACCTGTTTCCAGTCACTCTACCAACCTGATTGATCCACAGCTGAGCTGGCCTCCCTATCATAAAGCTACATACTGCATACGGAGTACTCCGTGCTCCGTACATCTGCATCTAGCTGATCGAGATCGGCACGGACATATCAAAAGCTGAATCTCGTCGATTTGACATTTAAGTTTGAGATGGATCTGTCGCCTGCAGGGTTACATCTCTGCAGACAACTGTACGAAAATGGCACTGTGCATATGCATATTCGATTCGGCTCCCCTCGGCTGAAATGGATCATCGTATTCTGTGATGGAATGGTGGAGAAGACAAGATGCTGGATACTGTCCGATACCACACCGCACCATCAAAGGGGAGAGGGGGGGGGGATGAAGCTAACGCAGACAGAGGGGGATGCTGAGCTGAAAGAGGACGAACCAATGATTTGAATTGAGGACTCATGTATATATACCTCGCTTCTGTCAAGTACCCTGAGGACAAGGCACCACCACCAATCTCCATCCATTCCACTGCCATGTCTTCGTGGAAACGTTCTACCGGGGCCGCTCTCCTGCTCAGTTTTTACCTGACGGGATAGGCCCATGCTAGAAGCTGTGTTGGGACACAGGGTCAACAGCCCAAGCCCAACCCGTCTGTCATTAGTAGCACTCCATCCTGCCCTCAAGGTCAGTCAAATTAGCCTCGCCAAAGAGCACGCATGTGTAGAACTTCTCTTAACATCCAACACAGACGATGGTAACATCATTTTGACGAATGACGGGAGCTATTATACCTTCCAGTGCTGCATGCGCGAATCGGCCGGTTCGACTTTTTTGAATAGCGTCCAGACGACCGGCTATGATGACTGTATTCAGGCGTGCGCAAGCACTGATAAGTGTCAGGCGTAAGTGCTGCTATTTTGAAATCCAAGAGGGTCACAGCTGACGAATATCAAGCTTCCGATATGTTTATGCGGATTACAATGGTGAAACCGAAGGTACTTGTCGGATGTATACGGACGGTGAATTCTCAACGACTAAATGTGGAAACTCCCTGCACGACTGGGCGTACTTGACCGACCCTCCGGTTGTCGCGGACAAGCAGGAGGTGCGCCTCGCGTGTTCGACTGACTGCCCTGGCGCCGACGGTCAGTTGTATACTGCCAAGAACAAGCAGCTAACAATCCCATTGCTATGAAGGACAAGACCACAGCAAATGCTGACACTTCTCAGGTATTCCATATGGACTGCCAGAAGCGCCACGGCACGGCCTGGTTCCACAAGACGTCTCAGGGCTCTCTGAAGGACTGTATCAACTTCTGTGCCTCCCACATCGGATGCCAGAGTGTCGACTTCCATCAGCGAACCCGCCAATGCTACCTGGGTAAACACCAAGGCGAGCCCACCATTTCTTCTCCGGGCTGGGCAAGCGCCCACTTGCTGGGCTGCTCGGGAGCTTGCGACGAGTCCTGCACTTCCTGCACTTCCAACAATGGACCGTCTTCTGGATCTGGAGCCAGCACTCCTCCGACTCAGGGCCAAGGTCAGGATCAAGGTCAGACCGATGGCACCACCCCCTCCGTTCCCGCAACCCCGCCGCCTCCGCCTCCGCCGACAGAGGCCAAATGCATGGATGACAACAACAGTGTCGTCGAAATTGACGGCACCAAGTATAACATCCGGTGCGAGTTGCAGATCCGTGACAAGACCATTGTTGGTAACGGACCTGCGGCTACTTTCACGGATTGCTTGAAGATGTGCAACAACAACAACAACAACAACAACAACAACAACAACAACAACAACGATTGCAAGTCCGCTGACTTCTGGGATCCGAATGGAAACAAGGAGTGCTATTTGTTTGACTCCCCGGATGAGCCTGCCTATACCTCTGGCACCAACTGGGCTGCGTATGTAGCGTAGGTGGCTTCGATGAGCTTCATCGGTGCGCGGTGTGGAGAATGCTTATTGAGGAATGATGAGTGAGATTTGGTTGGTCTTTGTCAGGGGAGTTGGGCTGAGCGATGTCCTGTTGTGCATTTGTTTTTATTGATATCGAAAAATATGACTCTGAATGAACTATGTGTTGAGCATTCCATGCATCAAATGAGTAGACATCGTAAAATCAGGGCCGAAGTTGACTTGTAGAAAATCCGTTGATGGTCAGAATTTTATGAAACGCGTGGCCAAGCGAAATCGCTCGCAAACAGGTGGTCTTGCCTTTCTTATACCCCGGCCTTGTCGTTCAGCCTCGTGGCCCAACTATCAATATGGAGTAAAGGCATGGTCCAGTTGTCACATCGCATGCAGCTCATATGAGTATATATATGCCGGGATTGCGAAATCCCCGAGCTGCACGTCCGGCAATGTCACCACACCATCATCAACGCCAATACATAATACAGCACACATGGCAATCCCAATACATGTACATTGCGCATCTCATCTCAGCCTTGTGACTCAAAAACAAGACCATTTTCATGTGGTCCTGAAACGCCCACTCCTGCTGATCCCGCGATGGACACAATTTTGGGACATGGATCCCTGTCTCCTCTGTAACCATAAGTACCAGCCAAGCTGCCGCTCATTGAGAATGCTTATTGAGGAATGATGAGTGAAATTTGGTTGAATGAATTCCGAATCCTTTGAGGCGGGTACTCCGTATTCCTGTGTTGGTCAGGCATCATGGTATCGGATAGTCCGGATGAGCCACACCACAGCCAAGACGGCATGGAGATTTCAGATTCCAAGTGATGGAGAAATAGACACTCCGATCGTGATCTATCAATCTCCCATCCACGGTAGATAACCAATAGAACTATGCTCGGAGGATATCATTGTAGAAAACCCCGAACGTCGTCAAAGACGGCAATCCTTGAAAAGGCCGAAAGAACGCCACGCTAAACCGCATTGGGCGGAGTTTGCGAGAGGTCGAAACAGCGGGTATAGATGCCGAAACGAGCCAATCAGAATGTCGGATTTGGCGCAATTTTTGAGGCTCCGATTTGTTTATAAGAATGGGTTTCTTGTTTTTGGACCCTAGATCGCGGTTTTCTTTGTTTTATTGACAACTAAGCCCTGCTGGGTGACTTGTGACTGTTTTTAGTGGCTGCCTTGTGGAGGTCTATGTCCCGAGCGTTATAATAGCCGTCCAGCCTCGCCTCTTTTCTACTCTTTTGTATACTACTACAGACTACTGAATAGCAGCACAATGTCCGACCAAGCCCTAACGCCGCAGCAGCAAATGATGCAGCAGCTCCGGACTGGCTGCCATGGCTATATCGACGGATTCAACACGTCCTATGGATACATGCCGTCCCTGGCGGCGGGTATCGTGTTCCTGGTGCTCTTCGGTCTTTCGATGATTGCGCATACGGTGCAGTGCGTATGGAGGAGAACCTGGTGGACGATGGTGTTTACCGTGGGGTGCATGAGTACGTTTACCCTTCTCTTGTGTCTGTCAAGAGTCATGCTAATGAGTACAGCGGAGGTCATCGGCTGGGCCGGCCGCACATGGTCAAACCAATGCCCCTACAACTCCGACGCATTCCTAATGCAAATCTCAACCCTGATTATCGGTTAGCACATCCCATCCCGAACATAGCAACACAACAATCACAAAACTAACAAAATCTAGCACCCACCTTCTTCACAGCCGGCATCTACGTCCTCCTCGGCTCCTTCATCAAACTCCTCGGCCGCGAGTCTTCCGTCCTCTCCCCCAGCCTGTACCTCTGGATCTTCTGCACCTGCGACGTCATCTCGCTCGTCGTACAAGCCATCGGTGGCGGCATGGCCTCCGCCGAAGCAGACAAGATCGACGGCAACACAGACCCGGGAACCTACACAATGGTCGCGGGGATCGTGTTTCAGCTCTTCTCGATAACGGTGTTTGTGGTCTGCGCTGCGGATTTTGTGCGGAGGACGATTAGAAAGAGGCTTTTGCAGAGGGTTAGGGGATCGATTGTGCCGCTTTTTGCGGCGATGGTTTTTAGTGTGTTGTGTGTTTATGTGAGGAGTATTTATCGGACGATTGAGCTGGCGCAGGGGTGGGATGGGTATTTGATTACGACGCAGAGGTATTTTATTGCGTTGGATGGGGCGATGATGGTTGCTGCGGTTGCGGTGTTTAATGTTTTTCATCCCGGGTGGTTGTTGCCCAAGGTCACGGATGGGAGTGGTTCGCAGAGAAAGATTCGTTCTGAGGATTGGGGTGAGGGAATTGAGATGCGGTGATTTCTTTTGTTATTTATGACTGTCATGTTGTTTCTTGTCTTATACCAGTGGTCGTTTCAGCAGTACATGTATAGAATAATAGAAGGATGTCGATTCAGTTCATTCAGTCTGTAAATGTTCTGTTGACAGTAATAGTACATTGACCTCCTAAGCATCATGCGAATGGCACCTATGAACGTCAAACTAATAAAACAGCATGCAAGAAATAAGCGATACCAACTCAGCTTCAGAAACGACGAAGAGGCCCCCGGAAGTTTTTTGTGGAAAAAGGAAAAGAAAGGTTTCATGTGAACACCAGCCTATACACCATCAACAGCTTCAATCCACCCAAACGTCAACCCCACAGCCAAAGTCGCAACGGCCCAGACGGCTCCCCAAGCAGTCGCGCCCTCGACACTGGCACCCTTAATCGTCCCCACGAGCTGAACGATCGTGCTCGCAACAATGAGAGTCGCTGAAGTGATCATCCGCTGGATAAGCACACGCGCCTTGGCGGGCAATGCTCCCCACGTCTTGCGATACAGCGCACAAGCAAGGTACTCTCCCTGTTGAGATCGCGATTTCTCGGAACCAGAGTCAGAGACACTCGGTACACCGGCTGAGCTCACAAAAAGGAAGTCCTTTGCTGCCCAACCAGCGGGGAGGAGGCTGAAGAATAGCACTGGAAGACCGGCAGGACCGGCATGTGTCAAGCTGATGTCCGGAATGTTTTCGAAGTGCAACACGAGTTGGGCCGGGAGCCAGGTCGCGTAGCTGATGTACAGCGCAACGGTGAAAATGGAAGTCGCGGCAATTGTGGTGTAGATAGCCGTAGGACGGTCTTGGAGAATGTTGCGGTTGGACACTGCGCTGGATGGGGCGCGTGCGAGATCGTGAACAGAGGCTGAAGGGCGGAAGAAGACGAAGGGAATGGTATTTGAAAATAGAGTGATAGCATAAGCGACTAGAATGGTCGTAGGACGAATCTTGTAGAAGGAGGAAAGGAGGGTGTAAGTGGGGAGGTGGGTAAGGAAAATGAAAGACAGCACGTCGCGTCCTGTAATTACCAATCAGCTTTTTTTTTTTTTTTTTTTTCTTATCATAGGAGCCAACTTGTTTATTCCGAGCTGAAAAGAAAGGGACATACCATCATATCCAAGTATCCAAGCTAAACCAACCTCAACAGCCCTCCACGCCAACAAACCACCAATTTCCCACGGCGAGTCCAGGGGCTTGCTCACAGCCCGGAGCTCGTCCAGGTGAATTCCAGACGTAAGAAGAAAGAGCCCAGAGCTGAGAGCCAAGCTACTCAACACCACCAAAATAAACCGAACCGGCGAAGAAATTCGTGATTTCCTAGTCTGCAACTCCTGCGTGGGTCGTGTGCCCCCTGCCGAGGTAGATTTGGTGTTTTTCTTGTGAGACGGCATGTTGTTGAAGACTAGTATGAACCTCACAGGTCTGTGGTCTTGGTTAAGAAAAAATTGGACATTCAGGAGGAAAGAAAAGAACGAGTTGAAAAGTGGAAAGTGGGAGAATAACAGGGCAGAGCTGGAGCTGTTGGGCGGAAAACGTCAGAAAGCTGCATGCGGGCGGTGAGCATGTGGTGATGATGTCACGCTAGTGTATTTAGCATCGAAAACATACACATGGCTACTCAAACCCTAAACAAGTTCCAAGAAACAAAAAACATTCAATTGGTATACAAAACAAGTGTCAATATGTACATGAATAAATGTAAGCAAGAAAAAAACCGGTCTATCAGCAAGTACTGTACATCTAGTCGGAATCATCCTCGTCCTTTTCCCGCTCCATAACGGAGAACTCAACTGTGCCATTTCCACGGCCCTTGTGGTCCAGCATGGCAATCTTGTACTTGCCCTGGTCCCAGAGGTCTTTGATGGTGAGTTCACGAGTCCGTCCCAGGCTCTCGATGTCACCAATACGGTCCAAGGTTCCCTCAAGATGCTTGTCGAAATTGTCCCAAGAGCAGATTTCACGAATCGCATGCTGCATGGGCACGGAGTCGGCGCGGACCATGGCGCGAGAATCAATGTGGAAGAGGTTATCATGGTCGTAGCTTTGAATGAAGTCGGCTCGTGTCATAATCTCCCGAGCCTCATGCAGTGGGATCTCTGGGAGAATATGGCCGATTTGAGCGTCATATCTCTTGTCCATCTCCTTTTCCTTGTCCACAAGTGCTTTGGCAAGGACCATGGCAGCAGAAGCGTGCTTTTGCTCATCCATACTGCGCAGTAAATGGTCAGTCTCTAGCTCTGCTCCGGGCGTGGACATATAGATCCGAGGGAACTTACACATCGTCATCCATTTCCATTCCGAGAATCCAGCACTTGTTGAGGAACCATGATTTTTCAGCTTCGCAAATGTTGTTGCAAAGCTTCGTCATGTCTTCGGCTTTGGCAACTCTGTTCAAGTAAGACAATCGACCGCCCACCTTGTCGTAGATGGCCTCGAGGTTTTCATAAGGCAAATCCTGGCCAAAATATTGTCTGCGGTAATTCCTCAAAGCTGCCATCGCCTTATCTTTGGGTAGGTCAGAGACAGGGATGACCTCCATCCGTGCCGCGTAACGCTTCAAGCGTTCATACACCCAGTAATCGTCGCTATTGAACACTATTTGCCATGTCAGAAACTCACATTCAACCAGCGATGTTAGGCATTTACCTGTCGTAACTAATCCACTGGCAGCCCACTGTTCTGCCCGTTGTTGAATCATCTCAAGAAGATCTTGACCATCATGGTCGTCTCTGACTAGGTGAGTGGAATTCATGACGAGGACAAGTGGCGATTTCCCTGCACGGCGTCTGCTTAAAGAGACTTTCTCTAATTTATTCAGGGCGCGCTCAATATCGAGCAAAGGCGTGGTATCGCGTGGTCCCCGAATGCTGAACAAACTGCCAATATAACTGCAAGTTCCGGTCAGTCTCTGATTCTGTTGGCAACGAACCTATAAGTCAGGGAAATCGTACTCCTCGTGATATTCAAAGTCCAATGCTTTTCCCAGTCTGACCCGGAAGATCTCCAGGTCACCGTGAGCCTCAAATATGGCGACACCATCTCCGTTGATCTTGCGCATAGACTCGAGGATCATAGACGTCTTTCCGGTTCCCTTCTCGCCGATGATCAGATAATAGTGACCCCCGGCCTGACCGGTGATGATCTTGTCCATTTTTGTTTGCTCATCACGGACAACCCAGTGCTCTTCGTGGTTATATTGATGCTTTCCGTACTCCACACCAGCAACCTCGAGAGCCGGATCACCCGGTTGAAAAGCATTGTCGATCTTTTCCAAGACCAGATGTTTGTAGTATCTATGATATGAATATCCAGCTGCACTATTATCCGGTCAGTTTATGCATCTCGTGTCTAATTTTTGGTGCATACCCTAATATTGCAATAGAAGCGGCGGCGGTAGCGGCAGCTTCAAACATCTTCCAGAGGGTTTGTTTGAACCCGAATTCGGGATGTCCGCCCTCCGCACTAAAGTCCCCAACATCCTGCGGAGGACTTGGCTGAGGTGGTTGGGCCTGGGTTTGTAGACGTCTGAAGAGATGGGCAGATGGACTGGTTCTATTCACCCTGAGCGGCCTGGAGAGTCCATAGATGGGTCGTTGAAGGTTGCGGGTCAACATTCTTCATACGCCCATTAAATTTTTAAATGTCGCAAATGACGGTGTACTGATTCAAGATCGAATCTCAGAGACAAGGAAATGTGAAAAAAGGAGCGAGAAGTATGAAAGAATCAAGCGGTGACACGTTTTCCCAGCGATCTCACTGCCCAAAACACGTGGAACGAAAGAAAACCCGCGTGGGATGAATAAAATAAAATAAAAACAGTAAAGAAAGTAAGGAATAACAGGATAGGAATTGAGAACAGGTCCAGCGACGTCGAAGAGATGGGAGAATTGAACTGAAGCCCCGTGTTGGCGCCACATATCTCCCCGGAGAAGCAAACCGTGTGGCTTGCCCACACCGCCTCACCGGTGCTCGGACATGGCTCTTCATGGTGTACAAGTACTCCGTATGTGGTTGTATCCCACGCTGCATGTACTACGGTCACTACTGTATGCAATGCTTCGATTTCGTACTTAATATATCGTCAAGATCGGAGATCTGACATTGCTGACTCCACAGCAACCCTGGCGCCTATCTGTCGGCTGCATGGAATCCCTGCGGAAAATATATTTCAACGGCATCGGTGATCTTCGGCAGCTTGGCTAGAGCCCCGCGGCTAGCTAGGTTCTCAGTATTTTCCCACATACAGTACTAGTAGTTATGCCGTTGGGTATAAGCTGTTCCCACAAATATGATGTGGCCGGCATACGTTGGGCATTGAGGGGTCTATATCAATACAGTAATGACAGGTTCGGACCAACGCTATTTCTCCGGCAAGCAATATCATCCACTCTGTAGCTAGTCATTAGTGGGTATGGGTATTTCAACCATACTCCGTAGCTATCTGAGAACAGCCAAGTCATTGTGTTTTTCTGTTGAGTGCACGTACCACATATCATCTCACATCCGATACAGTATGCTTCGAGCAGTGCCCTAGAAGTAAGACTACACTGTGAATAGCCATGCCAATTTTAGCTGTATGAAGTAGAGAGAAATTGTAGAGTACCTTTTGTATCGCACTCTGCCTTGTAATAATATACAAGTAGTGAAATGACTGCCACGTCACGTGTCTCCCCCTCTGGCCCGAGCTGTTCCGAGGGACTGCCGCAAATCCGAAATTTTCGCTCCGCTCCGGACGAGGCAGAGTTGAGTGTGTGCCAATTATTCTCCAGCTTCCTCTTTTCCTCTTTCCTCACCTATTCTTACTACATACTCTTCTACCTATCACCATCTCTATATCCATTACTTGTCTGGGGTACGGGGTTGGGTTTCTTTCTGTTTAAACAATTGCCCTTATATCCTTGTACCATATTTTCTTTTTTTCAATTGTTCTTTTTTTCTTCTGATTCACACGTTCCTTTCCTTTTCCTAGCTTAGACCCGCTGTCGTGAGACAGCTCTCTTTTTGTGAATACAATGGCCCAGACCAATGGCGACTTGGAGCACTCGAAAGGTACGGATTGTCTGATCCTCGAACTTCCCTCAATTGAACCCGGAGCGTATCAGATGGAGGGACAGATAGGGAAGGAAGACGAACTGACGAAAATAGAGGCTCCTCCCGCTCAGCCTGAGCAGGCCACCAATGGAGAACAACCAGAGGGAGAGCAGGAAGACGGTGGTATGTACTCATTTCCCCCAGTCGTTTTGTGCGGGGACTGACCGAATTGCGCTTCTCCAGGTCTTTTCCAGATCATCGTGAAGCTTCCTCATGACCCTTACAAGATCCAGGTCATGGTCTCGAGTCAAGAGCAGGTTCAGGATGTCCGTCAATCGATCATTGAGCTGCCGGGTACCTTCCAGTACACTTGCTTCCACCTCGAATTCAATGGCAAGCGCATCAACGATTTCGTCGAACTGTCCGAGGTGCCGGATCTGAAGGCGGACTCGGAGATTGTCTTGGTGGAAGACCCATACACTGAGAAAGAGGCTCGGATGCACATTGTGAGGACGCGGGAATTGCTTGGAGCCGCGGGCGATCGCATCGACAACATCCAGGGTGTCAGCGCCGGTCTGTCCTTGCACGACTCCATCTCCGAGGCAGCCGTCGCTGCTGCGGAGAAGGAACACTCTTTGTTCAAGTATGACATTGCGGGCCCCTCGTCTCTGAAGACCATTCTTCCCAGAGAAGAGGCTCCTCTTCCCAAGACTATCAAGTCCATTTCGCTATCCACATGGAACCCTCCTCCTTACCACCTCCGTCAGAAGGGCCACTTGCTCTACCTCCAGCTTACCACCAACGAGGGTGAACAGTTCCAGATTACCTCGCACGTCTCTGGTTTCTACGTGAACAAGTGCTCGAACGCCAAGTTCGACCCGTTGCCCAAGACCACCCCCAAGAAGGGTAGCGCCCATTCTCTGATTACCCTGATCTCTCAGTTGTCACCCTCGTTCGAATCCGCCTTCCAGGAGCTGCAGGAGGCCAACAACAAGAAGGATCTCTTGACCACTTTCCCCTTCCAGAATGCCATCCCTAACAACCCATGGCTTGTTACTTCCCCGTCCGCCAACGCGAATGCCCACCAGCCCGATATTACCCGCTCCCAGGAGAACTATCTCATTGCTGGCGTGGACAATGCCGAAACCCTGCGTGACTGGAACGAGGAGTTCCAGACCACCCGGGAGCTTCCCCGCGATACCGTCCAGGATCGCGTCTTCAGAGAGCGTCTGACCTCGAAATTGTTCGCGGACTACAACGAGGCCGCGGCCCGAGGTGCTGTCTTGGTTGCCCGGGGTGAAGTGCCACCATTGAACCCTACTGAGGACCGGGACGCTCAGATCTTCGTGTACAACAACATCTTCTACTCCTTCGGTGCTGATGGTGTCGGTACCTTCACCTCTGAGGGCGGCGATGAAGCCGCCCGCGTGGCTGTTGGCAAGGACGTTCTGGGTATCAAGGCTGTGAACCAGCTCGACATTAACGGCTTGTTCACCCCGGGAACCGTGGTCGTTGACTACATGGGCAAGCGTATTGTCGGCCAGAGCATTGTTCCTGGTATCTTCAAGCAGCGGGAGCCTGGTGAGCACCAGATCGACTACGGTGGTGTGGAAGGCAAGGACGTCGTCGCGACGCACCCCGATTTCAAGCCCGTCTTCGAGAAGCTATCCAAGGCCCTCCGTATCAAGCAGCACGCCGTTTGGGACAAGGAGAACGCCCGTCACGACCTCGAAGGCAGTGTCGAGACCAAGGGTCTCCTGGGTACTGATGGCAGGAAGTACGTGCTTGACCTGTACCGTGTGACTCCTCTCGACGTCTCGTGGCAGGAGGAAGAAGGCAACGATGCCTATCCTCATCAGATGTCCGTCTTGAGATTGGAGCTCGTTGAATCGTACTGGAGGCACAAGATGAGCCAGTACGTGAAGGCCGAGGTTGAGACCCGTCGCAAGGAGAAGGAAGCCGCCAAGGCCGAGAACTCCGAATCGAAGGAGCAGGAGGAGGGTGAGAAGACTGAAGAGCAGCCGGAGCAGGAGCGTGTTGATATCTCCGGATTCAACCTCGCCCTCAACCCCGACGTTTTCAGCGGCCAGGTTCCCCAGACCGCCGAAGAGAAGGAGCAGTGGGCCCAGGATGAGAAGGAGGTTCGCGAAACCTGCGACTTCTTGCGTACCAAGGTCATTCCCGAGCTTGTCCAGGATCTCCACGACGGAGATGTTGGCTTCCCCATGGACGGCCAGTCGGTTAGCCAGCTCTTGCACAAGCGCGGTATCAACATCCGCTACCTCGGCAAGGTCGCTCAACTGTCCAAGGATAAGGGATCTCGCCTGAACGCTCTTACCACTCTCGTGGTCCAGGAGATGATCACCCGTGCCTTCAAGCACATCGCAAACCGCTACCTCCGCAACGTGCCCGCTCCCTTCACCGGGTCTTGTGCTGCTCACCTGCTGAACTGCCTCCTTGGCGCCGACGTGAACGCCAGCCCCCGCGCCGACATTGACAAGTCGCTGCGGGAAATCTACCCCGAGGGTGACTTCTCGTTCGAGAAGCTTGACCCGGCTACTCTCCGGGCCGAGATCGAGCAGCAGGTGAAGATCCGCTACCGCTTCACCTTGGAGTCTGACTGGTTCAACTCCCTGAGACATCTCCAACTTCTCCGTGACATCTCTAACAGACTTGGTCTCCAATTGGGCGCTCGTGACTTTGCATTCAGCAAGTCTCAGTTGCCCGTGGTTCCCCAGGCCGTCAACGGTGCCAACGGTGCCAGTGAAGAGGCTAAGAGCAGCAGCAAGAAGAAGAAGAAGGGCGGTGACTCGGCTAACGCCGCAAACCGCCCCGCAGCGGACAACAAGCCCGCTGTCACGTTTGTGCCTGACGACATCGTCAACATCGTGCCCCTGGTTAAGGATGCTTCTCCCCGAAGCTCGCTCGCCGAGGAGGCCTTGGAGGCTGGACGTATCTCCCTCATGCAGAACCAGAAGCAATTGGGCCAGGAGCTCATTCTGGAGTCCTTGTCTTTGCACGAGCAGATCTACGGTATCCTGCACCCCGAGGTCGCCAAGCTCTACCACCAGCTGTCGATGCTGTACTACCAGACCGACGAGAAGGAGGCCGCTGTTGAGTTGGCCCGTAAGTCGGTCATTGTCACTGAGCGCACCCTAGGTGTTGATTCGCACGACACCATCTTGGCCTACCTCAACCTCTCCCTCTTTGAGCACGCCTCTGGCAACACCAAGACGGCTCTCGCCTACATCAGACACGCGATGGACCTGTGGAAGATCATCTACGGAGCAAGCCACCCCGACTCGATCACCACCATGAACAACGCTGCCGTGATGCTCCAGCACCTCAAGCAGTACTCTGACTCTCGCAAGTGGTTCGAGGCCTCTCTTTTGGTCTGCGAGGAGCTCTTCGGCAAGCAGTCCATCAACACCGCCACCATCCTGTTCCAGCTGGCCCAAGCCCTGGCTCTTGACCAGGACTCCAAGGGTGCCGTTGTCAAGATGCGTGAGGCCTACAACATCTTCCTCGGCCAGCTCGGCCCCAACGACCGCAACACCAAGGAGGCCGAGACCTGGTTGGAGCAGCTCACCCAGAACGCCGTCTCCATCGCCAAGCACGCCAAGGACATCCAGGCCCGTCGTCTGCGCCGTATCAACATGGCCTCTCGCGTGTCGTCTCTCGGCACCATGGTCCAGCCTCAGGTCGGTCAGTCTGCATCTCAAACGGCTGGTGTGGGCGGCTCCGGAATGGATGCTCGGAGCATCGATGAGCTGATGAAGTTCATTGAGGCTGGTGACGCCGGTGCTACCCGCAACAAGCAGAAAAAGCGTGCTGCGGCCAGCAACCCCAAGCTCCGCGGCTCGAAGAAGTCCTCTGAATAAGGAGTTTAAAAAAAAAAAAAAAAAGAAAATAACAAAACTCAAAAATACATTGACGGGAAAGATTTACGTTTGACGACGATTTGATGTTTTGACCTCCAAAAAGAATGACGATATAAAATCAGATACAGAAAAGCAACGCGACGAAAAAGAACATGGGTTTATTTTGCTTTTCACTTCGGTCTTTGTTTTGAAGCAGTATATTTCAGTGTCATGGCCCGGACAAGCAGGGCTTATGTATTGTAGACGACTCTCTACTCATCTTCATGTTTGGCGATTTTCTTTTCTTTTTTGTTTTTTTTTCATGACTTCTCTCAATGGTATCCATTGCAGTGCATAGCAGGTTGGGTGATTTCTGGTACTTAGGTATGCTCTATGTACTATATATGACAGTGATTCACTAGAAATGCATCTACGATCAATTTGTATTCAAAGTATCTCCCCTAGTACTCTGTGGTATTCTTGTATTCTTGTGCTCTTGAAGTATGTACTTGTAGTGGTGAAAGAGCGCCTTACCGCTTTAGTCCAGACCGCTTGCCCCAATGTTTACATCTCGCCTTGTTTTGCTCCGCGGATTCCTCTGCAACCTTCACTACTGCAGCATCTTATGGCGCATTTCCGCCAGTGTATCTGATTTCAATTGGCTTCTTTTTGTGTTTTTTGCTTGCATTTTAGCAATTACATTTTATTTTGCTTCAATATTTTGGTATATTTTGCAGACGTTGGCGTCTGTCTGCAGCATCAGCCTGGTCTTGTGATAAGCCGCTAAAGATGGGTCATTGGTGAACTGAGTGGCAGGTAGGATTTAAGATGCATTGAGATCATTCGCGAATATGGACTGATATATGGGAACCACCAGGTCAAGCGAACATGAGCGATATACGACCGACCGCGAAATGGGCAAATCGCATGCTCCGCCCCTTGACATCCATCTACCGCCGATTAGAAAAACATCAAGAAAACCTCCACACCGTCGCGAACTCGAGGATCCTCAAGGAACGGACAGAATACCTTCCCGCTAACACTGGTAATGGCTCTGGCTCTACCTCGCGCGGGTCATCGAAAGCCCCTACTACGACGGCAACGGATGCGGAACGAGACTCGGGTTCAGACGGCGAAGCGGACGACCCCGCCTGGGTCCCCGGAAAACCCGAAGGGCGGAAAATTCGACATAACTACTCGAGTCGGGGGAAGCGCGGTGCCAGTCGAGGCGGGAGGAGACGGAGTCGGATGTCGATTCGCAGCCCCGAGGTGCAGAGGACGTTACCTGGGGCGATTGAGATTGCGACGCCGTTGCTTGCTGGGAAACAAGCGAGGGGGGGGTTATTGGGGGAGACGTCTGCGCGCAGACGGTTGTTTCGGGATGTTTCGTCGATGACGGAGGATTTGGTTGTTGAGGATGCGCGTAAGACGACACGGCCTTATAGCGTCGCTGCTAGCTACGGGTATAGTGGGTCGTGGAGGGAGGCACTGGATCGATCTGGTGATCCGGGGCTGGGTGAGATTGCGCGTTTTTTGGATCGGTTATTTTTGACGTTTTTGCATAATACCAGGATACATGCTACTGCATCTTTATCGAAGCAGAAGAGTCGTGGGGCTCGGTCGTTGTTGTCGGTGACAGTGCGACAGCTGCCGGAGTTCATCGCCGATGAACAAATGGCCCAGGACGAAGCGGACGAGGATGGCGACGAGGATATGTGTGATGCATACTTTACAGAACTCGAAGCTCACTATGCGCCTAGTGGGAATGGCTGGAAACCGCTCCGTGAAGCCGTGCGCGCACAAGGCATTTACATGGTTTCGGAGATGCTACAAAAGGAGTGCATCACCAAGCATATCGCTTGCCGGTTGTTGGAGGAGTGCATGAGTAACCAGGAGCATGACGCTCTTGAATCATTACTGTCCAAGTTTCTATGTACTATGGACGAGATGTATGACTACCCGACAGGATTCGATTCTGTCATATCATCCAGTTCTCGCGAAGACCCGGTTCAGCTACTGGCTACCTATTGTTCACGATTCCCCGGACGTCGGTCTTTTGTTTATGAGGAGCTGGCAAAGCTTCTTGTCCGCAAAGTCGTGCCAGCTGAATGGATGGTAACTGCCCAGTGGAAAAAATACGTGGACGCCGCAATACGGTCAATATCTACAGAGGCAGATGATTCTGTAGCTGCGGCTCATCTGCTCGAGGCCGTTGTTCTTTCGGCCAGCGGCGTTTTCCCGGGTATGCATGAGATTAGTGTGGGATGCGAGGATCAGCTCTGTCCGGTTCCAGTCAAGGACGCCCTCAGCAACCTCACGGTAAGTTTGATCACCGCGCTGTGCGGGATGTACCTGGCGCGGTCCCGTTCTCCCACGCCCGGGATTGAGCCGGAAGGCGTTGGTATGAGGGTGAGGGCCATCGTGGGATCCCTCGCAGTCACGGTACAACATGAGATAGAAATCCGGTCTTCGCCAGAAGTCGAGTTCTCGGCATTCCATCCTCTGCGCCGAGGCTGCATCCTGCTTGGCGAGCGCTTACTTCAATGTGATGAGACCTCATATGACACCTTCACACCCAGCAGCCAAGAACCCCGCAACATAGATTCATTCCATGTCTCACTCTCATCTCAGTCGGATGTGATCAAAGAGCTGGCAGTCTTGGCTCGACAGGTCTTTCGCTGTTGTGAGCGCGTGCACGGAACTGATGATCAGCCAGGTACATCTCCAGAGGTACGTGCCAAGATCGAGCAGCTGGCTGAGTTTAGCGAGGAGCATGGACTCTCCACTTTCCTTGGCAAGGTAGCTGCGGAGACTGCGATGCAGCTTGCTGAGGCGACGGTGTATCCGGATGACCATGTATGGGCGGCGGAGATTCAGGAGCGGGTGGTTGCCAGGCAGCAGGAGCTATCGTATAGGACGAGGGTCTATGAATCAGAATCAGAAGACGACGATGACGGGCCTGGGCTGTATCGCTGGGAAGAGAGTATTGAGGAATGGGTTGCGAGGACACCCAAGTCCAAGAGCAAATCGGTTGATTTCGCGCAGATGTCGCCAGTGGAGACTGATCTGGACAGCCGACCCTCTTCCCCTGCATCCTCTGTCAGCGTATCTGCATCATCGCAGTCCGATGAAGGTCCTGCATCCAGCGTAACATCCGCATCCTCGCTACCAGTCAAGAGGACATTCCCCGGCCGAGGGGAGCCGTCGCGATCGCCTAAAAGACTCCGATCAACAACCTGGAGGTCGCGTGACGATCAGATGCAGCAAATACCAGCCATTCCCCCGACACCGGCCACCTCGGACGACGACAGCGATGATCGCTGGGAGGAATACGGTTATCGCCCACGCAGACGTGGCATGCTGAAAAACCGGACGCAGGAACGGCCCCTACGACGACGAATGAGTGTACCCGAAGGGCGACAATCCGTGGGATTGCAGCGGATGCTCGAGGTGGTTATTACACACAAACGACAAACAAGATCACCAAACATGGGGGGAAGGGGCACAAACAAGCCTCAAAAGGGTTCATCATATTCCACTAATCGACAATTACGATCTCGCCGACCAAGGCGAGCTTCGTCTAGCGGGAGTGAATGTGGTTCGTCGTCTGCTGGGACCACCGAGAATGCTTCGCCGGTGGGCACTACGATCATCCCACGGACACCGGCGATGATCCCGATGGTACCGTGGTCAGCGGGAGATGATAGTGATGATGAGCTTAGCTTTCTTTAGCTTTTTTTTTTTCTTTTTTTTTTTTTTTTTCTTTTTCTTTTTTTTTTTCTTTTTCTTTTTCTTTTTCTTTTTCTTTTTCTTTTCCTCCGATTGGAATACTGCATGGAGTTGGATGGGGTTGGGCATTGTTGGCATTGTACTCCGTATCTTGCATTTTTGATACGACAAAGATACCCATTCTTAGAATAGACTTTTTCAGGTAAACAGATTAATTCCTTTATTAGTGATTGATTGAATGTGTGGAATTGATTATGATAAAGTGTATTGTTTGTGCATTGAGGGGTTTCAGGTAGAGCGTGTGAGATAAAGGCATTGTCTTCAACCCAGAGATATCATATACCAGATATCCTGTCATACAGAATAAAGATCTTTGTGCGTATCTATACCCACCCTCCGTATTCTATACAGTATGCCCGAATAATAGCCATCGGAGAATAGAATTTCGGCCTGTGCGTATACAGAAGAACGTATTGAAGAATCTTTATCCAGGCTATTTTCTGCAGGTATAATTGGATGCAAGGACATGTTTCAGAGATACGGCGCCTAGCGGGTGGCCAAGTCCAGCGCCAAGTAGTTGAGAGTGTCCTATGAGAGCTGATCATCCCGTTCTACTGAACTTTTCTCCTGACTTTTTACCCGCCCCTAAAGAGGGAATTATTATTCACCTCAGCTGTCTTCCCCCCACTCTCTTCTTCTGACTCTCTTACACACTCTCTTACACCCTCTCTTTTATACACCCACACTCTACTCTCTCTTAACTACTCTCTCTTAACTACTCTCTCTTAACGACTCTCCCTCCTACAAAAGCTCTTTGACAGAGCTGATCCTTCTTTTTGTTTTTGTCTATCAATGGTATTCTCCTGAGGAGATCCCCGACTATTGCATGAGACCTGTCTATTTACTGTCTCGCATTCTTTAAGACTCCCAAGTCAATCCCTTTCTCCTTCGTTGACTACTCCCTGGCAGAGCTGGTCTCGCCTCTACTTGAATCTCCAATTCAATCGTTCAATCGTTATACCTCTATACCAACATGGACATCACACCACGCAGCTCAGGCAACTCCTGGGCCTTCCATGAAGCCCTCAACGATGACCTCGCTCGCATCACTGTCCTTGTCCTCGGTCTTGTGGCCGCCTTCGTCTACATCTGGCAACTCTCTCATAGCTTCTCTGCCCATCTCCGCCGTCTCGCCAGTTTCTCCAACGACCGCCAACGCTATTTTCTCTCGCCCCATAGCACCCTCTCCAAGATCAAAAACCACATCGTTTACGCGCCGCTCATCCGGGGGCGTCATAACCGTGAACTCCAGCTCTCGCGCGCTGTCAACTTTGGCACACTGCCGTCGCGGTTTCATATGTTCCTGATTGTCGGGATTGTGGTGATGAATGTCGCGGTTTGTGTGGTTACCGTTCCGTACGGTAGCGATGAGCATACCGTCTCCGGCATGGTGAGAAACCGGACTGGTACCATGGCCACTGTCAATCTCATGGCGCTGGTGCTGATGGCCGGTCGCAATAACCCGCTGATCACCTTGCTTCGCGTGCCGTTTGATACCTGGAACTTGTTACATCGGTGGCTGGGACGCATTGTTGTGCTTGAAGCTATTGCGCATACGTTCGCTTGGGCCATTCCGGAGGCGAACCAGGCCAGCTGGGATATGGTGGGGATGGTGTTTGGGATGAGTAACTTTATGCTGTGTGGCTTGGTGGCGGCCTGTGCCTTTACCGGACTCATGGTGCACTCTCCTTCGCCAATTCGTCATGCCTTTTATGAGACATTCCTTCATCTGCACATTGCCATGGCCGCTGTTGCCTTTGGTTTCTTGTGGATTCACTTGAAGGGCATGCCGGCGCAGAACTATCTTTTGGTTGCTATCGTTTTCTGGGCTTTGGAGGTAAGCACCCCCTAACAACATCATATTGATCAAATAGATACTGACAATGCTATCTCAGCGAGCTACACGTCTTGCCCGCATCGTCTACCGCAACTGCGGCCGCAAACTCACCACCGCAGTCGTCGAGGCCCTCCCCGGTGACGCCCTGCGCATCACCCTCAACCTCGCCCGCCCATGGACCTTCGAACCCGGTCAACACATCTACCTCTACATCCCCGCTGTCGGTTGGTGGACCGCCCACCCTTTCTCCGTCGCCTGGAGCGAATCCTCCGAAGTCATCACCGACGAAAAGGGCATCCCCATGACCCACCAAGACGCCCTCAGCACCCACCAAAAAACCTCCCTCTCCCTCCTCGTCCGCCGCCGCACCGGCTTCACCGACAAACTCTTCACCCGCGCCCAGAACGGCATGGACTCCCGCGTCACCCTCAAAGCCTTCGCCGAAGGCCCCTATGGCAGCATCCACTCCCTCGATTCCTACGGCACCGTCCTCCTCTTCGCCGGCGGTGTCGGCATCACCCACCACGTCCCCTTCATCCGCCACCTGGTCCAAGGCTACGCCGACGGCACCGTGGCCGCCCGCCGCGTAACCCTCGTCTGGATCATCCAGTCCCCCGAACACCTCGAGTGGATCCGGCCCTGGATGACAAGCATCCTGGCGATGGACCGCCGGCGCGAAGTCCTGCGCATCATGCTGTTCATCACCCGGCCGCGCAATACCAAGGAAATCCAGAGCCCCAGCGCCACGGTGCAGATGTTCCCTGGCCGGCCGAACGTGGACACACTGGTGGGCATGGAAGCGGAGAACCAGGTTGGTGCTATGGGAGTGCTGGTTTGTGGAAATGGGGGGTTGAGTGATGATGTGCGGAAGGTGTGTCGGAAGAGGCAGGATGGGTCGAATATTGATTATATTGAGGAGAGTTTTACTTGGTAGTGGCAGTGTATGGATGTGTTTGTTTTCCCTCGTTTAGTTAAAATTGTCCAATTGCAGCATCCGGGTTATGATTCATGATGAGCTTGTTTCTTGTGTCATGTTTTACATTCTGGCTAATAAGGTACATATCAGTATTAGTACATACCGCATTCTTTATTCAATTCTGCATTTCAGCTCATCACTCGATCTTCTCGCGCGAGAATGACGCCTATACTCCGTACATATCTCTGATACTTTGTCTGTTATAGGCAATTGAGCACTTCCAGAGTGATCAGTTCCCGTAACCCTGTATGTATACCCTAAACAACACACGGCCACGTGACATTCCTAGAAGAGACCCCGACTTCCCCCCCCCCCCCCCCTCCGAATCAGCCTTGCCTTAAGCCCTGTCTTCTATATAAGAGCATCCTATCGATTATTCCGCTATCTTGCGATAACTGTCTCAGTGAAACAACGCAACCATGGACAATGTCGAACTTCTCGAAGAAATCAAGAACTCCCAACAATTTTAAAATCCTCAAACGACCTCATCCACAACCCCGACGCAACAGTCGACAATGCCCTAGACCAAATTGTCGATCTGACACTGGCTGCCCATATGGCCCCTAATAAAGAGGAGTACTTCACACTCGGTAACGTCGATTACTATCTCTCCCTGGCCCTGATGGAGCACGTTCAAAATTTGGAGCCAAGCAAGCAGAAAAGGCTGGTTGAGTTTATCTGCGGACTTCAGAAGCGCACGGCGACGGACCCATCCACAGGCGAGCCACTTAGAGTACAGGGGGACATTCTCTAGACAGACCTGCCGTCTTTTGGGTATACTGAGTATGAAACATGGGACTCGCACGGGGGTGATTATACAGGTATATCTCAACATGCCTTCTTTCCACCTTTACTTTGGCCTAATGAAGAAGTGCAGATCCCTGCTCTCTCAACCTGCAAGGCGAGCCAAGACAGCGATAAATGAACGAGAACGCATTCGTCGCCCAATTCACCCAAGCCACCAATATAAGCTACGACCCCCCCCCCCCAGACCAAGGACCCAGCATCCACCGCCTAGACAGATCCCTCCGGGCAATCATAACACTACGGTCCGGCCTCGAAAACGACAAAGTCCCGATGGAGACGCTGTGCAAGACAGCTTCCATGGAGGTTGCGTGTGTGTGGTTCATGTATGCCGCGGACCGGTTGTGGGATAATGTCCGGTATGGGCGGACTTATTCGGGGGACTTGGTTATGAGGCCGGGTTGTAAGAGGTTCAAGAAGAGGAAGTGGAAGGGTTATGAACGGGGGAGATGGGATGCTTGGGTGGAGAGGTTGAAGGGTGCGAGGGCGGTTTGTGATGATGAGAGGATGAGGGGGGGGTTATTGGGGAGGCTTTGGGGTGTGTTGAGCGGGCGATGAGGAGATGATTGACTATGAATATGATGAATATAGTACTGCAATACCCGCGCAACTTAGGGCCGTATTGGATGGGACGAGACTTGGTGTACTTCCATTCAATGTTGTACCTGATACGTACGATGTTTAATCTGTTTTGGATACAAGCAATGATTGTTCACGAGCATGCTTGTATGCTGCTTTATTGTAACTAGTTATTTTTAAAACAGCTTAGAAATCAATAGCGGGGTTGTACGATGGCATCATATATAACGTCTCCGTCCCCAACTTACACTTCAATTAACTGATTAACTGATTCATTCTGAGGGAAAAAAAAAAAAAAAAAAAAACTACTCAAAATGAGCCAACCCGACATCACCCTCTACACCGCGCAGACTCCCAATGGAATCAAAATCTCCATTGCGCTCGAGGAGCTGGGGTACGCCATCCCCTACTCATAACATCTACACGATATACTAACCCGTATAGCCTCCCCTACAAAGTCCAAAAAATCGACATCAGCAAAAACACCCAAAAAGAACCCTGGTTCCTCGCCATAAACCCCAACGGCCGCATCCCCGCCCTAACAGACACCCTCAACAACCAACCCATCCACCTCTTCGAATCCGGCAGCATCCTGCAATACCTCGTCGAGCAGTACGACAAAGACCACAAGATCTCCTACCCGCAGGGTACGCCAGAATACTACGCAGTTAATAATTGGCTCTTCTACCAGAACGCCGGCGTGGGGCCGATGCAGGGCCAGGCGAATCATTTCTCGCGCTATGCGCCGGAGCATATTCCCTACGGTGTTACGCGGTATGTTAATGAGACGAGGAGGTTGTATGGCGTGCTCGATCAGCATCTATCGACCTCGAAGTCGGGGTGGCTTGTTGGGGATCGTGTGACGATTGCGGATATTTCGCATTGGGGGTGGGTTGCGGCGGCTGGGTGGGCGGGGGTTGATATTGAGGAGTATCCGCATTTGAAGGCGTGGGAGGAGAGGATGGCTGCTAGGGAGGGTGTTGAGAAGGGGAGGCATGTGCCGGAGAAGCATACGATTAAGGACCTGTTGAAGAATAAGGAGGAGATGGAGAAGAAGGCGGAGGAGGCGAGGGCGTGGATTCAGGAGGGGATGAAGAAGGATGCGAAAGTCTAGATTATTAGTCCTGCCATATTCCAATTTGATTGCAATTCGTTCGAGCAGTTGTACCATGATAAATTGCGCCGTTGTAGAAATATAGTTAGTGATAGTTAACTAGTTAACGTATTTCACTACCGAACCGCCCAGCACCCCCCGAGCCGCCAACCCCAAAACCCCATAGTAAACGCGATATTTGCAACCTTATATCTCAACAACAGGGGATTGATTAATAGTATTCGATGTCACGGTTAGCGGGGCGCCAAAAACGGCGCTCATTGAACAGCCTGTCTGCCGCCCGCCACCGCCTGCCGTGGATGGTCATCCGCCTGCCCCTTGTGGTATGGCCCCTACCCTTTGGGGGATAGCGGCCCCCTCACGCCGCTTTTACACTGCTCCCCGAATAATAATATTATTCTATTGTATATATTTATCTTATAATAATTTATTTATAACATATTTAGATAATGGCGGCGTGACCTGTGTACACCAACCCAAGCATTCGGGTGTCCACCAGCAAATTAGTAATCCATGAATTGTCGTCCGTATCGATCAAAATACTTGTTTATGGTATCATCACAATCTTAGCCATTCATGTTGAAGCAACTCAGCGGCAGTTTTTCGATGTGTTGGATCGATTACAAGCATGCTTCGGAGAAAGTTGATAAAAATAGGAACTTCAACATCAGACATATCGCTGGGCTTCAGAAACGGTTTTGTTGTGCCGTTTACAAGCCTCTCAAGACTCGTAGGCTTTAAGTTCGGAATTCGGACGATAGTTCCTGAAATAGCATTAGAAATGGGGTAAATATGTAGTATATCTATGTGATCCGTAAGGGCTTACCATTTTCGTCAAAAAATTCTGCAGTGCAACTGCCCTTCTGGAGAAAATCAGGTGGGAAGGCACCGAGGATTTCAACAGTCCTTGCTAGGCGGTCGTCATCAACTGTCCACGAACCATTTTTTGATGCTTCTGCCGAAAAAAGGACTATCCCTTGGACAAGTTCCACTACCTAAACACGATTAAAATCCAACTCAAGGCGAAGCGTCTGGCCCAATTAGGTACACCCTAGTGTCAGTGCTTTGTACTCACAAGACATCCTAGACTCCAAATATCAACCGCAGTATCCCAAGGTGCGCCAATTGTAACTTCTGGAGCTCGCAGAGCAGGAGACTGAATAAAATCAGAAAGATGATTGCCTCTCCAGCAAGCTAAAGGGTATATCAGTTTGGTGCAAAGCAGAAAACCCTGTGTGCAACTTACCCACACCAAAGTCGATGATCCTGACGTGCGGTTCGTGTATTTCTGAGATGAGTGGTGTCCTGATTACTTCTCGAAGCGGGACAGCAATACCACCCTGATTAGTTGTCCGCGCAGGGACTTCTGATAGATATTGAGATATCGTCTCATCTGGACTTTCCAGTTCTAGGAGTATATTTGCTGGTTTCAGATCTGGGTGAATGCTTAGTTAGCTGCCATCAACAACTAGGTTATTTTTATCTATTAATTACGGACATACCAGTATGGATGATACCGCACTCTTGATGAAGGAAATCCAATCCAAGCAAAAGCTGCCGCGTGATTTCTTTAACTGCCTTGACAGGCAATTTCCCATCTTCAAACTTCGCGCTTTGGAAATCTAAATGATGGCCGAGGACATCGAATACAAAGCACACATGGTGTCCATTTGGGCCTTCATGTCTGAAATGATCGAGAAGGGGTAACACATGACAACAGCCGTCATGAGGACTTTTCCCAGAAACGTCAGATATTTTAGACAGAATTTCGCGCTCGAATATATCATGAGGACCACCATAACAATCGGCCCTCAAAATTTTCAGAGCCACGTACTTTCGTGCTCTTTTACTGTCCATAAGCCTTGGGTTAAACTGGCGCGAAAAATCAATCTTATCTAGTGTCTCTAGCTAACCAAACAGTAGAATACTGCCCATAGCCGAGTTTTCTCATCACAGTATACTGATCAGAATTGAAACTATCTCCCAGCGAAACACGGTGGAAACCCCCAGCTTGGTAGAAATCAGGTTCTTCTGTTACCTGACATGGATTCGGTTGCCGTGATGATTGCGAGAAAGGTCTAAGGATATTTGAAAATTTGAATCGGAACTTGGCTTCTGCTAATGTTCTATGAAAGTTGCTCATAATCTTGACGAAAGAAGTGTCCTTCAAGAACAGCAGGGAAATAAGGATGCCTCGGATTAGTCTAAGATAGTCTGGCACTCACCAGCATTATAAGGTTGTTCAGTGAAATGGGGATCGGGGGCCGGAGGTCCGGAGGAGTCGATTATCCGCGACTAGCGAGGTCGTATACGGAGAGATCCAGTTTTAACGAAGAGATTGATATATTCTCGTCTATATGCGTGTACACAAGTGCTTGAGTGCTTGTCTATCTAATGTGTGCTCACGCTGGCCTATATCATCAGACCGGCGGAACTAATTGGTCCGACATTATTCCTTATTACTCCCCTTCGTTCAATACCGCGCAAAATCAATCAATCAATCTGGCAATCTAGTTAAACGAGTGTAGCGGTGTTGGACGCGCATGATAGTAGTGTTGAAACTCTTCCTCTCGCTTAATTAAGCGAGCCCCAAGGTCTTGACTAATCGTCCTTGGCTGACATGGTTGGTAGCTTTCATCAAACCATCTGCAATCATCTCACCTGTGGGTAGATGCTCTAGACGCACTTCGCCGTTTGCCATGTGGTCTCAAATAGCATGATACTGAACCGCTATATGCTTCGTCTTCCAGGTGATTAATCGGATTGTCGGCAATCTTGATGGCTCCCTGATTATCCTCATATATGGTAGTCAGTGAATCGCGGTAGATGGCACCCTTCCCAATCGCGTATAAGAAGTGCCTAATCCAAATCGCTTGCTTGGCTGCCTCTGATACTGCCATATATTCAGCTTCTGTTGAGCTCTGAGCAGTAACCGACTGCTTTCTGCTCGTCCAGGCTATTGGCGTTCCATCAATCAGGAATATAAAACCGGTAGTCGACTGATTCTTTGCCGAATTCGCATATGCAGAATCTGCGTACGCGGTTAAACCCTTTTGAATGCTCCCCTTGGCACCAAAGGTTAGACCGAAGTCTATAGTGCCCTTGATATACCGAAGCACATGCTTGGCCGCTGCCAAATGGACCCCTCGTGGTTCCGTGAGATATTGAGATAGTTGATTGACTGCAAAGGCAATATCGAGCCGGGTGGCAATCACCAAGAATATCAATCGTCCAATCAATATCCGGAACAGTTTATGATCCTTTTGTCCTAAGCGTGGACTATCACCGTACGAATGTATCGGCATGCTTGGACTAATTGGCGAGCTAGCGGGTTTACAATCAGCCATGCCAAACTCTTCCAGAATCTGACAGGCGTAGGACTCCTGGTCTAGTCGAATAGACCCATCTTTCCTCCATGTGAATCGGATTCCCAATAGCTTCTTGACTAATCCTGAATCAGTCATCGGGTGGAACTCCTTGAGTTTCCGCTTCACCACATCAATATCTTTGGCACTCTTGCCAAATATCACTATGTTATCCACATACACAGCGATGATCAGACCCCTGTCATTGATGAAAACACTAGAGTCCGCGGTACCAATCATCTGAGCCGCGCATTGAAATCCCAGCGGTTCTCAAGCTAAGATACTTCTGCTGAGTGGTAGCCTTGTGGATAATTCACTCATTGTATTATAGTAAACGTATCGCTCGTGTTTTTGGCCAGTTTCAGCCTTGTCGCTAGGACATGCAATCAAAATGCCCAGACTATTCGTTCTAAGATCCATTGGCAACAGCTGGTTGGGTGAAGCGACTGGCTGGGTTTGGCGATACGCCAGCTGCACGCCAGTGTGATCACCATCTCTGGCTAGTGTATTTTGTCGACAGTTTAGGATGAGAAACGACAAAGTTGAAACACCATCAAAAGTACATTTGTTAAGTCACATCAAGGACTACGAGTCTGCGAGGGCGCAAGAGCCAGGGGGCTACCATTGTGGAGTTGTTTGATTGCCCTTGAGCGAATCAGTGAACCGTCTCTACGACATCATTTCAGCTGGCGGCAAGAGCAACATCCTCGCTTGCTCTCAGGGATGAGGAGTTCAGCAAACCTCTACTAGTCGCAGGCAACCAAAAAAAAAGCCGAACAACATAAAGGATCACACGTGAGGCAGTGCAAGCATACAAGTAGCTGATTGGGATTCACTTGCCGAACCCTAGGTTGTTTGCCAATCTTGAGACCTACTAATTGTGATATCCCAGGATAGCGCCATATCAGCTTATGTCGCTGGCCCAAATTAGACCAGAGCCAGGCGTAGTATGATTGTGAAGACGAGACAGTTGCTGCCAGTTTGCGGAATAGCGTTTTGGCAATGTACTTGGAGCGTCAGTCCTCCACATACAGTATGGCAGACATAATACCATAAAATTGCTGAACGCTTGCCCACTAAAAACGCGTTTAAATCAATAACCGACCCCGAAGACTAGACGGAGGAGTCAGTTAATTAGTCACGCGTTCCATTTGACTATTTAGCTGTGGTCGCCATTCCTTGCAGGAAATTTCGATCGAAATGACTGATATGAGCATGGAAGGCAGTGACGTGGTCTGAAAGAATAGTTGCTATGTAGGAATCCTACCAATGAAGTCTACTATCTTGATTCTATATTCAGTAATCTTTTTGGCACTAAGTGGGTTAAGTAGGTTCGTACTAGGTCGATTAAAATTGTGCCATACCCCTTTAGGAAAATCTCTTTGGCGCCAAAGCGATTCTACAAAACTGGAATAGTGTGTTTTCCTACCATCGACGCCGAATGGCCCACTCTGCGACCACCTAGTTTGCAACTCCATGGAATAACTCATAATTCTCTGTCGAATGGGCTCCAATAAGCTATTCCTTCTTTAGCCAGTATAATATTCTATCTACTTGTGTTCAGGACGTGGATTCATAGACTATATTTGGGGTAAAGTGCTGGCTTATTATGTCAAGGTCTTTCCTCTTATTAATTTCATGATTTTATGATGTAAGTGCTTAACTAGCTAATTCTAGATATTTTCTAACCTAGCATCCTGTGGATAATGGTAGTTCATCATTTACTTCATACTTGTGGTTACGTATCAGTGCTTAAGAAAGAAGAATATTGGAATAAGCCCACGAAATGAGCAACCATCATATGCCGAAATTAATATATGTTAGGACAATAAGGGCATAGATCAAGGTTTTAGTCCGATACTGTTGCTGCAATAACAAACAACCAACTACTTGGGCTTTTATCCACCAACAAGATCATCCTATATGCCTGTTGATGTCTACATCAAGCGACCAACCTTGCTCTTCCAAAATCCGCCTCTCATGGACTGAAAACTTGTCTTGCGGCGTAGAGGGCATTGCATACAGTAAATGTGTGCATCAGGTATTAAAGGCTGCAGAGACCAATATGTCCACTTGAAGCCATTCAAAACTTCTCACCACAACTTCAGACATTTGTGGCTACTCGTGCTATTTCGATCTTTGGCTCGCACTTATGGCTTGCTTTGGTACATCTCTTTATGACTTGCTACCACTCTGGGTGAAGCGTCTTACTACTACACGTGACTCAGATTGGCCCTATACAAGCTCCTCACGCAATGCTTCCCCGCCGGAAGAAGGAAACCGCTCACCTGCGTCACATCAAAGCCCTGTAAATTCAGGGTATGTGCCTGAAATTATCATGCTTCCTGATCCGCCTCCCGCCCATCGGACCTCAGCCGTTCATAGAGGGGTTGATGATGGATATCAAGAATATGAACCACCATTCCACCGAACACAGCCATTGAATCCTCCCATCATCTTTCCCAAGCATGCTGCTGATCGACCAATGGATGGTTCGTCTCAATGCCTACTGCTTTGTGGTCTACTATACTGATTAAACCATTCAAGTCGCCGGCTACTGGTGATGGCGGCCAGTTGGCAGAAGAGGAGCAGTTGGACCCAAAGCCATCCACATTGAAATGTCATCTCCATCATTGACAGTAGCACGCACACAAACTCCACCATGTCTTTGATGTACATTGTCACTTTCAGCTGGCGTCCAAGGAGAAGCCTTTTCTCTTTTGTGATGATTGCCAGTACCTGCGAATAATGAGCCCAAACCCAAGCTCAAGTCCATCGGGCATCAGCCGCTTACATCCAGGATTTTAATGATGGTGTCCTTGCTGAGTCCATGCCTGACTTCTGCTTTGTATACCAGATGCCACCACTTCCAGAACATGTCCAGGGAGCTCTTGTACTTCATTCCCACTGTCTGACGGCCATTTTTCCCCTGCCGCTGATTGCATCACCAGGAGAAGAGGGCCTTGAGGAAACAGACCATCTCCTCCAAGTCAGAAAACCAGTGAAAATGTTTGATGGGGTCATAATTTCCATTGTAGCAGAATCTAGAGAGATAGACTATCTGTCAGCGCCAGCATGGAGGTAATGAAGCGACTGTTTCTCACTGATCCCAGTATTTCTGTGTCTTGTCCAACTTATCCTGGGTCCGTGGACTGTAGCGTTTCTGATGGAGCTGCGAGACATTGAGACATTCAGCCTCTTGGAGGTAGTACTCTGCGGGAAGCTCCTGTCCCTCCTCATCATCCAGGATCAAGTCATCATCAGAATCATCATTTGGGTCATCACCACTGTCTGGCTCAGATTCACTGTCTATGGAGTCATCAGTAGTGTTGTCTGAGAAGATGTCTGGCAGGTCAGTGCTCTTGTTGCTATCATCATCAGATACAATCAGTCAGCAGTGCCGCATGGCAGGCAGAGATTTGTGAGCGCAAAGGAATATAGAATGGGAAATGAATCAAGCAGGATGATAGATGGGGAGTCTCTCCAGCTGTGTTGGAGAGGGCAGGGAATGATGAGCAGATGGGTGTAAGTCACTGGAGAGTGAAGGAAGGATGTGGGAGAGCGCCATGGTCACTGGAGAATTTATAGAATCAAAGGGAACAGAATGATTGTGAGGGGAGCCAAAAACGGCTCCCTCAGGGAGACGAGGTGTTGTAGAGCAACAAAGGAGCCCTGCATCAGCATCATGGATGGATCGCGGGTTAGCGTCAGGGCCGGGCGCCCAGGCACCAGCGACGGCCAACCGGGAGGGGACGTGGTGGTAGAGGCGAGCGGCCGTGGGATTAATTACACGTGACGCCAAGCCCGTCGACTGTTATCACGACTCGTAAAACGGCGTCAAAGGTAGCCGTTTCTGGCCCCCTGCTAACTGTATCATCATTAAATGGAGTATAAATTGTGTTTTCATATTCAAGACAAGAATAAGTACAAATTTGAGAAGTTTGGCGTTAGTTAGTTAGTTAACTAGTTATGACGCTTAGTCAGATCACGTGTAACTTGCCACATGCTCCATTTTCTCCGCGAGTAACCAGCTGAAGTCCTTGACTACCAACATCACTTTGTATTCTTTCGCGTCAAAGAACGACAAAATGGCCTGGCGCAACCAAGGAATCACTGGTTCTAACAACATCCCCCTAGGCCCCCGTCGTCGTTTTGGCGATGACGGTCAGGAGGATGACAGTCGCACCGCGACGCCCGCGTCCATCGGGGATACCAGCTTCAAGCGAGGCAGGAGCCCTGTTCGAGGTATGTCTTCCATATTCTCTTATTCGCAACGTGAAAATACTAACCCTGTCTAGCGGAACCATCTATGGACGGCGTGAAGAAGCGCAAGAAGCGTAACCGTTGGGGTGATGCCCAGGAGAACAAGGCGGCCGGTCTCATGGGTCTTCCGACCATGATTATGGCCAACTTCACCAACGAACAGTTGGAGGCTTATACTCTGCATCTGCGGATTGAGGAAATCAGTCAGAAGCTGAGGATTAACGATGTCGTGCCGGCAGATGGTGATAGGTGAGTTTCCCCTTATATTGTCAGAAACTGTCTCAGCGCGAATAACTAACACTATGACTATGCAGATCGCCCTCGCCTCCTCCCCAATACGATAACTTCGGAAGACGTGTAAACACTAGGGAATACCGTTACCGCAAGCGTCTCGAAGATGAGCGCCACAAACTGGTCGACAAGGCCATGAAGTCTATTCCTAACTACCATCCGCCATCTGACTACAGACGTCCTACTAAGACCCAGGAGAAGGTCTATGTACCTGTGAATGACTATCCAGAGATTAACTTCAGTATGATAACTAACCCTCTAACTCCTAACCTGCTGCATCATTATGTCTTATTTGCTCTTGCTCGAGTCGAGCCCATGAGGATAATGCTCTCCTCCATACATGGCTCGTTTCTTGCTAACCCTTTTGCTTGCTTTTTTTGCTTTCTTGCTCCACTGATATGACAATACTCGATACTAACACTAGCCTCTCTTTTTTCTTTGCTACTTTAAAGTTGGCTTACTTATAGGACCTCGTGGTAACACGCTGAAGAAAATGGAGACCGAATCTCTTGCCAAGATTGCTATTCGTGGCAAAGGCTCCGTCAAGGAAGGAAAGGGTCGATCTGACGCCGCTCACGCTAGCAACCAGGAAGAAGATCTTCACTGCTTGATTATGGCAGACACTGAAGAAAAGGTCAACAAGGCCAAGAAGTTGATTCACAACGTTATCGAGACGGTCCGTTCTCCTCTTTCTCCGGAAGCACGTCGGATTTTGCTAACGATATACGGCAAACAGGCTGCCTCTATTCCTGAGGGTCAGAACGAGCTCAAGCGGAACCAGCTTCGAGAGCTCGCCGCTCTTAACGGTACTCTTCGTGACGATGAGAACCAGGCTTGCCAGAACTGTAGGTTTCCTTTATCGTCTTATCTTATTCGAACAGTGCTAACGTCGCAGGTGGTCAAATCGGTCATCGTAAATATGACTGCCCTGAGCAGCGCAACTTCACCGCCAACATTATCTGTCGTGTCTGTGGTAACGCTGGTCACATGGCTCGTGACTGTCCTGACCGCCAAAGAGGCAGCGACTGGCGCAACAACGGCATCAGCCGCGGTGGTCCTAGAGCTATTGGTGCTGGTGATGCCGTCGACCGGGAGATGGAGCAACTCATGCACGAACTCTCCGGTGGCGCCCCTGGTGAAGAGGCGCCTCGCCGTATTGAAGCCGGTCCTGGCGAAGGCTATGATGACCATGACATGAAGCCCTGGCAACAGCATGATCCTCCAAGCGATGTCGCACCTTGGCAACAGAGAGGCCGTGACAACCGCTCGCGCGACGACTATGGTTCTCGGGACTACGGCAGCCAAGGCCAAGCCCCATGGGCCGGACAGAGCCGTGGAGGCGACTATGGCTACGGTGCTCCTGGTGGTGGTTACGGTGCTCCCGGAGTTGCTCCCTGGCAGCAGCAAGCCCCTCCCCCGCCGCCTCCTACAGGCCCGTCTGGGTACGGATATGGTGGATACCCGGGTTTCGCTCCTGGCATGGCCGCTCCCGGTGCTCCGGGAATGGGTGTTCCTCCCCCTCCGCCTGGTATGCCTTCGATGTATGGCACTCCTCCGCCGCCACCTCCGCCCGCGGACGGTCCCCCGCCTCCGGTGAGTTTCTATGCCCAAGCTGTGCCCAAGTTTGGAATCATAAATCACTAACGTTGTAACAGCCTCCTTCCGATCAGCCCCCGCCGCCTCCCCCGCCTGCGTAAACGCATAGCTTCGCTGATTTGCTTTGTTGCTGTGTTGAAATGGACTGGAATCGGGGTTAATGGACGTCCGTCGGAAAATTTGATATTTGAATTGCTGTCGTTACCGTATACTGTAATCAATTGACACTATGATATCGGTTTAGTATTTTAGTATTTTGACTAGTAAAAGTCCAATCTGTACGGAGTAGAGTTGTAGCAGACATTTTAGCTTTGACATGTGGTTCGGATAATCCAGTTTTGATGCCTCAGGCTATCATGTGCCTCAGGCCGTGATTTCGATGCTCACCTCAATTTTACACCAGGATATCGTTTTTGCTGTCCACGTTGTTGCTGTTCGAGTCGCATCCGTGCGGATTGTATTATAATATTATTTCTTATAATTCTCTCTAATTTCTTAATCTTCCAACGTTATCCTATACTGCAACCATGCAGGATCCTGCAGCGTCACCATCCCCGGGGCACCTATCTGCGCCTCAAGGGAGCTTCCACACTCCATCGCAAGAACCAGCAGAGCCCCATTCGCGAAAACCATGGCAATCTTCGCGTCCCCAGTCTTCCCGGACGGGAAGGCCCCAGTCGCAGCAGCAGTCGCATCCCCATGTCGAGACACTGGCAGCAGACGCAACAAATTCTTCCATAAAGCAGCCCAAATGGTGGAAAGTCCACCTATTCCGTGGAATGATTAAAGATATCAAGCGGCGCGCACCGTACTACTGGAGTGATTGGATTGATGCATGGGATTATCGCGTCGTTCCGGCGACGGTTTATATGTTTTTTGCTAAGTGCGCTTCCCTTTCACCACCGGGGTCAGGATATGATTGTTAACGCAAATGTAGTATATTGCCCGCTCTGGCATTCTCCTTGGATATGTTTGAGAAGACGAATCAGAGTTATGGGGTGAATGAGGTGTTGTTGGCGAGTGTGTTGGGTGCGGTTGTGTTTTCGCTTGCTGCGGCGCAGCCGTTGGTTATTGTTGGTGTTACTGGTATGTTCCCTTTCTTTTGGTTGCTTGGGATTTAGAGAGGCACGGGCTAACTGGGAGTGCTAGGTCCGATTACGGTGTTCAACTACACGGTTTATGACATTATCGCGCCGCGCGGGACGCCTTATTTGGCGTTTATGTGTTGGATTGGGATGTACGTGAACTCCTACCCTCTCATAGAGAGATGCTGACTTCTGTCACAGATGGTCATTGATCATGCACTGGATACTCGCCATCACCAACGCCTGCAATGCCCTGACCTACGTGACCCGCTTCTCCTGCGACATCTTCGGCTTCTACGTAGCATGCATCTACCTTCAAAAAGGCATCCAGGTCCTAACTCGCCAATGGGGTGCAGTAGGTGAGACTTCAGCCTACCTAAGCATCATGGTCGCCCTCTTAGTCCTAATTAGCGGCTGGATCTGCGGCGAGCTCGGAAGTAGCGGTTTATTCCAGCGCTATGTGCGCAAGTTCTTGGAGGATTATGGGACGCCGTTAACGATTGTGTTCTTCACTGGTTTTGTGCATATTGGGCACATGAGGGATGTTAATGTTGCCACGCTGCCGACTGGGAAGGCGTTCTATCCTACGATGGAACGGGGGTGGTTGGTGAGGTTTTGGGATATTGATGTTGGTGATGTGTTTTTGGCGATCCCGTTTGCAGTGTTGTTGACGATTCTCTTCTACTTTGATCATAATGGTAAGCCCAATCCCTCAGAGAAAGGTAGTATAATATGCTAACTGGATAGTGTCATCGCTCATGGCCCAAGGAACAGAATTCCCCCTCCGCAAACCAGCCGGCTTCCACTGGGACTTCTGGCTTCTCGGTCTCACCACCTTTGTCGCAGGCCTTCTGGGCCTCCCCTTCCCAAACGGCCTCATCCCACAAGCACCATTCCACACAGCCTCCCTCTGTGTCACCCGCGACGTAGCCGACGAAGACGACACGAACAAAGGCAAAGCTGTTCGCATCACGGACCACGTCGTCGAGCAGCGCGTCAGCAATTTCGCCCAGGGCCTGCTGACAGTAGGCACGATGACCGGTCCGCTCTTGATCGTCCTGCACTTGATTCCGCAAGGCGTTATGGCGGGTCTTTTCTTCATCATGGGCGTTCAGGCGCTGCAGGGCAACGGGATTACGCAGAAATTGATTTTCCTAGCGCAAGACCGTAACCTGACACCAACCTCGAACCCATTAAAGCGTCTCGAGCGCCCTCTCGCCATTTGGGTCTTTGTGATTCTGGAATTAATCGGTTTCGGTGGTACCTTCGCCATCACGCAGACAATCGCCGCCATCGGCTTCCCAGTCATAATCCTCTTCCTCATCCCCGTCCGCGCATTCCTGTTTCCACTATGGTTCACGCCCGAAGAACTATCCACCCTCGACGCACCAACTGCTAGCCCCTTCACCATGGAAAGCGTCGGTGGAACGCACGGCGTGGATGAATCTGTGGATCCCGAGTCCAGTAATGGTCAGGGTCAGTCGAAAGCACCCTCTGGCGAAGCAGCCATGATTCGCCGGGATCGCAGCTCGTCGGGGTCGGCGGTAGGGGATGATTTGGAGAGGGGGGATGCGTATGAGATGCAGCCGCAGTCGCGGGCTTCGGTGAGGACTAGGCGGAGTACGGCGAGTGGGATGGAGGTTCAGCCGTCTAATTATTGATACACCGAGTTGTAGTTTGTCTTCATAATAACTGCGTGAAGTGCTGTTGTTAGTAGTTACTAGTTACATAACCATCCGCCATCTTCATGAAGGAGGGGGCTTTAAGATGATATGGGCTTATTGGTGGATTGGTTCACCATTATAATTTCAACGTGTATTTGCCAACCACTAATGTACAATGTGTTATGACAAAACAATTCGAGTCTATTAGATTACCTCCCTCCTCTGGGGTCGTCAACAGCACTCTCAGCCAGAGCTCAACGCAAGACGATTGATTCATATCACACCGGAGTACAACATTGCAATCCTTCGGCATGACATGAGATGTCAAACCAGCCGAACACAGCAGTTTTCCCTTTCACCTTTCACTTGGGATGAAACCGTCTTCCCGTTGAATATTTGCATTGAGGATTCTGACATCCCGAGAATTCTCTCGAAACTGCATTGGACGTCGGGGCTAGGAAGATAATATTAGCGTCAGGCACGATTCCTCAGAGACGAGGGGGTGAACGTACAGCAACATTTCTCCATTAGTTGTTTTCGTGTAAAATATAGCACAATATAGTCACTCTATTGTTCAATGTGAATGAGTAAATAGTATCACCCACCTTCCTCGAATCTTTCTATGTGTCCGTGGATATTGCTTCGCCACTTTTTCCCTCGTTTTACAACACATTCAAGGGCGTGTCTGCCATTTTCCGTCAACGGGAAAGTATAAAGCGCGATAGAATTCCTTCTGGTACTGGTCTTCGAGGGATGCGTTGGTCCTTGCTCCGATCGAGGTGTGGGGAGGATCCGAAAGGTAATGAAATCTAAATCATAGGCTTTATAGTAAGCCATAAAGTGGACTCACCACTAGTATATATATCACTTAGGAAGATGTGGAGCCCATTGCTATAGGCATTTAACCATCCGCTTTTCCAAATGCGTTGGAGTGTCTTTTAGTCGGAACCCATTTCTTTGCAACGTCTAAGAATTCCCGGAATGGTTGGAGATTCCCAAGAATAGGGTGCCATAAAGTAGTCGAGGGCCCCAGGATGTCTCTTGCACTAATTGACAATTTAGGGCTCGTTGGCATCGACCGTTCCTCCGACAGATGTTTCAGTGATGCCGGGATACGCCACAAGGCGTCATAGTTCGCCTTGTAACCATGCAGTGTCCGTTGCCAAAATTTCCCATTATACGCGAGGTCGGTAGACACCGGGTTTGACCAGTCAAAGGGATCGTTTTCTGGTAAGCATAGCCGATGCATCTCTGTAATGTCAGTCATCATTTGGCTGTATGCTCGAAAAGTGGTTAAAGAGCCAGCAAGCAAGTTCTTCTTCGAATTCAACATTCGTGCTGTCGGTGGATTTTTGGAAGACAATTGCTTCATCTTGCGGTAGCAGTAGACTGGGCGAGTTGGGGTTAGGGCATATGCCGTATGATCGGTTCCGGAATGCATGGGCAATAGAAAATGCACTTTGCTTGCGACAATTTCTCCGAAGAGATCCAGTCGGAGGCTATCGTCCCAGTAAGATTCTTGGACCTCGTCAAACAATAGCCATGCACATCTGCTCGGCCATCTCGAACCCTGGACTCCAGGCATTGACTTCAAATGTCGATCTCAACCGCTAACATCCTGGCCACGGTCAGCAATAAAATCATTTTCCCATCTTTGTCCACAACGAAAGTCCCGGAGTCATTTCGTTTTGAGAACGGTTTACCTCTCAACCCGGCAAGAGAGTGTTCGCGCGTCACCTTCGTGACGAGCTCACCTTTGGTGTTCATAGGCTGCCCTCGGCTTTTTGTACGATCCTTGCGTGTATTCTGTTGTCCGGCCTGTTTTTAACAGTCTCACAATTGTTGGGATTGCCGGTAGAAACCGGAATTATTTATTCGAAAAGATGAGAAAAGTCCGTAGGGGTACTATAGGGGTTGACCTAAGTCGCAAGATTAGATGGTATTCGGAACGGACATGGGACGTAAGTGCAAACCAGGGTACCTTTTCAGAGGGTTCAATTTCAGCTCAAACGGCTCGATAGAGAACGAAGCTACCATATAGCTGCATGGCGTGGGCAGTTTTCGTCTGAAGATGATATAGCATTATAAGTCAAACATTGCGCAATTTCATCCGACACGTACCATGTACGCCTGAACGATTAGCATCGCTACGAAAGAGGAAGTGGAAAAGATGAGGAAATTCGCTGGGGGAACTTAGTGCTATGTGCGGGTCTATCTACGTTCAGTGAAGCACCTGGCTACATGTCTCTCATGGCAGACTATCTAATAGCAGCAGCAGTGACTATTCTACATGTAAGCTTTCATTCACCAGTGCTATAGGTGGTGCAGACAAATGGAAGATGTCAGGTTATGATGACTATCAATTCGGATATCGATGCATTACACCATGCATTCATCACGGGATCTCCGCTCCAATCTGGAAAAATTAAGAGAAATCTTGGGTCCCTTAGTCTTCGCCAGCATTAAACTGAAACGATTCAAATTCCAGCAGTCCTTTGCATTGTCCGTTCGAGATTCTGAGTGCGTAATTTGCCGGGACATCGTACATGATGGCTTGGGCGCCAAATCAATTCATCCGGGCTGCTTGTATTAATATGTCGCTTCCACACTGCTGTGAATCCTTTTATGGGTAACTAGGGGGAAATAAAGGGAAGAAGAGTGTAGCTTTTCTTGAGGTAATGAGGGTTGGTCGACCTATAGTTATCACGTGACTCACCGCCACCGCGGTCAACTTTTTTCTGCCGAAATATTTGGAAGATTTTCAACATCGATATCAAAGATTCGCAAACAAAGGCACACACAATGGCGCCTTCGAGTCCTGCGGAGTCTATTTCGGACGATTCCCGTGAGTTCTCTGGATCAGACTCATCTGACCAGGAAGAAAAGGGAGGAGTGGAAATACAGACAAGAGCGCCGAAACGCAGACGCCTTTCTGAATCCGACAACAGCGACAATGACAGCGAAAGTGAAAGCGACAACGACAAAGTCGACGAGGTAGAAGACGACGGCGATGACGAACCTGCCCCGGCCCCGGCCCCCCTCCCAACCATTTCCCGTATCAGAAAGAAAGACGACAAACCAGCGCCGGCACCGCAAGACGACAAGTCTAACCCCGAGTTTATCCGCGACGCAATCGAGATCGGACTTCAGGATGCAGAGTCCTCGTTCAAATCGATGAATGTTGTGCCGTGGCTGATTGGTTCGTTGACGACGATGGCTGTGCGCAAGCCGACGGCGATTCAGAAGGCTTGTATCCCGGAGATTCTGAACGGGAGAGACTGCATTGGGGGAAGTCGTACGGGATCGGGAAAGACGATTGCGTTTGCGGTACCGATGTTGCAAAAATGGGCGGAGGATCCGTTTGGTATTTACGGGTTGATTTTGACGCCTACGAGGTATGTCTCTATCACTACCAATGTGGCCATGTGGGAGTGCTGACGATAGTAGAGAACTTGCGTTGCAGATTTATGAGCAGGTGAAAGCGATTTCGGCACCGCAGAGTATGAAGCCAATCTTGATTACTGGAGGAACGGATATGCGACCTCAGGCACTGGCATTGGCGCAGAGACCGCATGTGGTTATCGCGACGCCGGGTCGATTGGCGGATCACATCAACACATCCGGAAAAGAAACAATCGCAGGGTTGAACCGTGTGCGCATGGTGGTTCTCGACGAAGCAGACCGACTCCTCACCAGCGGACCGGGCAGCATGCTCCCAGACGTGGAAACCTGCCTCTCCGTCCTCCCGCCCTCCAGCGAGCGCCAAACCCTCCTCTTCACAGCAACGCTAACCCCCGAAGTGCGCGCTCTACAATCCATGCCCCGCCCATCCAACTCTCCCAAACCCCCACCCTTCATGACCGAAATTTCCCCCGAAACAAAAGGCTCCATCCCACCAACCCTCCACCAATCCTATCTCCAAGTCCCCATGACCCACCGCGAAGCCTTCCTCCACGTCCTCCTCTCCACAGAATCCAACCTCTCAAAACCAACCATCATCTTCTGCAACCGCACTGCCACCGCTGACCTCCTCGAACGAACCCTCCGCCGTCTCGCCCACCGCGTTACCTCCCTCCACTCCCTCCTCCCGCAATCCGAGCGCTCAGCCAACTTAGCCCGCTTCCGCGCCTCTGCGGCCCGCATCCTCGTCGCGACGGACGTCGCTTCGCGTGGTCTGGATATCCCCTCCGTCGAGCTAGTCGTTAACCTCGACGTGCCCCGGAACCCAGACGACTACGTGCACCGTGTTGGTCGTACGGCGCGTGCGGGGCGAAAGGGTGAGGCCGTTACGCTCGTGGGGCAGAGAGATGTAGCGCTTATACTTGCGATTGAGGAGCGCGTGGGGAGACAGATGGTGGAGTATGCTGAGGAAGGGGTTAATGTTGAGTCTAGGGTTGTTAGGACTAGTGTGTTGAAGGAGGTTGGGGTCGCGAAGCGTGAGGCTGCGGGTGAGATTGAGGAGGGGAGAGATGTGCTGGGGAGGAAGAGGAATAAGTTGAAGAAGGTGAGGTAATGTACCTGCATGGAGTAGGAGTACTTGCAGGTGATGTGTATATTGCTGTTGCTATTGTACATTTAGGTGTGATCTTATTGGTCAGTTTATAGATCTATTCAAATCGATTCGATTTATTCGATGCACAAAATTGTAACCATCTATACTCCTGACTCCTATAATATACAGTTCCCACTGATTATAGTATCATCCACCATGGCTCCTGCTAAGCATTGTACAAACAAAACTCGAGCCAGTATGTATGCAAGATAAATATATATGCACTCAGTCAACGCAACGCTTTTTTCTGTCTTTCCCACTTTACTTCTGTGTCAATAACAATACCAATAACAAGGGTATATGCAATAATCCTCCCAATCAAAAAAAAAAAAAACCTGAAGAGACATGGGGCATGAAACAATTATATCAAGCCGAATGCTCGCGCCTTTCAGCAGTATTCATGAGCTTGAGCAGTCCGTCCACGGCATCTCCTTGTTGGGATGGCGTTCTTGTGACATCTTCGGTGTCGTGGTTATCTCTGTCCCCCTCGTGCTGGTCGGTTCTGTCGCGCGAGATACTAGCGGGCGGGCTACTCAACTGCATTGGTGACCCTGGTGCGCCCGAGCGATCATATTGGTATGTCTGTTGAGTTGGGGTCTTCATTGGATCATTGGTTGTATTGTTTGTGGATAGGGGAGGAGAGGATAAACCCGCGTTGTCATCTTTGTTGTTGTTTGATGTGGGGGCTTCTTCGACGCGTGCTTTCAGTTCTGGAGCGGGTTGGAGGGATCGCGGGGTAGTTTCTTCTGCTTCGGGTTCTGGAAGAGGTGATGCAGCGGCGGTAACGTTTGATGTAGTTCTTGGTAGAGTACGGGTTTGTTGGGGTGTTTTGGTTAATCGAAGGTATTTGCGACTGTGAGCTTCTAGCTCTGACAACCGGCGGTCGAATTGGTGATCTCTGACGTGGCGCATGGCGCTTTGGATTCTGGTACGAAGAAGGGTTGCTTTCTATATCGCGTGTCGCGTCAGTCAATTGCACTTCATATGTTCATTATGAGGTTGAAGGTGGGAGTATCCGTACCTCTTGGATAAACACCTTGCGCGTCTCTGGGTCCTCTGGAATTGTTCGCGTCGGGTTATTCGACACGTCCGTTGAAGGGACATCCTGTCGGGATTCAATTGGCGATGTTTGCTTTTGTTCCTGTGGTCTAGACGTATACATCGCGTCCCGGGGTTCAGGTTCAGATTCCGTTTCCTTCTGGTTTAACTATCACCACCACGAAACAAGATCAGCTGCCAATTCTTCCTCCTTTTAAACTTCTTTTCATCTGAGTCTCACCCTAGCAGCATCAACCCCAGTAGACCGCGTCTCTTCCTCTTCCCGAACAACATGCAAACTGCCTTTGTTTACCGGAACCGGATCAACCTGGTCGATGGTGCGTTTCTGGCCCGCAAGACCAAAGGATGGCGACGGGAGGAGCTTCTTCGGTGACGAGGGGTATCTCTGGTCAAAGAGAGGGCGTTTGACGGGCGATGTAGCTGCGTCGATAATCCGATTGCGCGCAGGCGACAGATACGCGTTGGCGGGTTTCTCGCCGAGCACTCGCCGGCCGTCTTTGACGGGGCTGGGGTGGAATTGGACCGGATTCATTTCTTTTTTTTTTTTTTTTCTTCTTCTAGTAAGTATATACAAGAGAGGGAGAATTGGACGTTCAATTGGCGCGTCGAGGTGTAGTGGTTGGACGGGAAAGTGGAGGGAGGACGGAAAGGCGAGACTGGTTCTTATAGTACTAAACCCGGCGGGAAAGGATTGGGGAAAGACTATGCAAATAACGCCAACCACCGGGTCAATTGTAAATAAAAAGATTTCAGGTGGGAAGTGGGCAATTGAGTGAAGGAATTGGTTTGGAAAATAAAAAACAGAGCAAGGAACGGGCCGCGTTTGGAGCTGGCGACGGAGCTGGACGTGTTGGTGAGACCGTCGCGTGCGCCTCTCGCGTTTATGACGCCGGGCGACGTTAATTACTCTGTACGGGTATTACCCACGCGTCGATGGCACCTCGAATAAATTTCATAGTCGTTCATAATTGATGTTTCTTTTATGAAGTATTTTCGGTCTGGTACTTCGATCAAGCATGTCAGATACTACAAGTGACAAAGCGTCGCGCAGCACGAATTAGGGTTGGGCTTATTCAAGCACAGAATCTTCTTTGTCGCCTTGATCTACCGGATCAACTGTTGTATAGTCTCTCATTGCAGATTGATATTTTCTTGTCCATATTATCTTATTATCTATAAGCCTTTTGGCATATCTTTCATGACCCCGCTATCACATAATTCTGATAAGCTATCTAAGGGGATATATATACATGTCGGAGACTCTCAACCCCGACAAATAGTGGTGTTAGACACGAGAACAGTTGCCTTTGCAACAATACGGCGCTTTCCTTGTCAATGGATCTATTATTTGTTTGGGCCCAAATGGCATGAGCCCTTGAGAAGTCTGGAATAGCTTCGACCAGTAGGTCTACGGTTGCATTTGGTCAAAAGTCTAAACCCAATACGAATATTGAGCCTCGTCGAACAACAGCCATGTGCAATCGCTGACCTTCTGACCGCGGACTCCAATATCAGAATCGTTTATAAGCATGTTACACATGTCTACCCAGGTGCCATTTTATGAGGATCAATTGTCTCGGTTGGCCGCGGTCACAGTATAACCCACTGGAGTAACATACGTGATGACCCGAGCATCAAGTGCCATATAGTTTGATGGTCGACAATTTAATTCCAGAGTGAGCTGAATACTGAAGGTGAGCTTAATTAAATCAATCACAGAGAAGAAAAGAAACCGATGAAAAGGGTATTATAAGCTGATACTAGCTAGAATGATGGTCTCTGGAAAAAGAGAATGCTAGCGAATAGACCAAAAAGGAAAGCATACCTCGGCATGATGCTTTCGTCATTGTTATTGGTTCATTCTCATCACCGCCCACATAAGCTGGGGTAAATATGGCATAACGGGGCGGTGAGACTCGAGATATGGTCTCGAATCGACTCGCATCGCAGCTGTCAAGTCTCTGTCCATCTCCCATCGACTAGAAACGCTATATATAATCCAAATCTATCTTACTATATATTTCTATTTTGACTGCTTCAGGTCGTACAACGCATATGCGTCCATCCCTTGCGGTGCTGGCCACCGCTGTCGTGCAGGCCGCGGTTGGCACAGCGTCTACTCTTACACCTCCAGTCCTGCCATTGACCGTGCGAAATCCCTATCTGAGCACTTGGTTGGGAAGCGCGCGTGATGCGCCTTGGTCGTCATGGCCCATGTTCTACACTGGCGAGGAGGTTGGCCTCTCTGTGATGGCCCAGATCCCTGGCACGGGCTCTGTATACCCGCTCGTTGGCAAACCTCATGAATCCCTCGGGTATGATTTAGTTGACGACCGACATGAATAAACAGGCGGAAACTGATACTATATTGCTCATTCAGGTCGAAAGTCGAGTACCCTACTTATCTCGGTGCCAAATATGATGCTTCTACGACCAATTTCACCTATCTCCTGGATGCCTCGACCTCGTCGGCTGCTGCTCCGCTCGAGATCACGGTTTCGTTCCTGTCTCCCATCACCCCGACATCAACGCTGCGACAGTCTATTCCCGCATCATACGTGACGGTTTATGTCGATGGCGATATCAATGTCAACATCTACATGGACCTAAACGGTCGCTGGGTGAGCGGAGATCAAGGGAGTCCCATCTCCTGGGAGTATGACGTCATTGGTCTTGAGCACAGCAAGCAGAAGCAGGCGTTGCAGCGATGGCAGATTCGGCGACAGAATGAACTCTTGCTTTCTGAAATAGGCGATCGCGCGGAATGGGGCACCCTTCACATTACTGGACCTGCTGTTCGTGTTTCCCCTGTACTTGTTTTGATACAGTCCGAAATTGACCATTTCGCAGGATGTCCAATACCAGTCGGGTGATGCTGCCAACGTAAGACAAGCTTTCGCAGGAACGGGTGCCATCAAGAACTCGAATGATGGCGAGTTCCGTCCTATTGGGGATCGCGAGCCTGTGTTTGCTTTCTCCAAGTCTTTCGTCTCCAAGCAGCAAAGAGGCAAGATCAGTGACAGTGTGACTTTTACCATTGCCCTCATTCAAGACCCTGTCGTTCAGTATGCCTCTGCTCGTGGTATTACTCTGATGCGACCACTTTGGCAATCGTGGTTCTCAAGTGTCGAGGCGCTGCTTCAATTCCACTACTATGACTTCGACAACGCTGCGACTTTGGCGTCCGACTACTCCAACCAACTGGCCAAGGATGCCTATCTTTCTGGCGCAGAGGACTACGTTGACATTGTCGCTCTATCGGCCAGGCAGGTTATGGGTGCTACACAATTCTCCGGTACCCCGGAGGACCCTATTCTGTTCTTGAAAGAGATCTCCTCCAACGGAAACTTCCAGACCATCGACGTCATTTTCCCAGCGTTTCCGTTCTTCATGTATACCAACCCTCGGTGGTTGGCATATCTCCTGGAGCCTTTGATCGAGCACATGCTGAGCGGACAGTATCCCAACAAGTACACCATGCACGATCTGGGAACCCATTTCCCCAATGCTACGGGTCATCCAGACGGAAACGATGAGTACATGCCGGTGGAGGAGTGTGGCAATATCCTCATCATGGGATTGGCCCTGGTGAACTCCCTCCGTTATGATAACGACGCGGCCGCTTCCTCGGTGTGGTCTACCCAGGGAATGTCGCCAAAGGTGTCAGACGACAATGCTGGCTATTTCCCTCTGGACACTCTCCAGACACTCTCTGGCATTGGTCAACAGGATGGCAAATGGGGCGGTGGTACACAGGGCGAGCTTCTGGCCAAGAAATGGGTGCAGCGCAGCTATCGGCTCTGGAACCAGTGGACCGGATACCTGGTTGAGTTCTCCTTGGAGCCTGCTAACCAACGTAAGATCCAAGTTCCTTGTGACGAAAGCATGTTGCTGATTGATTACAGTGTCCACCGACGATTTCGCTGGGTGGCTTGCACTGCAGACGAATCTGGCCCTCAAGGGAATCATTGGTATCAATGCCATGAGTAAGCTGGCTGAAGTGGTTGGAGAACACAAGGATGTGTCATATTACAAGGTATGCGGCCCAGTAACTTTTCTTGTCGATCCTGTACTAACTTGGCGAAGAACATCTCCGACACCTACATCGCGAAATGGGAGGAGCTTGGCATGTCTCGCGATGGATCCCACGCGAAGCTTTCTTACGATTGGTTCGGCTCCTGGACAACCATTTACAACTTGTATGCCGATGCGCAGCTTTGCTTCCACCTCGACGGCACCAGCCTCTCTCCTAAGGGCTCTTCCTATGAGCACCAGAAACAAGAGCCCCTTGGTGACGCGCCAGGCAAGAACAAGGTAGGCTTCGTCCCTCGACACATCTACCAGAGACAGTCTCTCTGGTACCACAACGTGCGCCAAAAGTACGGTCTCCCCTTGGACAGCCGCCACCTATACACCAAGACAGACTGGGAATTCTTCGCCATGGCCGTCGCCCGCCGTGACGTTCGCAGCGAGATCCTCGAGTCTGTGGCCACCTGGATCAATGAAACCGTTACCGATCGCCCGTTTACGGATCTGCATGAAACCGAAGGCGACGGTAATTTCCCCGGCCCCAACTTCTTCGCACGACCCGTGATCGGCGGCCACTTTGCGTTCTTAGCTCTTGAGCGCGCATGTGGTGGTCGCGCCATGGAGGGATTGTCATTCCTTGACGACGAGCCAGCTGAGGCGAAGGAATGGACTGCTGCTGCGGTCAAGGCAGCTGAGGAGTTTGCTACTACGCACTACCGTTTTGATTATGGGTCTGCGGATGAAGAGCTGTGATGTATACCTGTTTGGGTTAGTTCCCACGGACCTATATATAGGATCGACGCTCTTTTTGGTTTGCTTTGGATATGTTGAATTATGGTTTGATTCACGCTTGGCTATATGTTGAGTAACACGTTCATGGTTACTCATGATAACCTGGCTTGCAATACATTACGATCTCGTTTGTTATACAACGTGGATGTCTTCCGTAGATTGAACTTGGTCACACGAAGTAGCCCTACAATTAGACTAGGTTCTCGAACCATTGCGACGTAGCAATCGAGTACCCGTAAGAACCAGAGAATCTGAAGCTACGATTGCCTTTATCCAGTATTCTCGACGTTGCTCGTTTCCTATTCAAATCGTACAAATTACAAGTAAAGGAAGTAAGAAACGGAAAACAGTGAAAAAAGAAAAGAAATTTTTTTTTTATCCAGATCGTATCTCAAGCTTCAAGTCAATTTAAACTTCTGATATGATATGATAAGAGAGGCTTTGATGATAATCAAGATCCCATCATCATCAATCTTGCATGCTTTTTTTGTGTGTTATCCGTTTTTTGACCACATGCCCATTTGGTAAACCATAGCAATTGCCTTTTCGATCAGAGGGGGCTAATTTAAGCACCAAGGCTGGGGAAGTTCTTCTCGTCAACGGTAACGGGGGTGGGACCGGTGGTGCGCTCGCCGCCGCCGCGAGGACCGTTACCACGGCCACCACGGCCGGTGCCACGGCCGCCACGGCCACCACGGCCACGGGGACCGCCACGCTCGCCGGAGCTGCGGGGAGCCTCGACAAAGCGCAGGTCAACGTCGAGGTAGTTCTTCTCCTTGCGCTGCTTGGGGCCCTTGTTGCTCTTGTCGTCCTTGCCCTTGATGTACTCCTCTTCTTCTTCGCCACGCTTGATCTCCTTGGCCTGGGCCCACTTGCCGTCGGGCTTGGTGCCCTCGTTGGCGGCGCGGACGGGCTTGGCGCTCAGGTCACCAGCGGCAGCCTTCTCGGCCAGGTAGTCGGCGAAGGACTTGGCCTTGTCGGCGGGATCCTCGGACTCCTCGGCGGCGGGAGTCTGGGGCTCGTTCTCGTCGGTCTGGGCGATCTTCTGGCCGGCCTTCTCGTCGTCGAGTTCCTTGTCGCCGGTCTCGCCACCCCAGCCCTGGTTGATCTGCTTGCGGGAGTCGCTAGAGAATCGTTAGTTCCGCCTGTAATTGGCCTTGTATATGCGTAGTCTCTTACGTCACACCGCTGCGGTTCTGACGGTCGTTGCGAGAGCGTCCACCACGGTCACCACGGGCGTTGAATCCACGTCTCTCAGGGTTGTTGCCCTCGTCAACGGGACGGTCGACATTGTTGCGGCGGCCAGCGTTACGGTCACGGTAAGCTAGCCCAAGCATGTTAGCCTTCCCGAATCCTGAGCTATGATATCATGCACATACCGGCTTCGTTGCCCTGGGAGCGCTGACCACGGCGGCCAGTGTTCTCACGGGGCTGCTGCTGCTGCTGCTGCTGCGCGGGGGCCTCCTTGGGAGCGTCACGCTTGCCCACGCGCGGTGCGGGCTTGTCTAGAGCCTTTGTGGGAGGCTCGGGGGCTCTGTTGGGGTCGAGTTCAGGGTCATTGCCTGTAAAATCGCGTCGCAAATAGGTTAGAGATGTAGAACTAAAAATCGCGGTGCGCTTTTGTTTGCTTCGAGGTATCGAAAAACACGCGAAAATGACTAGGATAGGGAAGGGTCGGAAATACCAAGAAGCTCGTAGACGTTCTGTTAAAAGCAGGTTAACTGTTAGCTTGGATCTTGTCACTTTGATTGAAACGCAATAATCGAGGTCGAATCAATTCCCATTGCTGATTTTTTCTTCTTTTTTTCAAATCCAAACCGGCTCTCTTTTCCACAGCTCTGCACCTCCAAATACAGCAAGAAGCCTGGAAATCACAGCTCACAGGCTATACCCATCGAAACATGTCTTTCTCACACACAAAAACTCGCAAAAATCAAGAAAAAAACCGCATACCTTGGACCGGATCTCCGCCATGACGCCTGGATATTAACTGCCTTCCGGGGGAAGGAAGGCTCTCCGTTATCGCGACAATTCGGGTATAGAGAAAACGGGGGGAGCGAGGATGAGAGGGAGGGGAGACCCTTGGGCTGAACAGCTATATCCTCCTCTCAAAAAGAGATGTCAATGAATAAGTTATTGTAATAGGGTGAAGAGTGGGCTTCTAACAGAGAAAGAGAGGGGGTAACTGGCGGGCGGCGGCGGGCGGCGGGCATTGTGGTTGTAACTGTCCGAATCGGGTAAGGTGCGGATTGGCTAAGCGAAAGAGCAGGAGGGGGGGGATGCTGATTGGTGGATTGGGGTTAGGGCTTAGGGTATTGGCGTCACTTGGAGCTGCGTATGGCATCATCGATGTTACTTTCTATGTATTCCAGTGTACGAAGTATATGGATTGTTATAATTGAGAATAAACATCTAATAGAGAATTGGTATTATTGTATCAGCCATTGACTCAATCTTTGCTGTCGCTGCTGAACTGGCTGTACTCTGTATGCCGGTGACATCGCCCGATGCGGGGTTGCCATGCGGCAGCCAGTGCCGATGATGAGCATAACAATGGCGATGACGATGTTGAATGCGGAACATACGAGTACGGTGAAATCATGATTAAGACATGCAAATGTAATTCAATTCAATTCAAGTCGAGGTCGAGGTCGAGATCGAGGTATTATACGGATATAGAAGTACAGAGTAAACATTCGGAGCTGCCGGTATGAATAACATCCATGCCTCACGTGTCATATGCCAGCGTACATAAATTTGCTTTTTTGATTATTGAACACTCTTTTTGCTCTTTTCAGCTGTTCGGGTAATGTCCGACAATGTCTGCCAAAAAGATTTTAAAAACAAATGGTATCAATATCCTCTCAAACGCCGGGGTAATGCTAAATAAAGACAAACATTTAAGCTCTTCCGATTCCAAGTCGGAAGAGAACTTTTTGATGAAGATGGAATACATGACAAGAAGTTGTAACAACATAGGAAAAGAAAGAAAGCTAGCTTTTAGTGACGGGCGTGGGTTTGTTCGTAGCTAAAAGGTGTCTGGAAGTGCATACTCGCACTCAACCCAAACGGGTCTGTGTCCAGCATCGGTTCGTAATTCCCCAACATCTGGTTGGCATTCCCATATGCACCGTTGGAGGTTTCGGACTGTGGTGTGAAAGTTGAGAGGGCATGGGATCCAACAGCGTGAGATCCAGGTGCACCGGACGAAGCATTGAACCCAGGCACGTATGACGACGGATCTACCGAGTCTTGATCCTCGTCGACGAGATCTGCTTGGGCATCGTATTCTTGTTCTGCAGATTATTAGGAAACAGTTCTAGAAGCAATGATCAACGGGAAAGCATACCTAGTTGGTCATAATGTTTCTGGAATGGCGAGGGATAATATGCAGCTGACGGAACTCGAGCAGTCCGTGACCCCGGCAGTGCCTTGGGGTCGTTCTCAGATTGCTGCATTCCCATGGGAGGGGACGCTTGATTGAGATTCCTCGATTGCGGAAGCAACTGGGGTCGTCCCTGTTGCTGTTGCTGCTGGACCTGGGCGTCCATCCCGACGGGAGACATGGCACCCTGGAAGCCAAAACCAGGCGACTTGGTGTGCGATGGCGATGAAACGTGGGATGGCGGTGTGGCCTGGAACTGAGGCGATGGCATGCCGTATGCACCGTCGCGATGCTGTGAGAGACCAAAAGGCTCTGTCGACTTGGGAGCGATCCCAGCCTGGGGATGCCTCTGGACTGAGTTCCGGTTTACCGCAGCCCGCTCAAGCGTCGTTGGCGGCTTGGGGGCCATGACAGGTTTCGGCTGAGGGGGGCCGCCGGGTGTCCCTGTCTTCAACCGCAGCTCAGCCTGGACATCGATGCCTGTGACATTTATTAGTGACAATCAGGGTGGAGAGTGGGATTCAATGTGACTTACCCTTCTCGAGCAAGATCCTTTCCAGCAGGGAGTTCTTATACCGCAGCATAAGACACTCATCGGCTGCAGTGCGGTGATTCTGCTGGAGAGTCTGCAAGCTATCTTCATTACGCTTGATGGTAGACTCGAGTTGGCGTATATACTCAGTGCGACGTTCACGGAAAGCCGCCTGCGCCTGTCGGTTGCGTTGCTTACGCTCCTCGGAGGTTGCATAGATCTAGATAAGATAAGCAAAGGAACATTAAAAAAAAAAAAAAAAAAGAAAAAAAAGAAAAAGAGGTGGCGAGGGACGAAAAGGTAAGGTGAGATAAGGAGGGTGTGTGAGTAATAGAATCCGAAAATGATATCTATAACTGTTGAATAATGGAAAAAACAAACTGAACAGTGGAGTGCGGGGCCCCGGATTCGAAGTCGCATAGAAAACAGATAGAAGAAACAAAGTGAACAGAAGAATATAAAAAAAGATCTTACATACAGGTTTGCGGCCTCCCTTTCGCTTCTGCGTCTGGGCAACATCCTGTGTCAAGGCCTCTACCTCTACCTCAGGTGTCGAGACGGACGGACTGACCGAACCCTCCAGGATGGGCTCTGACTTGGTGGCCACGGACTCCATGGCTGGATCATTATTGTTCAGCGTGGAATTAGAGGCCTCGACCATAGAGACCATTGGCTTGGTCTTTCTTTTCCCCCCTTAATTTTGCCGTTCTTATTTTCTTGGTTTTATATTGAAGAAAGAACAGGTGTGTTCATCCACGAACCCGGAATGTTAGAATGAAGCCAGGATTCCAGAATCGTGGGGGATCCCTGTAGGGGGATCACTCAAGACAAGTTGAGAAAAGAAAAAAACAATCAAAAAAAGAGACTCAAACAACGAGCCTCAGTGAGCCTCAAAAGCCTCAACTGAATGTATAATTAATTCACGAAGGAGTCCAAAGGGCGCCAAACGCAGTAAACGCGCGGCTGGGCGGTAAATTGGGACGTGCGAAGGTAGCAGCGACAGCGAAGACCAGACGACGGCGTGACATAAAGAAAATTGGCGATAAAAAAGGACGATTGTGAACGACTGGGGAAGAGTAAGGGAGAAAGAGGGAGGAGAAGGAAGAAGTGAGGTAAAAAGATTGCCTAAAGGAAAACGAGAAAGAAATAGTCAGAACTAAATTTTTTTATGGCGGAAAAAAAAAAAAAAAAAAAAAAAAAAAAAAGTACCTTGCCCGAGATCTGACTGTGGGAACTCTTCCTTGGCCTCTGGTTCTTCTCTTATTGACACTGGAAAAAAAGGCCAAGAAATGACAATACTATTTTCTTTTTGATTTTCATTTGCCTCTCTGAATTCCTTGGTCTTTTGCCTTCTTTTGCCTTCTTTTCTCTCTTCTGTGTGTTTTCAAGACTTCTAAGCAGATGACACTTTGCCTCTCCGGCACTCGCGGTCCACCGCCATCAGGTCAGACCAGACCCAGCGGACCGGCGGATGGACATCGGCCGTGGACCGTGTGGGAGGCTCCAGGATGCGTTAACCTCTTACTCCGTACACAGTACAGTAGACAGTTTGCCGATATGATTGGAGATTGGCTGGTTGCGAATTGACCTCAGCATGAATCTGAGGGGGACGTGTTATTTGTCCAGAGAAAATGGGATGATCTCTCAGTTTCAGGAACTGTATTACAATACCTGTCTCTGTTCTCTACAAGTATTCTGTACCTTCTATATTCTTCCTTCTTCCCTCTTACTACTTGTATTTTGTACGATGCCTGATCATGCCACTCTTCCTACTCTCACGACATCTCCAAAGTACAAGTACTTGTACATTCCGATACCGCATCGTCTCAATTACTCCATCGGGGCACGGCGGGGTCGGCACCTTAGCCAGCCAGCCAGGGGTAGGCCACTCCGGACCAATACACCGTACAATACCCGTATTTGGCCCTCACGGCAAAGATCGGCCACCCAGCTCACATGACAGGACAATCCCTACGCAGGCTGTCCCGGTGTCTGTACAGAGTCATAGTCGACGCCAATATTAATGCCGAGACTCGATGAATCCTAGAACATTCAATAGTTGACATGCAAAGAAGATCGACCCGCGGAGAAGGGCGAGTGACCATGACCATGGCAGCTGGCAAGAGAGGGAGGCGGCTGACATCACGCTGTCCGGCTTTCGAGACGTGGCCGGCGCGGTTTCGTGGGGGAGTTGGTCAGGTGATGCGGTTTGGGATGTATGGAGTAAGGGTCATCCCGGTTGCGCATTTTGGTACTTGTAGTTGTATTCAATTGTACTCGAGAGTACCTTTGTATACGTGGGCCCTACTTTTATTCAAAATGCATCATGTCTACGGAGTACATGTTCACTCTTTATATGTATTAGTATAAGTGCTGATAACGATAACACGGCAAACTGACTGAGGCCAGCTAACCGCGGTCGTCGTCGGTTCCCCGCCAAATAAAATGCCACTGCGACTTCACATGCACCGTTTATCCGCGCGGTCAAATTCTCTCCTCACTGCCCAACCGCTCAATACGGTGTACTCCGTACTTGACTAAGTCTCCGTTACCACTTAACGCCTGAAATCCCGCATTCCATCTCGCAGTCAAAATGGACCAGTCAACATCAACGTCCATCCAGCCAGAAAAGCCGCATGATGCAACCTCCGCCGCTCCAAGTGAGGGGAAGCAACCCCAGCCGACGCCGCCGGTAAAGGTAGAACAAGCAGCGCAAAAGGATGAAGAGGATGACGACGACGACGATGATGATGAAGATGATGAAGAATCGGACCTGGATGATCTCGATGGTAAGATTTACTAGGACAAGAACTATCTCGAAAAGAATTAACTAATATCATGAAGAGGTCCTCGACGACTTTTCCAACCCAGCCAATGCCAACAAACAAAAACAACCCGAAAATGCCCCTCCACAGCCAACCACCACCACAACCACCGAAAATGAACCTGGAAACGACGGCGAATTCGACGAACAAGCCTTCATGAAACAACTCGAACAAGACATGGCCAGCATGATGTCCCAGGCCCAGCAGGAATCCGGATCCTCCGATAACAAGGAATTCCAAGATACCGTCGAACAAGGCGCCGATGCGTTTGCGAAACAGTTGGAGGACAGTGGTGTGCCGCCGGGTGATTTCCTTAAGCAGCTTTTGGCGGAGGTTATGGCTGAAGAGGGTGGTGATAAAGATAAGAGTGGTGGTGCTGGGGGTGCTGGTAAAGGTGCCAGTAATTCAAGCGCAGATGCTAAAGCCAATAAAGCCAATGCCCAAGCTGCTGCTGCGGCTGCCGCAGCAGAGAAAAGCCCTGAATCCTTTAACGAGACCATTCAACGCACTATGAACCGCATGCAAGAGTCCGGCGAAAAAGCCACCGCCGCTGCCAGCGAAGACGATGATGTCCCCGACGAGGTTCTCCTTCAGCTCCTCAAGGCCCTTGAATCCACTTCCTCCGGTAACGAAGATGACATCCAGAAGATGTTCATGGGGTTCATGGAGAAGGTGTCGAGCAAGGACATCCTGTATGAACCGCTGAAGGAACTGGAGGGCAAGTTTGAGCCTTGGATTGCAGAGAAGAAGGGCAAGGGGGAGCTCAGCGACGAAGATGTCAAGCGATATCAGATGCAGACACAGATCGTTAAAGATGTGGTCGCGAAGTTCGAGGAGCCGGGGTATTCGGATGAGGATCCGAAGTGTAGGGAGTGGGTTTGGGAGAGGATGCAGGAGGTACGTTTTCTTGGTCTGTGCAGACAATATGGAGACAGTAATACTAACTTCTTGCAGATGCAAAACGCAGGAAATCCCCCTGACGAACTCATCCCCAATCCTCTTGCAGAGATGAGCGGCGCCGGTGGACAGGGAGCGGTACCCCCGGACTGTGTTCCGCAATAATTCTGCATTCTGAATTCTGCATTCTTGGGAGTATGATGCGACATCTGTCATATCGTGATCCATTAAATAACATTTCTTGGCATATCTGTACATATACATATACACCGGTCGATACCCTATTTACATGGCTTATTATCCTATCCAAATCCAATGTAACCAAGCCACCAACGCCGCTTATGCAATATCGTAGACCAGAGAGTTTATCCGCTTGACATGTCCATCCCCTGGTCTTGTAGGCTTGGCTCAGGGAGGTCCATGAAGATATCGTCATATTCCTCGTCGCTAAACGAGTTCGTCCCCCCGTTTAGCTGTTGTTGCTGCTGCTGCTCATGTTCCAACGAATGCAACAACTCCATATCCGCCATCTCCATCTCCTGCTCCTGCGACAAAAACTCATCCAACTGGGCAGTTTCATCTGTTCAAGTTAGCCTCTCCTCCATCTATCATCAAATACAGAGAAATGAAAACATACCCTCAGTTAACCCAACAACCCCCTCTGCATCACCATCACCATCCCCATCAATCCCAAACTCCCTCATAATCCTCTCCGCCCTCCTCCCCATCGACTCCCTCCACTGCCTCTCCTCCTTCACATCCTCCATAAGCACCAACTGCTCCCCGCGCGCCTCGAACCGCCCCGCATCGCGATCTTTTCTGATCCTGTTCAGGAAGAGATTGCGCCGTTGGGCGCGCGCGGCGGGAGAGGTCCCGGTTGTGCGGCGCGAGGTCGGGACTGAGGAGAAGGGGTTCGCGGTTTGGGTTGTGTAGCGGTGGGCGTAGGTTGATTGTTTTGTATCGGAGGCTGGGGGAGTGAGAGGGGTGGTTTGTTGGGTTTGGAATTGGAAGTGGGATTGGGGGGTTGGTGGTGGTGAGGACTGTTGGTGTTGTTGTGTGGCGAAGTTGAAGAATTGTGGTTGTGATGAAGACATCTTCCTATTTGAAGATGGTGATAACGGCGATGAACGCGCGGGAGTGTAATTGTGATAACGAGTTGTACACGGAGTAAACGGGAGTTGGGGTTGTGCTGATGGCTGCGTTGCGAACATGGTCGTGTCGTGTCGTGTTATGTCGTCTGTGTTCCGTAACTGCACGGTCCGCGTAGGTCGGTCAAGTAAAAGCAATAAACAACAGCTTTGATTGTAATCAGCAACAAGATCGCTCAGGAACAAGGAATAGTGTGGATAGACATACATATACTACTACTCCATAAAGAGAACCCCAGCCTCACAGATACCAAATGCCAAATGCCGATAATGATGTGGTTGGGAATGGAGAATCGGATTTCTGACACGACCCGAGACGCGGAGTCACGCGACGCGCCAGGCGGTTCTGGGAAGGTTACATTCCTCAGGCAATCTTATCTAGATCTTTCAATACTGGTGGTTTTTGCAGAGTTAAGATGAAATTCGAAGCGTTGTCCTACGGAGTAGGTATCCCTGTGGCGAATATTATGGGGCAGAGGGGATGGCCTAGATGTTACTCTGTACGATGGATCCATGTTCGGAATACTCTCGCGTGCTCTCCTCGCCAATCAAATATTGAACTCAATCAGAATTCGAACCTTGTATGTTAGAAAAATTGGAAATGTTGAATTGGGATCGACTTCGAACAACCAGTTTGTTGGTTACGTCTCCCGACACGTCAGTTCGGGATTAGGGTTGTTTCAGATCAGCGGCTACGCACTCTGGATGAACACTAAATGAGCGAGATGTGTATTTCCTGTCACTAATTAAATACAATAGATACATTAGAAGAGAATTTTACTTTTCTGACCCAACTTATAGAGCCAGTAGAAAGAAGAGAAATAAAAAAGTATAAGACAGAAAATACCATATTTGACAATTTCCCAGCGGAATCAAATACCAGATTCAAACGAAACGCAGGGGGAATCAAAGGGAAGCGAAATGCTCTCAAACAAATATCGCTGGGACAAAAAAAAAAAAAAAAAAAAAAAAGGAAAGGAGCGTCATCGTCGAAGGAGCGTGGAGTTTGTCTATTATGCGAAACAGAAAGCAGATGCAGCTCGTATAGCAGCATGAGAATAAAGTCAACCACCCGTAAACGCCAATATCAAATTGCGTAAGGATCGTCGAGAATGTACATCTTCAGAAGTAATTGTTGTCGTTTTCTTTGCGAGGACGGGGATCAAGTGCCATCAGCTTAGAAATTCGACGCTGCGTTGACGGGACCAGGGTTGTGGTACTGGTCCAAGGTGGATCTGAACGGAGTGCCACCAGCAGCACCAGGGCTAGGTGCCTTCTCACGAGAGCCAGCACCGACCGGGGTGCCGCTCATGAGATCAGCAGCTTCGTCGGAATCGCCGCGGTTCTTCTTGGAGCGGAGCCGCCAGAAGATCAATCCAATGACGCCGAGCGCGATGGCACCACCAACACCAACGACAACACCAATGACAACTTTCTTGTTCGATTCAGAGAGACCCGAGTCATCCGAGTTGGAGCTGGAATCTTCGTTGAGACCCGGGGCACTGGTGGCCTCACCGGCAGCGTTGGTGTTGACAGAGGTAGAACTCATAGTCGTGGGGACGGGAGTACCGCTGACAGTCTGCACGGTCGTAACCACTACCACCTGGGAGGTAGTGCTGGGCTTCGAGGTGGTGGTCGCGCTGGTCTTCGTGGGGCCCGTGGTAGTGGCATCGCTGGTAGTGGTAGCAGAGGTCGATGATGGTTCATCGGTAGTCGTGGTCTCCGAATTAGACGACGAAGAGGTTGACGTGGGAGTGGTTTCCGATTCCGAAGTAGAAGAGGTCGAAGTAGATTCTTCTGAAGTGGTGGTAGGAGTCTCTGATTCGGAGGACGAAGAAGAAGTAGTCTCTGAGGTGGACTCCGAGGACTCCGAGGAGGATGTAGCAGAGGGAGCTGAGCTTTCAGACGTCACGAGGTTACCAATATCGGAGAAGGCACTCTGTCCCGACGTGACAGCCACGAGGGACAAGGAGTATAGCAAAAACGAGAGACTAGCAAGACGCATGATGGCGAGTAGTTTGTTAATGAACTCGTGGAGGATGATAAAAGATGCGAGGGTGAAGGTGAGAGATGAAGAATCGGGCGGCTTTGGTGTGTATGAAAGAGTTACGTTGCCCAGGGTTCTTTGTTCGTATCACCAACTGTACCAAGGGATGAACGAATGACGGACGAGCAAATCAGCCACGGAAATAGTGAAGATTCCCTAGGGTTGGAAAAGTGATAGAGAAGGGTGAAAAAGGAAGACAAAGAGAGAAAAGAGAGAACGACAGAGAAAAAGCGAGTTAAACCACGAGAGCGGCTAAAGAGTCAGTGTAAAAGAGAAAAGAATGAATAGTGCCCAGTAATGCTAATAATAATGAATGATCCAGAGCGAGGGGCCTCCATTTTTCTTTTTTCTTTTTTCCCTTTTTCCTTTTTTATTTGGCGATACGAGGCGAAAAGAAACGATCCGAACAGGCTAGACCATCTTGGGTCGGTGGGACTTCGGAGCGCCATCTTAGTCTGGCCACTAATGTACCCCGGAAGCCAATCATCTATCACCACTTGAGACATTCCAGACTTGCTCCCGCCAATCCCAGCCATGCTTCGAGGTTATCCTGGTGGAGCGTACATATACTGCGCGTGATGATTGGTTGAAATGATTCCAACCCGGCGCTTCTAACCGGTCATGGACATTACGGGAATTTCAGGATAGACCGGATATCTTACCTGGCTTACGGGTAAATCTTGTATTTTTGTTACAGCGGCGCACTCTATCTTCGGGTCACTAACTCGACGTTTTGCCTGTTTTGGAATAAACTACGGGAGACTGACAGAGATTGTGGGCTTAAAAATAGTCGCCGCTATTGAAGATTTGCAGCAGCTAAACTGGCTTTCTTTCTTTTTTTTTTTTTTTTTTTTTTTTTGGGTTTTTTAAATCACAAAAAAAAGGGCCACAGGGGAGTTATTATTTTTCCCTTTTTTTTTTGGGAAAAAAAAAAAAAAAAAAAAAAAAAAAAAAAAAAAAAAAAAAAAAAAAAACCAGCACCAAAGTCCACAGTCCCATGGCTCGCTGACTCCTGGTTCGTCATGTTCTTTTTGTGTATATTTCCGATATCCACTTCGGCCTCAATTCGGAACACAACAAACACAACAAAGACCAATAATTGTGCCGATTTCCGATGCCTCGGCCTATTATATATGCGTCAGTTTAAGTGGTTTTTGTCGTGTGCCTGATCTAGTCACCTGACAAGTAGCTCTGGCCATGGATACCTCTGCCGAGTGCGGTGATTCAGGTACCGTACGGACTAAGAATCCTTTTACCGGAGTACAGCGAATTCCGTGCCCCATAGTGATAAGAAACCGTTGGACGCTCCACAATGCTTCTTCTGCAGGGCTAAGTGATTGTCCTGCAGAGTGCGTCTTCACGTTCAGCTGTCGATTGGAATACTAGATAAGACATGCACATTGATGCAGTACATACACTGATCTCTGCCAGGGGTACGGAGTACGCAGTACGCACTCTGCACTCAACACCCCCAAGCGCAATCGGAATGCTGAGTAATATGATATGTTCCATCTAAATACCTCGAATCTTCAATAGTACGCAATAGACAAGTCCCACCTATAAGCAGCAAGTACCCGTAGCACTATTGTATATGACGGGTCGGGTTAACATGGCTCATTTTTGAGATTCGGAGCACAAGACGTCAGAGCAATTTAAAAGAATTGATTAGACTATATAGTATGTACGCTTCCAACTTCAAAGCCCAGCTAAACCATAAGAAGCCGAGCAAAGCGGTGGAGCTGTTGACGTTTCCTTCTCCGGATAGAATGAGGGATACAGCCCACGGTGCAGAAGAGATGCAGCCCAATCTTTATCCGGTACCTAATGTACAGTATGGAGCGAAGACGAGGGGGAGACTCTATTATCGGGTATCATAACATAATGTCGTTCGAATATACAGCATGGTCACAGTTTGTTCGGCGGTTTGCCCTTGAACTGATCTTTAATCTCTTCCTTGAAATATCGAGCGAAACGCTGAAGACCATCATCTAGCAAATGAACAGGTCAGTCTCAGGCGCAACTAACAGCCCAACATCCCCAAGAGAAATGAGTCATACTATTCTTGTCGATCTTGGTACCTCCCATCTCCTCGGGAGGTACACCATGACGAATGTGCTGCACCTTCTGATGGACTCTTCCAACCATCCGGTGAAACGACGGGCTGGCCAGCAACTTCGGATCGGGCATCAGAGTCAGTTCACACCTCAACCAACCAGAACAGTAAAGTACTATTAGGACATACCCGGGCAGTAAGCCAGGCCTGTTCGGAGGAAACCGTCAGTCACATGAGACTTTCTGGGAGGCGAACTGTCAACGCACCTCGACGGTCCGAAGCCAAAACCAATGAAAACCCATCTTGACAAGACAGTCAGCCAGCTACATCGAGAACTATGACGATGTTGATAGCAGCTCGCGTCTTGCGTGTAAGGGAGTGAGGAAAAAGAGGTTGGGCAGAAAAAGAGAGAGGGGGAAAAAAGAAAAGCGGTGATGGAGGAGGTAAGCATTTTTCTGCCGCTTAGGAAAGATCTACCAATTAGAAGCTACATGCTACATCTCCGCCCCACGGTCACGAGACCAGGACGCTTCCGAAATGCAAAATGAGGGCAGAAAATAAGGGGTTGATTTGGAGAAAGAGATCAGAGTACAGTAATAATGAAACTGCAGCAGAGTAGAATTAAACAGTGCGATTAGCCGAGGGGGATTTTTCTAGCGCGTCTTCCATTCTTCTTCCAGACTTCTTGAATCCTTCAGCAGTCCCCAAATCCCGGAACTTTGTTGCTTTTTTCTCTTGTATACTTCCGAACTGCGCTATCTCAACATCCCTGTCGTCTCATTACATCAGAGTCGCTTTCGTCGTGGTGTTTCCGGTTGCATCTTGTACCGGTTAATCGTCCCATTGGGACTTTTAATTCGTTTTGTTACACACTTTGTTTGCTTTGTCTCCTTTGCATTGTTTTCTTCCCCTTTGTCTCATCGCTGTTTGGGCTGAAGACTCCCTTCCCTGTTCGTGCGGGGAGATTCTGCGACGAGGGCCTTCCCTTTTTATTTTTTTCGCCTTCTAACTCATTTATTTATGACCTCACATTCTCACACTCTCCTCTCTCTGCCGACGCGATAACCTTACTGTCTTTTTTCCCGTTTCGTTCCTTTCGTTCCTGCATTATCCGGGCATTTTCGCATCTCACCGGACCCCTCTTCTCGATTCCTTCCGGGCACGGTGCAGGCTTTTCCGGGCTATACGCGATACAAGCCCGATTGTCCTGCGCGACGACAGTGCCCTTTTTTCCTCCCATACGCCGTCTTTCTAGTTCCGCGAGATCTCAAAAACTGGCCAAGCAACGATCGAGGGGCAGCTCCAACAGCTGTCCCGATCTGTCTACGCTGCAGATAACCTCACAGCAGCCCTTCCTCGGTGGCAACACATCCTACGGTGTCCGGATTGAGGCAGGAGCATCTGCGCAACCGTTTCCCCACTCGCCAACGTCAGACATTGTCAGCATAGGCGACGGACCGCGCAAACTTGCGTCAACCAAGAAGCGCGTTTCCAACAAGGCGCGCGGCGTCCTAGGCAAGGTCCGGACCTTCCGTAGGATCGCTGCGGCCAAAATGGCGCATCCCACGATCAAAATCGATACAAACGTGACTACCAAGCGGGGCCATCCGGAGGACGATGACGACGGACTTGATATTCTGGACGAGGAGGATCTGGATAACCCCGAGCTAGAAGAAGGCTATGATGAGGATCTACCGCCATTCCTCTGTCAGTCAGTGTTTGGTTAGTTCTATAAAACCCGCTTTGACGTTGGTAACACTAAGGACTAATGGTTGCCTATTGCATTCAGACATCTATCGCAAGTTTGAGGACCTTTGTTGGATGGAGAGTGTTCGTGCGCATGAAGGGAGAGTCTCTAACGATCCCTCACATCGCTGGGCTGTGGATGAAGACCTTGAAGTCAAAGCAAGGAATCGATATGCCAATGTTCAAGCATGGGCAAACTCTCGAATTCACCTCCGAGTACCGGAGGGTGCATGTGATTATACCAATGCGTCACCAATCGTGTTGGAGGATACTGTAACCCTAGCAGAGAGACGATACATCGCAAGTCAGGTTAGTATCATACATTTGCCTTTTCCGGGTATTCAAGAGAAGTTGTCTAATGATTTCGTCTGTTCCTTATAGGGTCCGAAAGAGGGACATTTCGCCCACTTCTGGCATATGGTCTTCCATGAAAGCCGCGAAGTTGCTGTCATCATCATGCTTACACAGACGTTCGAGTTAGGCAAGGAAAAATGTGCACAGTATTTTCCTCTCGACCTTGAAGATCCGACGATGTTACTGGAGGTGGACGAGGACGATCCATTTGTCATCGACGAAGAACATGACAAGGAAGATGCTACTATTTTAGGCGAGGTTACCCTATTGGAAACCACTTTCGATGAAAAGTGTCGCTCTGAGATTCGCAAACTTGAACTGAGACTGGGTTCGGAATCCAAGATTGTCTGGCACTTCCTTTTTGCAGGCTGGCCCGACCATACCAAACCTGAAGGTGAAGACCGCGCGGCTCTCCTTGAGTTGTTTGATTTGTCGGCCTCCAAATGCAGTCCGAATAATCCCCGCGTGGTCCACTGCAGTGCCGGTGTTGGGCGAACTGGCACTTTCATTGCGCTTGACCACCTTCTCAAAGAACTCGACTCCGGACAGTTGTTAAATGAGACTGACCCAGAGGAAGACCCTGTATATGAGACTGTCGATCGGTTGCGAGAGCAGAGAATGATGATGGTGATCAATCCATTGCAGCTGCAGTTCCTATACGAAGTCCTGCGAGAGCAGGTCAATGTAAAACTCGGCAAGACCACTGAATCTCCGAAGAGCACAGGAGATGAAAGGTCTCCGAAGATGGCCAAGTTGTCCAACAAATCTGATCTGCAGACATCTACGAATCGCCCTTCAACCTCCGACAGGAGCTGGTCTGAAATCTCGGATACCGAATAACTCCTGTGCGCTCGACATCACACTATCTACTGGCTTATATTCTGTTCCACCCTATGTGTTTTTTGACATTTCATTTCTTTTGATACATTCGCTTATTGGTTCCTTGTTTATGACTGTTCATGATTTTCTGACTTGCATTGTTATGTCTCGACCCTGTTATACCATCGCATGGCATGTTTTCTATTTCACATTATAATACTCTATACCCTTCTTTCTCTGTTTCCCGTTTCTAATCCTATTAGTGCACTTACGGCAGGCACATAATAATCACTCAATTTGCCAGGTCGACCTTTCTGATCATCGTTTCCCCTGTCAATGCCTCGATTTTGTTTCTTTGCCCCTGTACTTTTTTGTGCCCCCGTACCTGCCATACACTACTAACATTAGAATTGGCGTAGATTAGCAGATCTTGAATTGGTCATGAGCAATGATGACCGTTTATATTTGATGTGATTCTAGATGAATATGATTTTGAATTCCCATATCTATCTACCGGGTGATATCTTTGGTGAAATCTTGTCTCCAAAGGAAAGATCATACGTATAATAACTATATAACATCACATTGACAAGAAGCATACACGGCATGACAACGCTAGTTACAGAAAAGAGTGCACTCGTATAGCGTAGTAAACATCATCATAGAGCCCAAAGGGCAAGGAAATGCTCAATCAACAACAAAAAATGGGGACGGCATAATACATGACACAAAATCGGATCAATCGTAAGATGAAGAAACTCCCGTTCTTTTCTTGCTTTTAGGACTTTCCAAAAAGAACCAAAACATCACCAGAAGCAGGGCGATTCGAATCAATCACTCCGCTTCTTCCCCTCATCATTTCCAGCCGTGGGCCCAGCACCACCAGTCTTCTGACCAGGAGCTCCGTTGCCATGCTCATCAAGCCTATCCTCCTCACCCCAATTATCAACCGCATTCTCATCCCAATTATCCACCTCCTGCTCCAACGACATAACCCCATTCTCCTGCGGTCCCAATCCACTCTCCTCGTCACGCCCATGACCCGTAGCACCCAACTCCACATCCTCCCCGTCACCCTCATCATCCGCTAGCGCCCCATACCTCGCCTTCCGCCTCCTCTCCAACATCCGTCGATGATACCATCCGCACAACCCCACCGCACCAAGACTACCCACCAGATTCGCAAGGAGATCGAGCGGGTCGAACGGCCGGTCGTTGGGGAGGAGGCCTTGCAGAATCTCGGAGCCGACGCCGAGCCCCAGTGTGCAGACGAGGAGGGTTAGGTGCAGGGCGCGGCGGCGCGAGGTGTCGAAGATCCAGTAGAAGATTAGGGAGAGGAGGAAGAAGGTTATTAGGTGCAGGAATTTGTCGTTTGGTTGGAGGTTTGAGGGGATGGAGGGGGAGGAGGTGTTGTGGGGGAGGAGGCCGGCGTAGGCTGCGACTAGGATGAGGAGGATGAAGGCGCCTGTATTTACTTTAGTTCTTGGTTCTGGTGTGGTATGGGGTAGAGGAGACTTACCCGCGAAGGGATAGCGGATCCGCATTGTGATATTGTGAGTACACGATGCAATGGGGTTGTTGTTTTGGAGTTGGAGAAGGCTGGTTAAGACAGCCGACGCTGGTGACGATAGTGATGCCTTCGGGTCATGTGCTGTAAGTAGTAGGAACTGATTGATTTGGTGGGGACAGATGCAGTGGTCGCAGGAGATCGTTCTATTGTTTAGCTATACAAATCTTCCATTTTTACTATAATACTGAAATAATCATCTCTTCTACTGTTCATATGCTAACTGCTACCTCGTCTCGACGGATGCGAACTGCGCGGTTGGTCTGAAACTGCGGCGGCCTTCCGCCTTCACGACTTCACCTCATCCGCGCAGAGAACCTCCTACAGCAGCGCCCATCTTCTCCATCCCCCTTTCCCATCAAAGCCATCATTTTAAGCCCTGGAATCATCTGCATTCAAACCCCCACGATCTGAACTTTCTCTCTATGTCAATTTCCACCCCTAAAACCCTCTTGCTGCACCCTCTACGAACTTGATTCTAACCGTGGAGATTCGAGCCCCCTCGCCCGCCCCAGAATCGGGGTTTTGGAGCGAGCATGTCGCTCGGCCACAACCACCACGCCTGGCTCCCGCCAGGAATTCCACGTCCTCCCGATGATTCTCAAGACTCGAAGCTTGCCAATGGCTATCCGAAATCCGTTTCCGGTTCGCGAACGCCTCTCGTGCGCGGTTCCTTTGCGGCCGACGGGTCTCACGCGGGCAATTCGATATCGGAGACGGATATCGCCGTCGAGGAGGATCCGCGCATCGCCGTTTTCAGAGATCTGTATAAACGCAGCGAGGCGAAAATAGGCTCGTTGTTTGATAGGGATCGTAACGTTGAGGATGATGCCGGCGACGCTGCGCTGCCTGTCGCGGATATTGGCGACCCCGAGACTAAGACCTTACGCGCTGACGAACCGGCCGCGCCTCCACCGCCTCCCCCGAAGAAGCCTGCGAGGAAGTTAGACGATGATGACTATGACGATTATGACGAGGATGAAGAGACGGAGGAGCCTCCTGCTGCTGAACCCGCTCAATCGCCGACGAAGGCCAGGTCGTCGCTTGCCGCGCCGTCATCCCAGGATCTTGGTGGTACCCCGTCGCCGGGTCATCGTGCTAGTTTCGCGACGTCTACTGGTGCCGATGGCTCGAAGGAGATGAAAAAGGAGACGCTTGAGGAGATCCGGAAGAAGTTGGAGGAGGATAAGAGGGCCACCGAGGAGGCTGCGAAGCGAAGCTTTCATACCCTTTTTTACACGCTGGAAAACGATCGCGATGCGATGCTGGATCAAAAGCGACTGGAGGAATCGGAGCGACAGGTCGAGGCGGAGATGTCTGGACAAGCCAATGCTGGCAATGACAACGCGAACTCGACCCAGAGCGGCTATGGTTCGCTAAGTAGCGCGAACCTGGGTGCTTCCAGCTTGACCTTGAAGAACCTGATCGCGCGAATCGATATGAAGCGGACAATGGTTCAAGCATCCGACGCGGAACTCCGCAGCTTGATGAGTGAGGTTCGCAAGAACCGGAGCAAATGGGCCAGTGAGGATAAGATCGGTCAGGAGGAGCTCTACGAGGCAGCGGAAAAGGTCCTCAGCGAACTCAAGGCTATAACTGAGCATTCTACTGCGTTCTTGACTCGTGTCAATAAGCGCGATGCGCCTGACTACTACAACAGTAAGCGAACTCTCCTTGTTCTTTCTCTCCAACCTGCAGTCATGCTAACTTTAGCGCGATAGTAATCAAACATCCAATGGATCTGGGAACAATGACCAAGAAGCTCAAAGCCTTGCAATACAGGTCCAAACAAGAGTTCGTGGACGACCTGAACCTGATTTGGGCTAATTGCTTCAAATACAACACGACCGCCGAACATATCCTGCGCAAGCATGCCATGTACATGAAAAAAGAGACGGAGAAGGTCGTTCCTCTCATCCCTGATATTGTCATCAGAGACCGTGCAGAGGTCGAGGCGGAGGAACGCAGACTTCAAATGGCAGACCTCGACGGCGCGGAAGAAAGTGACGATGAACCTATCATGTCTTCGAGGGGCAGAAAAGCTCCCGGAAAGTCGGCTGCTAAGAAGGGCGCTGCTCCTGCTAGGAATACTCCCAGTGGTTCTGAACCACCTGGTGCCGCATCCTCACAGCCGCCGCCTCCTGTACGTGCGGACTCTCACGTCGATACGGAAGGCACGCAGAATGGATTCGGAACACCGCCACCAAGTACTCAGACGCCAGACCCTGCGGCTGGCATGCCCGCGAGCCAAGACGATTCCATGGAGATCGATGGCATGGTCACTTCCAACGCAGCGCTAAGTGCCTTATCCGCATCAGGTGTGGATGTGGAGGATCCGGAGTACAAGGTCTGGAAGCAAGTCACGAAAAAGGATCGGGCTATAATCGCGGCAGAACGTCACCGTCTGTTCAAGGGCGACAAACTCAATTCTGACGAACCGGCTTTGCTTAGAACAAAGGCTGGTATGAGAAGATGGTTGCTCAGCCAGACGCAAGCCCATCACGATGGCGATAAAGCCCGCGAGTCTTCTTCACAAGGGATGGAATCTGATGATGCCGGCAAGACTCTTGCGGAAGGCATTGAAGTGGAAGAGGATAAAGTAATTCCCGACTACTACGATGTCATGTCTGGCATTCCCGATCTACCTGACCAGATACTCTGGAGAGAAGATTCTGATGGGAACATTGTCGATGCGTCTGAAGAGTTTTTGCGGATCCTGCCCAAGGGATCGTTTACTCAACCGGACAGCAAATTTACTCATAAGCTGAATGCGAACATGCGGCAGATGCAAGAAACGCGGAAAATCTGTTCGAAAATTGGTATCGTGAAGCAGATGCAACTGCAGTCTCAGGTATGTTACTTCGCTATCCTTTTTTTTTTTTTTTTTTTTTTTTTTTTTTTTATGGCGGAAAATCCTAACATGCATTAGATGTATCAAAACCAATTCCAAAAGTATAATCCGGAACCATTCGTCGAACAAGATATCCCATCTCATGTGATGAACGATCAAGGGCCTGTGACTTCTCCTTGGATTTGCAAGTCAGCACTCCAGCGCTCTGTCGCCAAGTTGTTCTACCATGCTGGCTTTGAAGAATACCAGCCTTCAGCGCTTGATGCTGTCACGGATGTTGCGTCAGACTTCTTCCAGAAGATCGGCGAAACCCTGAAGTCCTACATGGAGGTTCCCAAAGTGCCTTCTAGCGATTCGCCTGAGAGTACAACCCAGAACTCCCAATGGAAGCGGCCGTACACGGAGCCAGAGATTGTTCTCCACACCCTTTCCTCTGTCGGCATCGACATCGAATCTCTCGAGTCTTACATCAAGGATGATGTGGAAAGACTTGGAAGCAAGCTCGCAACTGTCCATGATCGCATGAAATCCCTGCTTTCTGAACTTCTGCGTCCCGCTCTTGCTGAGGGCGGTGAAGACGGTTCCCATGCCTTTGCGGATGGAAGTGATCAATTTGCCAGCGGCGACTTTGCTGAAGATATCGATGAAGATTTCTTTGGCTTCAAGGAACTCGGATTGGACAAGGAGTTTGGTCTCGCTACGTTGAGTGTTCCGTTCCATCTTCTGCAGAACAGGATCAGTGCTGTGCAGTCCCAGAACACAAGGTATGTTTGTTGTCTAATCTACGTTTTGCAGAAATCATGCTCATTTTTGTCTCTAGCTCTACGCAAGTCATAAACATCTTCCCCCCACCATCGCAGTACCCACGCATCACGACCGAGTCATTATCATCACAAATCGGGCTCGTGCAAGAATTCTTCAAGAACAAGTTGGAGGCGCACAACAACGACCCTCTCGTCGAAGACCTCGAGCTACCACCCAAACAAAGGCCAACAGCCACTCGACCTCGTCTTCCAGCATCTGGCAAGATTGCTCCCCCGTCTAACCTCGGAGGACCTACCTTGAGTCCAAGCAAGCGACCGGCGCCGCCAAGTGCCTCATTTGGTTCCAAATCCGGTATCTCAGAGCCCAACAAGAAGAAGATCAAGAAGAATAATGGTGCGGGTATGGGCATTCCGGAAGACGAAAACAGCGGCGGTATCGATGGCGCGAAGCCTGACTCCAATGCGAAGACCAACGATGCTAATGGAGAAGACGACGCTGCGGCTTCTTCGTTTGGTGACATTGGGAACTCGAAGAATGGAGTGGACAATTCGGCCATGTCTGATGGCGCTGGTGAGCTTGACGAGCAGGCGAACAAGGCCGGTGACGGCGCTGTGCCTCTAACTAATGGAACTGCGGGCGATGCATCATGATGTATGATTATGGTCGTTGTATCTTTTTCAGGACGCTCTTGCGGATGTTTTGAGGAAAGATTGGTGCTATTCCCTTTTTGAGCTGGCCCTACGAAACCTTTATAAATGTTTGCTTTTGCATTTTGTGTATAGTATCTTTTACCTTCTTCTCCCTCTTGTTTCTTTCTTTCTTCAAACCTTTATTCTACCCATCCATTTCGCATCTAACCGCTCATTCTCTTCTACGTGCATCTTTTATTTGACGAGTTTCTTTTCTTTCTCTTTCCCCTTTGAGCTGCATAATCTATAAAGAAATCAGAGCTTACGGCACGATGCACGATGCAGGCGCCTGGAATATTGTCTCCCATCAAACCAAGGCACTGCAAGCGCTATTCCAAATAAAGCCCAGGTCCTTACAGCATACACCGCTACACATCCATCCCGGTCTCACCTGGGTTGGCTGGTTGGTCAACGCTTCTCTATGGAGTGTTACTCCGTACTTGCACTTGCATCTATTCCACCTATCAGTTTATCGATTTCATTCCCCTGCATGTCTTTTTTATTTCATTCCTGTTTGCCGCCTTACTTTCACTTCCGAGTTCCGTTCATAAGGCTCTGTTTTCTTTTTTTTTTCTCATCCGCGCCTGAAGACAAGCAAATGGGTCACTCAGATTGCTGGGACTTGTCGGTTGATTTACAATTGGTCCGGATGTCAGATGTGTTGGTGTTGGAAGCATAACATGAAAAAAAAATTTTTTTCTCTTCTTTTTCTACTTCTAGGGAATACATGTACTCTGGGCATTGGCGGTTCTGCATTAGCAAACAAGGCCCCTTAATCATTTCTCACTTTTTATTCCAATGCATCTGGTTGTCTTTCTCGATATGTACTTGATTCCATGTATGCAGCAAACAAGGGGAAGATGAAAAATTGGAGCAGGCTGTTTGTTTTTTACTACTGCAATGTCGATTTTTCTTGGCTCTCTTCGTCTGTCGATATATATCTCTTACTGCCGGCTTAGCATCGGTGAGACTTGTTAGAATAGAAGAGAATGCTCAAATGGGATACATCTTTCGAAGGCTGGAAGAAAAGAAACGCACGGGATTGTGTCGCAGCGAACTCGAGTAAAGTTGGAGAATACAAGATGCCAAAGATGAATCAATGGTGTTCATATTGCTTAGTAGAAGGCGCTGTCAATAGCTATCTAAGTAGATTGGTATTCTAGTCCGCAACAGCTGTCTCATTCAGATCCTTCCGTCCCGCAAGGGCCGGCCGGTTCCGCTCAATCCGGCCATCGCAGACCCGAGAACCTCATCCAAGCCAAGATAGAATAGAGAAACACCGATATTCCCAAAGTCGAGAAGGAGGAACGACTCGCCAGTCGATTCTAGACGAACCACATGCCGAAAGGGAGTCTGTTCGAAGTTCCATGAATAGGCAAAAGCCTAGGGTCCACAGGTCGATTCGCAGGCTTCGGGTTGGTCATTTTCACTTCAGGACCGCTCTGGGGTCCAGAGCTAGCAGGAACGTCCTCATGGTGGCGAGCCCGAGTCGCAACCAGATGGGCGTAGTAGACCGCCGGGACTATTCAGAAGTTAGCAACGATACAATAAAACATTGGGAGACAAGATGTACTTACACAGCGAAACAGAAGTCGTAGATCTCATATACTGGTAGCAATGGTCGTAGATCATGTTCTCGAGCTCTTGTGGGCGATGCTTGATCTGGTCGAGAATCACATGGTAGTGAACAGGGCGAGACGTTCCTTGAAGCGCAATGTGCGAGTACAAAAGGAAATCCCAGTCGTGAGGGCTCGTCACATCTCTCTCGACCAAGATACCTGGCAGAGGGTTTCCGTTTTTGTCGGAAGTGTTTCGGTCGCCAGGTTTGGGGAAAGCCCTCAGGTGGTGTCTCTTGTTTGCCACGACGACGGTGAACTTTCCTTTCCACTGGTCTTGAGTCAGCTTCATGAAGATGGACTTCATGTCGAAGACCTCCTGTTGAAGAACTTGGTCAAATTGACCGGTCGAGACACCGTCACGGAAGTAATAAACGTGCGCCGGAGCCCGTCCGCCTCCGATAGTAGCCATCCATTCGCGAACAAGAGGAGTCAGCATAACTTCAATGTTGGAGCGAGCAATCATTTCGTTTCGTTCACCGTTGGTCTCGCACGCACCCCAGTAGCGACCACCGAACGTGTCCATGCAAACTGCTATAGCCGCCATTGACGGTGACCAAACACCAAGGGTAGGATGAGTGACGTCGGCGCCAATGATCATCGAATGAGGCCGAAGACCAGCTTCAGGCACCTTGGGAATGGCGCGCGAAGTTGTGCCTCCGAGCTTCGCGTTGACCTTCATGAGCACATTGGAAACGTATTGAGGGTTGCCTTTAGCGACATGGCCCGCCTGCAAAACTTGAGAAGGAACACCCCAACGGCAGTCGCAGGACTTCTTGATTCGCGCGTACGTGAAAGAGTTCTTGTCGGGAACGATGATCACAAGAAGCTGGGGGTCCTTCTGGAACTTGACGCCGGTCGTGTTGTACAGACGCTTGACCGCTTCGCCAATGTCTTCCTTCAGTTCCACAATATTCGGGCGTTTGGGAACACTGCCACCATGACCGGTGTACAACTTGATGAACGAATCACAGAAGCTCTCAATCTGAGTACGATTAATCGGGCTCCGCTTACCAACGAAGTATCCAACTCCCCAGGCCTCGAGGGGCTTTCGGTTGGGCTGGTAAAACTTCTTTCCACGAAGATCCCAGCGACCGTTGGTGCCTGGGTTGTGGCGCTGGTTACCACCAAATTGGATCTCTGGATTCGGAAGCAAACGGGCCTTGGTCCGGATCATGTTGCTGTCGATCTGGAGGCCGAAACTCTGGAGAACCGGATCATTGGCGTGGTCAAGCATCTTCTTGGACTTGTGCACAGAGTTAAGACGGTCAGCTGGGCGAGAGGCGGCATATTTGATCATATGCGAAGTCTGATACTCATTGAGCTTCCAGGGGTATTTGTGGAGTCCATGGATAGTCAAGACTTCCATGGGATAGACGACACCCTTTTTGGTCATCTCAACCATAGGAAGCTCCCAGTAGTCCAGAGCCAAGTTGTACTTGCGCTTGAAGTACGTCTCGATGTTGATCGTCTCCTTCTTGCCAGTAGCTTTGTCGACCAAGTCGATGGTGTACTGGCGAGCGTTGCCGTTGATCAAGCCTTTGACGATGAAGTTGGTGCCCAGGACGGGACAGCCACGGTAGTGCGGCTGGACCTGCAGCTTCTTGAGGCGGCGATGGATTTCGTAGAAACCATTCGACTCGGTCTTTCCGCCGTGGCCATCATCGATGGGCTTCAAAAGATGGATCAAATGTTGCCTGTCACGAGCGTCGAGAACGGCCATGGCAGCTCCCATAAAGGAAGTACGGGCCCAGAAACAGGTGTTCGAAACATCCACATTCACGACGAGTCCGCGATGCTAGAGCACGGGGTTAGCACGAAATATGAAAGTGAGAAACCAGAGGACTTACAATGGCAGGTCGAATGGCTTGGTAAACGCCCTTGAAAGCGAGAACGCCATTCCCCAAGTCCTGGTTCTCTCCGTTCTCATCGAAGAAAGATCTTTTGATAGCAAGGAACTTTTGACTCGGGTATTCACGAAGAACGTGGTCAAGGAAGTCTATCGACTGTTAGTGGACACTTGATAGTCTCGAGTGGCAGGAAGGTAACTTACTCAAAGCCTCCAAGACAGATTCTTGCATGGAAATGGTACCATCAAGCCAGCCCTTCAGAACGGCGAGATTGACCGTCTTTGTAGGACGAACGACAAGACGGAAGCGGTTGGGTGTCTTGCCAGCCGGACGGCCTTGTTCGCTGTCCAGGTCGACTTCAACGTTCAAACCGTCGCGGTAATTGGTCATGGACCTGCGACAGTTAGTGATTGTTCAATACAAACACCGAAAAGAAAGTAGGGGAAGGGGTCCCAATACGCACCATGCGAGCTTCTGTCCGTCGAAGATGGTCTGTTTAAGGGCATTCTTGCGGGCATTCGAGTTCCAAACCTTCTTGATGACGGCAGTCTTCTCGGCGCCATTTCCGATGTGAACCTACTCATCGTTAGTATAACAGAAACAATATGAACGCTGATCACGAGAGACATGAGCTCGATAAGCACATAGGGAGTGACTTACATCGTACTGGTAAACGGTTCGACTAGGGTACTTCGTGATTCCAAAGGCGTTCATCGAGACTTCGACCTCTTTGCCGGTGTTGTTGAAACCTGGGCGAGAGACATTTTCGGTCGGGATCGCATACTTGACCAATTCGTCAGCATCACGCATGCGAAGATGGCGAAGACCATCACCAAGTGTGTTGACTTGGTCTTGGCTCTCCATGATGAGGAATTTCAAAGCAAGGTAAAGCAAAGAAGGGCAAAAGAAGTAATATAGATAAGCAAAAGGGGATGTAAACGCGGATGTAAGAGATGCTGGAACTTGGGATAATGATAGGTGATGAAGAGGAATAGAAAAAGAAGAAGGAAGTTGGGGGGAGGATGATGGGGTCTAAATAGTTTAGGGCGGCAGGAAAGAAGATATGTTGTGAATGTTTGGCAGCCTTTTGTAGCCATGTTGAGACAAAGGAGATGAATGTCGGCTTCCTACATCAATAGGAAACCCTGCCTGCAGCTGGTGAATCATGGGCGATTGTCTGCCAACACCGTTTGACAAACTGCAGGGTGAATGGGGATGGAGGAAGATGGGCCAAACGCCAATCGAAAACAGTGACAGTTGTCGGGGAAATAGCAGGGGACAGGGATAGTTAATGACCAAAAAAAAGCAAACAATGCCATGGAAAATAACAAGTAGTCGGGAGTGGTAAAAAAGAAAAGCAAAGAAAAGGTGAATGAATAGTCATCTTGCAATGCAGCGGATGAGCAAGTGAAAACGACAAGTCTCCTTTTCTTCAAACTTCCAAGAGAAAACACACTTACCATATGGTTGAGGTTAAACGCTGCCAGAGGCAGGT